AAGGAGCCCTGCGTAGCCGAATGCTTTCGCGAATGTCCCTTGAGCAGCGTCGCCGGAGACCCCTGAGTAACGGCCCGTGTCCCCGCCGGTCGGGAAAAGTTGTGATGTCCGAGGCTCGCGCTGCTCGAGCTCGCGGCAAACTGCTGGTATATGGGGGTCGCTGGGGAGGCGGGCTGTCCCTGAGGCTGCCTTGACTTTGGTATCGTGATGGAAGGGCGAGGGGTGGTGGCCTCTTCGTCGTCCGAGGCGTCGACGCGGCGCAGGCCAGCAGCGGCGGGTCGTGAGGAAGTCGAGATCTGGGCGGAAGAGTTGGATAGGGGGGAGAAGCTTCCTGGCCCGCGGGGCTGAGAGCGTGAGGGTTGCATTGTTGTTTATGCGACGACGGGGTCCCGTTACATCTTCATCATGGATAGACAGGGCTGTGGGGAGGTTCGGCCGTTTCGAAGGGGGGGGGCCGTGGATTTTGTAGATGGTCTGTGAGGCTGTAGATGTTTGTGCGACGCTAATGGTCAATGTTTATCGATTGCAAGGGAGAGAAGCTGAGGTTGAAGTGTCGTCAACGGTGAGAGCTGAGCCCCATGTTCCGTTCGGTATCTTACCTTATCCTGGGGTGCATGGATGTCAAAATGTGGCGTCCCTCGATAAACCCCGCGCCAACAGCTCCAAAATCTCCGACATCACTTTAACATCACCAACAATTGACTACATGCTCAAGTTCGGATTACTTCTGATCAATTAAACCGCCAACATGTCGCAGCCAGCTCTCACCGCAGACTACTCCTCCCCTCTCAGCGAGCCCTTCAACGTCTCCCACACCCTCCCCGCCATCTCTTCCTCCTCCTCCACAACCGACAAGACGTCCTACCTCGAAGCCCTCCGCGCCTCGATCGCAGACACACAGGCCACGATAAACAAGGAGCTCACAGCTCGAATGGAGCAAGACAAGGCAAGAGACGCCGCCGCCGAGGCTAAAGAGGAGGAGAATTACGGCGAGGAGGTGCAAGAAGAGGAGGACTGAGACTTCAAGACCAAAGACACACATATCTCGTCAACGACAACATGTGTTTATTTACGAGGGGTATTGCAAAGAAATATCATACTGGCTGCCACCGATCCAATCCATGCAAATGCTCATCAACACCAACATCCACTCGACCGTGGAGTCGAGCTGCGCATCCCCTAAACGACCCAAGTCGAAAGCAAAGAAAAACTCCCAGACACAAAAAAAAAAACGACCTTCTAAAATCCCCTACCCCAGCTTGGCGCCCGCGATCTATCAACCTTGTTACCCGTTGCCTGGTTCAGGCATCCATAGTGTACCACGGTGTTGTCCGGCAATACCGCCACCACGCTTCCGCCGATGCGCATACCGCCTCCGAGCTTCTTGTGGCAGACGAAGCAGTGCCGTTCATCTGTTATTGATACGTGCCTGTTGCGTCCACCTTGGCCGCCCTGGACGTCGTCACCCAGGTGCAGTCGCGCTGCGATGGAGATTCCCTCAGCTTGGCGCAGTCCTGCAACGATCCTTGCTTCGTTCACGAGGCTGTTGGCAGAGCGGATGCGGCCTCGGAAGTAGGACTCAAGTGACCGTACCGGGAGGTCATCAGGGATAAGTCCTAGTGTTGACTTTGCGGGAAGACGAGATCCATGCTTGGAAAGGAGGTCCAGTGCTGGCTCAAGGTTGGGCTTGTTCGGTGGTGATGGCTGCAGGTAGAGCGACAACAACGTGTGGTAAATGGATGGTGTTGTGTTTTCTGGATCCTCTCCTGCATCATCCCTTGCATTCGGCTGGGATGATGGATTAGTATCCTGAGTCAAGTTGACTCGATTACAGTAGCTAAGAAGGTTAGCTGTGACACAATACAAGGCACCTTGTAAGACATACTCTTCGGCTTTCTGGTAATCCTTCATCTTGAACACATAAATCTCAAGTGCCTGTTTGTGCTGGCCCATGTTGCTCAGCACTACAGCCTGCGCCTCGTAGAATGCCGGGTCTGTCATTGTTAGTACAACCACCACCCAGATAGCAATAGGGGTAAATCTTACCATCCCTTGGAATCAGCCCAAAAGCTTTGCTTAGGCTGTAAACCTGCCTCGATTCCCGCAAGAAGGTGATAAACCGGTCGAGCAAAGCATCCCACTCGTCACCCCGCTGCATTTGCTTCAAGTTCTTGACATAAAGCTCTACCAGGCGGTTGTGAAGATCCGGTGTCATATCCTCCAACTCGTTGATGATGTGCTCCAGATATCGACCCTCCAGCTGCATGTCCACGTCATGTAGGAACGCCACAACCTTCTCCCTTGGTAGTGTTTCTGCGTTCTCTGTATCGCCGATGAATATCTCTAGGGCCTCATCGGGACTGGTCTTGAGCGTCCACTCGGCATGTTCCAAAATCAGGTCGATTTCAGACGGAGGTAAGTTCTTGAGATACTGGATGGTACGCTCTGGTCCATGGAGAGTTGGCGCTGCCTCATCTGGCTCTTCAGCAGAGCCAAATCTGCGCAGCAACTCCAATGCCTCCTTATGTAGCTTTTTGCCGTAGAAGAAATCCACCAGCTCTGTGTAGCGGTTGTGTTCCAAAAGTTTCTCGTTGACCACGTTAGGATCGCAGAAGTTGGGAATTCGGAACAGTGAACCCGCCAGAGTTGGCCGAGAGAACATATAGGCACGGAATAGAGTCGTGTCAACCAATCGAAAGGTATTCCGTAGCTCTTCTTCCATCTTCTTTTCGGACTCATCGAGTCCCATCCTTAGGAAGTTCTCTGCCACATCTTCTGACGAGCCATTGCGTTCGCTTCGGGGCTTCAGGTTTCCAGTAACAGGGTCAATGACTCTTTGAAGTCGAGCACGAGTCCCTGCAAGGTAGCTGTTCAGCTCCAGGACAGCATTCATCAAATCCTTGTCCTTCAGTGGCTTATCCTCGTTTGACTCCGTCTCTTTGACGCTCGCGGTGTCATCGGCCTCAGGCGTTTCCCTCTTTGAGATAATGGACGCCGTGTCGGATTGAGGTTTTCTGTAACTGCCGGTAAGATACCGAGCGAAGCCCCCTTTAGCTACAGGCGAAGGTGATTCGTGAGGTGGCTCGGGAGACTCTGGAGTGCTTGGCCGTGTCCCATTGGTCTTCTTCGGAGATCCAGGGGCTTCTTCCTCCTTCTCTTCCTCCTCACGACCGGCCCATGCTGATAATTCTCCTGCAATTTGAGGAGGGTACATCTTGAGCACTCGCTCAGGGGGCGCGTGCACAGTGTCCTCATTGAAGAGATCCATAGACTGTCGATATCTCTTCTTCTTGAACAGCATCTCGGCTTTGAGCATCTTGACTTCCCGAAGCGTCTGGGTCTTGTCCTTCAACAAAGCGTCCTCAAGCATCTCGAGAATACTTATGGCTTCGTCAAATTTGCCACCATCCACCAGCTCCTGAATTTGAGAATCATAGTCTGTTGCGTCCATCTTCCACACGCACCGCTCGCTCGAGATGTGAAAGCCCTTGCCGGCATGGGCCAAGCTCACTGTGGGCGGAGGGAAGTGAAGCTGTGCCGCTCCTGGAAGAGCTAGATTTTGCAAAAGTGAAAGGGTAGACGGATTCCGGACTTCGAGGGAGCCTTTGGACGGAGCTTGTAACGCGAGGATATAGGGGTACGAGTACCCTATCGACTCTGGAGCTGACTGCCAAGGAATCTGCCGCCTCTCCAAAGGCTTCCCGTCATCGTCAATGAACAATGTGTTGATATCCTTGGCAAGCAACATCTCTCCTTCTGCCAGCTTGGCCGCCAACGGCTTGGGCATGTATCCCCCCAAACCCATATATCCCATACCAGCACTGCTCATAGCACCGAAGCGGCTCGTCTGTCCAGCTGCAGGGCCTGCCCCGGGGCTCACAATCTCCTCTATTTCACGGGTCACGACGTTGACCATGACATATCCACCGTTCATGCCGCACACCAGTTTCGTTGCGCTCGCCCATGTCACGCACCGGATCGACTCGGCCAGGATGACCTCCCCAACATCCTCTGCTAGCTCGCTCTCGTGCCAACTCCATAGCAGTAGCTTTCTCTTGACCGCAACCGCCAATCTGCTTATAATCTCGGGAATGCCCGTGTCCGGATCCTTGACGATATTGGATGTTACAGCAAAGCACGACGCGTTCTTGGTCCGGCTCAGTGTTTCGACAAGCTCGTAAGTCTGTAGATCGTACAACGAGACGTGATAGTTTGAGAGCGACACGATCGTGTTTGCTTCCTTGATTATGGCGAGCTGCTCAATGGAGCGCGTCGAGAAGCGTTCTACCTCACGCAGCAGGTCGGTGGGCTTCGTGGGCACCGTGGGTTCCGCGGGCACCTTCAAAGGGGCAACATCCCCGTTCGTAGGAGATTCCGGGGCGGCATTTTTATCGGCGGAACCGTTGGTAGGTTGGTCGGGGAGCTCGTTGAGGCGGTATACACGTAGGGCGCCGCTATTAAGGCCGACGAGAACACGGTCACCTAGGATCAGGTCAATCACAGCTCATGCAGCAACAGCCATTGTCTACAAAGAGACAACACAGAAGCCTGGAACAGTCTCGTACCGTACGCGAGGATCGTCTCGATCTTGGACCTGTCCCGCTGGCGCAGCTCGATGATGGGACGGGCTGTGAAGGCGGAGAGCATGGCGCCGGCCAGCTCGAAGCTGTGATGGCTATCCGGAGAGGAGGCGCATCAGATGAGGGACAAGTAGCAAAGGTGCAGAGTTCCCTAGAGCCGAACAAGGACACAGAGATGTTTGGTATCAGTTGTGTTGCCGCCTGGACAATCGCGAATTTGTTGGGTGCCGGAATCTGGGGCAGGGTCATGCCGCCCTCGGCGGGAACATCGACGTCAACGGATGGCCAGAGCTTCTTGCATTACACAGTAGCACAGTGCAAATTCGCACTCATACCAGGCAGCTGTAAATAAGACAACTTGAATTCCAACAAATTCCTCCTCTACATTTCAAAATGCAACTCGTCTATCGCGCACTTTGTCTATACTTGCTTGATAATATTGTAATTCTTCCAGATGCCAATAAAAACCATCATAGCCGAAGCCATAAAAAACACCATCAGTTCGAGCCAGAACCTCATGTTCATTCTCTCATCCACAACCAAAACTCCAAATGTCTCTCCCCTTTAGTCAAGTCCAGCAACTTGCATAATTCCATATCCCAGGGTCACGACTACAATAAGAGTCATGATACTGCTTGGCACACCACGGCTGATGAAATGCTTGACCTGCAGATACCGCTGGCCAAAGGGATCTTCCTTCATGATGGCAGCTATAACATGTTAGCTCAAGTTCAACGTTCAAAACAGACAAAAAAACTTACTCATGTTGGGGAAACCACTCGTGGGCAAGCCCATGGCAGCACTGCACATGAGAACGCCTCCCATGACAAGCAGGTTGGGGTGTGGCTGGTCCATAGCAACACCAACGTCAAACACGAGTGGTAGGAAAATCAAGGCAGCCACCGTGTGACTGATGAAAGTGGCAATGACCAGGATCAGTCCCGAGAAGACAACCAGCACACCGTATAGGCTCATGCCCTCCACCTTCTGGGAAACCAACTCGGCAAGTGTATGGAGGAGACCAGACGACCGGACAGCCTTGCCCAGAGACAGACCTCCAGCAGCGAGGATGATGATGGTCCAAGGGAAGTTGTTAAAGTCCTCCTTTGTCAGGATACCAATTCCGAAGAAGAGTACAATGGGGATGATGGCAATGACTCCCATATCTCCAAACTCGGCCTCAAGTTGATGGCTGGCACACCATAAAGCAATGGTAGCAACAGTGACAATGGTCACAAACCACTGGAGACCCGTAAACTTCTCCTTGACCGGTCGAATCGGGGCAATCGTTGTGCCCTTGCCGGGCTGGAACGTCACAAGTAGAAGAAGCCAAATCAGGAAGATTGAAACAGCGCCAACGGGGATGACGATGAAGAACCATTGGAGCCAGGTAGGAGCAGGCTGCATGATGCCCATAGCAACCACGTTCTGAGGCGACGCAATGGGAGAAAGCATGCCACCAATGTTGGAGGCGAGCGCAATACCAATGATGACTGCCTTGGACATGTTGGAATCAGACGGCAGAGTTCGAAGCATAGGCTGGTCCACTGTCAGTCTTGTTACTCATTGTATGTACCAAGTTAACTCACCTCAATGATTGAATAGCAAAGAACTGGCGCAGCCACATTGCTAATCAGCATTGATGCAAAGGCAGCCACAAACATGTTGGCGATCAGGACCGTCCTAGGCTGGGTACCAGCCTTGCTAAGAACCAACGTAGCCAATCGCTTATCGATGGTGCACTTTGACAGAGCCGCAGCCAGAGTGAAGCCACCAAGCAGAAGCATAATAACGGGCGTCCACATGGCAGCAAAGATGGCTGATGTGGCTTGCTTGGAATCAAGACGCCTCTGGGGCTTGCCGGGGGTCTCGTCGCGGACAACACGTAGGACGACAGAAAGGAAGGGAATCAGTAATGAAGTAACAAAGAGAGGAATAGTCTAGAAAGCTGTTAGCACACTGCCATTGAGACGAGAACTGTCGTGAAAGCTTACCTCGGTGGCCCATAGCAAACTGACAAACACCAACATCGCAAGGCAGTTTTGCTGCTCGGCCTTCTCCATGATGGGGAGCAAAAGAAGAAGGAAGAAGATGGTCATACAAATGATGAGAGTCCACAAGGACGAGCTGGCCAGCCACGGCGGCACCGTGATCCTGCCAAAAGGCGTGGGGATCTGAGACTTGATGGGCGTCTTCGCTTCATCACCTTGGAGTCTCCTAGTGATGTTGCCTCTCTCCTGACCGAGGAGCGCCTGGCCCAGTCCTGCAGCTTCAGCTCTACGCTCAATGCCGATGAGATCTCTCCACACAGTATTGCGTTCCCAGACAACGTGCTCTCTAAGGTGGGAGCGGAGGTCCTTACGGGCCAGTTGCTCATCTCCACCAGTGACGACCTCAGCGTATGCCTTTTCCATCTTGGCAATGTTCTCCTCAATGAGATGCTTAGTCTCATCCTTGAAGGGATAGGCAGAATCGACATAGGCCTGGAGATAAGACGTCTTGAGCTCCTTGTCGAGGATCTTGTCAAACTTCTTGAGGACCTTGCTGAAACCGGTGCGGTTGAGCTGGATATACGACTTGAGCTCACACAGCGACACGTAGAGGCTGATGATGCGCTTTTTGAGCATGATACCAGACGAGAACATCCCAGAAGAGAACATGAGCGACTGGTCGCCGTAGTCGTCAGCCGTGGTACTGTGCCTTCGCGCTCCAGCCCGACCAAAGTCGCTTGAAGCATTGAGGTCGTTGGAAGGTGGCTTTATGTTAGGAAGCGTCCTCCTGCGGCCTCCACTGCTTCTTCGTCTCGTCGTCAGACCGGTCGTCTCGTCTTCGTCGCTACCGCTGTCCTCGTTATCGGAGCTGCGGCTCTGAGGACTCCTGGATCGGAAGCCGTTTCGACCATCGCGGCGGCTCGACGAGGAGAGGCGTCGCATGTAGCGATTGTCGGCGATGGCGGATTCGGCTTCGTCGCCTACATCGCGTAGGAGCTGAGCAGCCTCCTCAAGAAGCTCGCCTTCCTTGGAGACATAGAAGGAGCAGATCTTTTCGAGCTCGACGTCGAGGGCCCTGGTGAAAACCTCCTCTGGGCTCTCGTGATTTATGAGAGGTCTCGACTCGGCATCGCCAGCACGGGCTTGGTGAACAGTCTTTTCGAGCTGGTAGATTCTGCGGGTGGCAATCATGTTAGCCTAGAGATGATATGATAGCAAGCAACAAAGGGAGGGCTAACGTACAACTTCTTGAGGTTGCTGTAAGCAATGTAGTGGCTGCTCCAGTCAGGAACAGCATTGAACTGGATGCTGTGAGAGAACTTCATCTCGTCCTGCTCTTCAAGCCAGCGGCGCTTGTCGTCTCGTTTGGCCCGTTTCCGGGATTCGCGATCAGCGGCGTCGTGTCGAGCCTGGATGGGCGGGTAGTCGACAAGCTCAAACTGCTCTCCGTCGTGGTCGCGTGGCAGCACGGGGGCTGTCTCGTCGTCGTGGTCTAGCAGGGAGACGGGTCTCCCTCCTCGTGTCGGTCGGTTGTCGTTGTCGTTGAAGCCGGGTCGCGGGCTCTGAAGGGCGGAAGGGACAGCGCCGGGTACGGAGGAGGGATTGTCGGGGGAGGATGGGGTCGGAATGGTTGCGACTCCAGAGACAGAACAAGGGAAGGGAGAAGCGAAGAGGAAGAAGGATTCAAGGTTAGGGCTTTTTCAACGGATCAAGAACAAGAGGCGGAGGTTGTGTGCCTGTGACGAGCGGCATGTGGTCCTGTTCGGTGCAATTGTGCGTCCAGTCAAGCCCAGTGTCCAGTGTCCAACGAGCAGGCGCGGCGCCAAAACCCAAGCCCGCCAAACCTAGGATGATATCCACCTTCTACCGTTGGAGATGGAGATGGGGGCAACCTTGACTTGAGGTGGGTGATGGTAGCCTGTACTGTACCCAGAAAAAAACTTGGTGTGTACAGCACTAACACCCACCCTTTGGGTCCGTAGCGTCGCAACCCGTTGGTGGATGTTAGATGGTGACCTGATCCTTCTTGCTGCACTGTGATGATCTTGCAACAACGGTATCAAGTCAAGTTTTGGCAGGCAAAAAGAAGTGAGGCTTGGCTGCAGCACAGGCAAAGCAGTGACGACACGTCTCGTGAAGGATTAAAAAGAGCCAGAGAAGAACAAACTGGAAGAGTGACAGATAGACAGCAAGGGGTACGCAGTACTTGCTTGAAAGGTACTTGCGCTTGGCTCGTAATAGGCTGGGCCTGATTCGCACCCATGTACACTGACGTCGATGCTTGTTCTGGACACCGAGTCTTGCATGGCGTACCCACAGCGAGACCCTGGAATGCGATTGACCCTGTGCGAATGCTTGAAGTGTCTGTGTCTATTCAAAGTGCATGACTTGTTCCTGAGGTTGTTGATTACTTCTTCGTATTGATATCGGTTCAGGGGACGGCTACCAGCAGGAGCTAAGAAAGGCGGTAACAACGTGTAGGGTGTCCGAGATTCATCATATGATAGCCCCCGTGGGCAAATCCCCTGAATTGACAGGACAGCTTCTCCATGCTGTGCAGCCTCTACGGCTCACGGCTGAGACACTGAGACATGCTTCCCAAAGGGGATCAAGGTCAGGTGCCGAGTTGGAGGCGTGGGGGCCATGATCACTGGGAATAGCGCGGTATCTTCTGTACAGCTACTCCAACATAAACATGCCACAAACACCAGACATGAATGAAACTATCAACACATCAGGCTTGTCTCGTATAGTTAGTTGTTATTTCTCTTGTACAATGTCCAATCTCGACTAGGTAGGTAGGTAAATTACATATACTGGTATCTCAAATTATCTCCTCGACACATCAACTCTATGAAACTAAAGTGCAAATCCTCTAACTGCCCAGCATCTGCTGAAGAGCATTCGTGCGATACGTCTCACTTCTCTCCACAAGCTCCTCGTGCCGTCCCTTCTCAACGACCTTGCCGGCCTCCACCATGAAGATGACATCTGCCTTGCGTACTGTATGCAATCTGTGAGTGATGGCGATGACTGTGATACCACGTGCTACACGCTCTAACCCTTCCTGCAGAGCACGCTCGCTCTCGGCGTCTAGCGCACTTGTGCTCTCATCGAGGAGTAGCAGCTTTGGCTTACGCACGAGAGCACGGGCAATTGCTAGGCGCTGACGTTGTCCTCCCGAGAGCCGTGAGCCGTTTGGTCCGCACTCAGTTTCATAGCCGTCAGGCAGCTCCATGATCATGTCGTGAATGTTGGCCAGCTTGCATGCTTCATGGATCTCCTCGTCTGTTGGGCGGTGGTCTGGTGTAGCACCGAGTGCCACGTTAAATCGAATTGTTCCATCAAAGAGAGCGCAGTCCTGGGGCACCACAGCAATATCGTGGCGAAACTCGGTGCCTTCGCGGGCGCAGATATCGTCCCCGTTGATCTCAACAGTTCCACTCAAGGGTCGATACATGCGCTGTACCAGGGACATGATGGTTGACTTTCCAGCACCCGAAGGGCCAACAAGACCAACAAACTGTCCTGCTTGGATGGTGAACGACATACCCGTGAGAATCTGGATATGGGGTCGCGCAGGGTACGCAAACTTGACGTCCTTGAAGACTATAGTAGCGCCCGTGGTGCTACCACTCTTGACAGGAGCTTCTGCCCGTGCTTCGATATCCTCCTTCTCCGTCTCGTCAATAGCCAGGGTCAGCTTGCGCTTCTTGGCCTGATCCTTTGAAGACCCGATGTCGATCAAACTCAAGATTCGCGATGCCGCAGCTCTAGCTCGAGACACTTCAGGGGCAAGACTGAACATTTGACCCCAGAGCTGTGCGCTGACCAACATACAGATGAGAATGATGAAGAACTCTCGCTGCGTGGCCTCACCCTTTGTGATTCGGTTAGATCCCCACCAGTATGCAAAGGCATAGATCAGGTTTCCAGTGCTGTTTGCGATGGCAAGCCATAAGTTGGCATACATAGACGCAAAGGTCATCTCCTTCCGGGGCTCCTTAAGCGCACGTCGGTATGATTCCATGATCTCATGCTCGATAGAGAGCGAAGAGATGGTCTTGAACGAGTTGACAGCCTCCACGGAGATGCCCACAGCACTAGAGAAGGCGCCGGCATGGCGACGCTCGAACTGTGAGAGGGATCGAAGTTGCATGATGCCAGAGCCGAGAAGAAGAGGAACGACTACCAGGCACACAATGGCAATCTTCCAAGCAACGATGTGCGAGAGAATGATGGCGACGAGGAAGTTAACCACGATCGAAAAGATGGTGCCGATAATAGAGCCGCTGAAGCCACCCACGGCAGCAGCATCACTCGTAATGACGGACATGAGGGCAGTAGGGGTACGTCCCTCGGACTGGTGCCAGTCAAGATCCTGCTCATACAAAGACCGGAAGCAAAGAACTCGGATCTTGTACAGCAACTTTTCGGCAATCATACCAAAACCAGTCCAGCTCGTAGTATTGGCCAACAGCTCCACGCAGGCAACCATGAACCACATGCCTCCAAAGAACCTGCCGGCCCACAAGATGTCATCGGCAGTGTTGCAGGGGCTGACGTTGTCGATGGTGTAGCCAAAGATGAGACCAGCAGACGAAAAGGTCAGTCCGACGATACTGGCAGCCAGGAGGCAGATCAAGATATGGAGGATGTATGGTCGTGCCATACCACTGATGCTCTTGATAACCACCCAGGCTGACTTGTTAGAGTCCAAGGCGGCATCTCCATCAGGGCTAGTTTCCTTGTCCTTGTCCTTGACCGTTTCCTGTTCCTTGACTTCCTCTTTCTTTGTCTCGACAACTTCCTCCTTCTCCACATCCTTGATCTTGATGTCGCCAATAGTTTCCTTTTCCGAGTAGATGCCCTCACTCGACTCTCCAACAGTGCTAGTGATGGAACCTGCATCCTCTGCGTCGACAGTCTGCAGACGAACCATGCTGGCATATGAGCCGTTCAGCGCCATGAGCTCCAGGTGATTTCCTTGCTCGATGATATCGCCATTGTTCATGACAATGATGTTGTCAGCGTTCTTGATGGTTGACAGGCGGTGGGCGATGGCAATGACGGTTCTGTTTTTGGCGATAGATTCGATGGCTGTTTGGATCCGACGTTCACTAGCAGAGTCCAAAGAAGCAGTGGCCTCGTCGAGAATGAGAATCTTAGGGTCTCGAATCAAAGCGCGGGCAAGGGCAAGTCGCTGTCGCTGACCACCGCTCACGAGCTTTCCACCAGTACCGACTTGTGTTCCGTATCCATTCTCAAGCTTCTCAACAAATCCGGCTGCATCTGCCAGCTTAGTAGCCTCCTGGACCCGGTCAACGAGATCGACCATGTCCTGACCGAAGCCCTGGGCAGCAGTCTTGAGGTCCTCGCCGTTCCGTAACTTAGTGGCCAACTCAGCAAGACCAGTACCCAGGATAGTAGCCCTAAATCGTTGATGGTCAGGCTGAGGAGAGTTCATGATACCAAGGGCGATATTTTCGATGATCGAACGGTCCAGAAGAGAGGGTTCTTGCTGCACCAGACTCATGTGGCTTCTCAAGCTCTTGACATTGAGATCCTTGATGTCGCGCCCGTCCAGGTAGACAGTTCCCTCTGTGGGGTCGTAGATGCGAGAAGTGAGACCAGCGACAGTCGACTTGCCGCTTCCAGACAATCCAACAAGTGCTGTATGCTTCCCGGCAGGGCATTCAAACGAAACACTCTTCAGGACCTTGTGGTGAGGTCGAGAAACGTAGGCGAACGAGACATCCGTGAATGACACGGTTCCTTCGACTAAGGCAAGCTTCTCGCCATCCTCGGAGCCTGAATCAATTGCTGCCGGAGTGTCCATGTCCTGTCGTAGCTTTTCGAAAGCTCCAACTGCGCCAGCGATAATAGGTAGTAGCGGTGCGATACCTCCAAGAATGACACAAGCTAAGATACATGTCAGTAAACGGGACTCACGACGGGTAGAGGGAATACGTACCATCGACCAACAGCAGAATAACGGTATAGATGTCACCAACAGAAATATCGCTCTTCCCCTCAACTGTTCTGGCAACCTGCTTACTACCCTGCCAGAAAGAGAGAGCATTGGCAGAGTAGGCAATGAAGTAGAGCATTCCAGCCTGAACAGCAGCAACAAAGGCCTTGTTAGTGCCTTGCTTACGAGCACCCTTCATCCTCTCAGCAAAGATGGCTTCAAGACGAGGACCGGCACCAAACGCCTGGACAACAGGAATATTGGACAGAACCTCGGAGGCGATTGAGGAAGCCGATGCGATCCTCTCAGACATTGCGCCCGCGAACTTGGCTGTAAAGAAGCTACCGACGCCTCCAAGTATCAAAAAGGCCGGTACCAGTGAAACAAGAATTCCTGCCAAGGTAGAATTCTTGATAAAGGCAACAACGTAGGAGGAAATGAAGAAGGATATGCAAGCCATGCAGATGCCGACCTTTTCAGAAGTACCCGACTGAATGGCTTGAATATCGGAATTGAGGCGGGATGAGATCTCGCCGGCTTGTCTCTCGTCGAAAAAGGTAGCATCCTGCAAGAGAATGCTCATGAAATAGCGATCGCGAAGACGGGCCTCGAGGCGGCGACTGAAGAGGGACCAGCTGACAATGTAGATGTAGATGAGGGCGAAGCTCACGATGCCGATGTAAGTAATCTGCAGGACCTTCTTGTTTATGCTATCCTGAAGCTCGTCTGGCGTCTGCTGGCCCACAATGTCACTGCTGCTGCAAGAAGCTTTGTTGAGGTCGTTGACGACCTGACCGAAGATGATACCCATTAGAGGGAACGGCGCACCGGCGGCGATGGCGGCAATGCTGCCAACAATGAGGAGAAGAATATCGATCCATGATGGCTTGGCGTAGAAGAGAAGTTGAAAGTAGGTAAAGAATGACTGAAAGGTCTACGAAAAGAGGTCTTAGCAGATAACCAGGCGCTTTCCCATATTCAAACTGACCTTGCGCTTTTCCGCTGGAGGGGTCTGAGAGGTTGCCGACATAGATGATGATCTTGTAGACGGCCGCGGCGAGTGAGTAGGTTGGCGCTCGATGGCAGCAGTGTTAACTACCTCGGTTGCGTTCTCGGTAGGGGCCGGCGCGTCCTTCGTAGTCACGTCTTTGGCTGGCGCATCATCCACGGTAACATTCTCGACAGTGTCCTTAAGACCATCTACAGGCGCGAAGGCAGGAGTCTCGTTGGAGGGTTCGTTCTTGTCGACAGCATTGTTTTGCTGCTCGGGTGAAGCTGAAGCCATCTTGGCCAGGTGTTGCTTGTGATCGTAAGATGAAGCTCCGAGGCTCAGATGGACAACTCCCAAACCATGATCCCCTTCGTACAGTAAAAGAGGCGCAAAGAAATGAAAACTCAAGAGACCAAAAGGTAGAAAATTATTCTGCGCCGCTGGCAGTAATGGTGGTGATGAGCCAAGGAGATCCTATTCGGTTACGACGCGCAGATCGGTTCTTTACTGTATCTTGGCGCGACCTGATGAACCATGCTTTAACAACAGGCCCTGCATGATCCTAGGGAGGAAGAGGTAAAGTAAACGGAGACGGAGACGGAGGCGGAGACTGTAGAGCCTCTGATGCGCCGAGTCAAACAAGCATAACGAACTGACGGGTCCTTGGTTGTCCCTTTGGCTCATAGCTTGGCATCTCTAACGGGAATCGAGCCGACGGAACTAGACGAGGAGGGGAGGAGGCCCCCAACCAGATTGACAGCATCGACATGACATGTGCTGGTGTGTGGTCCGTTGAGGCTTTACTCGGTTGGGGTTTCTGTGAATCAAGACCATGGCCGGCTCAGCCCTTGGAGGACGAGTAGCCAAATTGGGGTTGACAGGGGATGAACTTTGAATGCGAGTGAGTTTTCCTGGCTGAGAAGAAGGGCAGGCGAGCATGGGGGGCCCACGGATATGAGCATGGATGGTCTGCTTTAGATGGTCCGTGAAGAGGGTGAAGGTGGTGGTGGAGTTGTGCTCGAGGGTAAAGGTTGGATGTTCAGATGTCAAGGAAAGTACCTCGCATGTTCCTTCCGCACCCACCGAGCCCGGCTCCGCTACGGACACGCCCCTCTCCGGGCGCCCACTTTCCACTCCCTAACAACTCACCGGGAGCCGTGTTACGGGTACGCTATACCAGTTTCCCCTCTGGACCTTGACGGACGGACAGACGGCATGGACCCTTTGTCGCCTGCTTCTTGGCTGGCTGCCAATGACGGAAAACACTGAGCGGCGCAAATTTCCCAGCGTGGAGTCATCCCAAGGGCTTCAAGCCCGGCCTCATCCTCGTACTGGCCAGGATTGGCTTTCTCCAGGGGCACAGGCAGACTAGCCAAGGATTTTCGGATCAGATAAAAAATTTCGTCTCGTGGGATGGGCAATCAATCAGAGAGTTTTGCCAAGTTTGTGCCACCCCCTTGAGTTATCTGATCTTCCGCCCCGACCATCGGTCACCGAATCAATCTCGGCATCCCCAACGCCTCTTTTCATGGTTCGCCGGCATTACACTGTGGGAGAAGGATCCGGGACAGCGACTTCGGGACTCAATGCCGGCATCGCAATGAAGGGAAGAGCATGGGAAGCTGTCAATGACCACTCATGCTGTAGGAAGGGCTCCTTTTTCTACCAAAGGGGACCAAGGGGGCTTTCCTGCTAAGTGCAATGTAATGTGACGCTGCAAAAATGGCTCAGGCCCAGTCTACGGCACTGGGGCTTTCGGATTTCCGGTCGACCCATTTGGCGTCAACACTTGGCAGAGCGGTTGAAGGAATGGCTACAGAACCTTTTGTTTCCTTCCTTTCCATCCACGTGAACAGAGCATGATGATGGCATCCACGCTAGAAGGTCGTATTTGTACATACGTGGTCTAGTCTGTAGATCGGTCCTCTTGGTCGGTTCGGCCTTCGATCAGATAACGGTATGGCACTGTGTCCTCCCGTCGCAGCCAAGCATTCCTTCGCAAGGATGGAAAAATCAGATCAGGTGGAACAAAACAATCCCGGGTGGAATTGTTTGCTTTTTTGGTCATTCATCCTAGTTCATTTCAGTCAGCGTCTCGTCATTCTGCTTCAATTCTCCTGCGTATTCGTTCTGTCTTCCAGTCATGGTGAGCTGGCACGGATGCACGTGCTCGGGTACGTACCGGCCCTCCGAGGTCGTCCCCAGGGGCTTGCGGCGCCTGGGACGGATCTGATAACTTTAACTCCACAATTGGGAGCATCACCAAATCCCAACGCCCGCGCCGTCCAAGGAGCCATGGAGCCTGCCCCACGGCGATGCCTCTGTCCGACTGGCTCCGGCCCGCACCGGCTCCTCAATTCTCGCTGTCCCGGGCACTCTGAGTAGGCCGCTTGTCACGGAAATCCGATGGGGAAGAGGGCTCGTTGTTTGTTAGCCAATTCCGAGGCCAGGTTACCCTTGATCCGACATTGGCGCCCCTTCCTCTCGGTCCAAGGTCACTCGCTGTCCGCTGTCTCGGAGAGCCTACTGGCCTGTCTGTCAATATTGTACTGTGCGAGCGAGCCAGCGGTAGCAGAGACCGCCCTGCCGCGCTGCGTCACCAATCCCGCCGCTGTCGCCTTTTTACTCTTGGGGAAACTTGTTGAGGGGGGGCCTTGCTTTTATTTCCGCTCGTCTATATTCCCGTCTTTCCTCTTCCTCTCGACTATTTCTTCTTCCTTCCTCAACCTCCTCCATCTTCCCCATCTTTCAGCTCATGTTCATCTCCCGAGTCTCTACCAGATTCTCGGAACAACTGCTGACGGCCCCCCACGTTTCTGCTTGCACTCACACCACGCGAGCCTTTTCATCCCGTGCCTGGACCTCATCTCGTCCAACTGCCATCGTACAATCGACGCTTCAGCTCCGTGCAAGAGCCATTCCCGTAGCGTCAAGTCCCCCGCTTGCATACCAGAATCGTCCCATATTCCACCATCCCAAGTTCTTTGCCAGCGCCACCACAATGGGCTCACTCCCCGATGCATCCCACGCTGTGCGTGTCCTCGTTCTCGGCGGCTGCTATGCAGGCCTGTCTGCTGCTGTCAATCTGCTCGATCTGAGCCAGGGATACTCGCCCCGCATGAGCTCCGAGCCTTACATCCACCACCCCAACTTGCCTCACTTTGACATTGAGATTACCATTGTCGATGAACGAGATGGCTACTGTAAGTAACATTCGTCCGTGTCTCCACTTTTCAGCTGGGCCTCGGCATCGTATAAGAGACCAGACTGCTGACTGTGATGTTGCAGACCACTTGATCGGCTCGCCTCTGGCCCTGGCCGATTCGGAGTACGCCAAGAAGAACTGGGTCAAGTTCTCGGACATTCCTGGACTTGACTCCCCGAGCATCAAGATCATCCAGGGCTCCGTCACCGACGTTGACCTTACCTCCAAGACTGCCACCGTCGCGGCCTACCTCACCCAGGAGAAGAGCACCCACCAGTATGACTACCTTGTCTCTGCCACCGGCCTTCGACGTGTCTGGCCTGTTGTTCCTCAGTCCTTGACCCGCAAGCAGTACCTGCTCGAGGCTGAGAACCACATCCAGGCTGTCAACCACGCCAAGGATGGCGTTGTTGTCGTTGGTGGAGGTGCTGTCGGTATTGAGATGGCTGCCGAGCTCAAGATGGTCAAGCCCCACGTCAAGGTGACCCTTGTCCACTCTCGAGACAAGCTTCTGTCCTCTGAGGATCTCCCTGATGAGACCAAGGACGTTGCTCTTGAGCTCCTTCTCGAGTCTGGCGTGGAGGTTCTCATGAACCACCGCCTAGCTTCCACCAAGAAGATTGAGACCCTTGACGGCAGCGACAAGCACGAGATTGAGTTCACCAATGGCCACAAGATGTTTGCCAGCGAGGTCATCATGGCCATCTCGAAGAGTGTCCCCACCTCCAAGTACCTGCCCGCCGCGGCTCTTGATGAGGAGGGATACGTCAAGATCAAGCCCAAGTAAGTAGAGGCGTCAAAGTACATCCCGAACAGCTAATAACCTCTCTTCTACAGCCTGCAATTTGAGGATGGAACTCCCAACAACGAGTACCACTTTGCAGCTGGCGACATCGCCAAGTGGTCCGGTATCAAGCGCTGCGGTGGTGCCATGCACCACGGCCACTACACTGCGCAGAACATCCACCAGCACCTCATCAGCCACCGAACTGGCGAGGCTCCCAAGTACCATGAGCTTAACCACTTCCCCCCCGTGATCGGTCTTGCTGTCGGCAAGAAGGCCGTCGCCTCCAGTCCTGACTCTGGCACCATCTCGGGCGAGGATGTTGCTCAGGCCTACTTCAGGGATGATCTTGGCTGGACAAGTAAGTTGAATACCTGATTTAATATTCCGGTGGTTGGTAACTAACAAATCCGCAGTTTGCTGGAATTACATGCAGCTCGGTGGGCGCAAGACTGATGAGGCTAAGGTCTAGGGTTGGGAATACAGGGTTTTCAGGGGTTCGGCGTTATGGAATACAATAGGGTAGAACTTTGTTATGCCACGATGAGCGCATGTCGTGTATGACAATGAATAAGTTATGACATTCCATCAATTTATAATTGCCCAGAGGATGATAGTGGCTTGTTTGAATGGTTGCAGATGTCTTCGCATGGCGATGAACTTGACCCTAAACTTCCAAGGCAATCATATCCGGTAAGTTCTGAGTGCAACTATCGCCATGTCTATGATGTCATGTGTTAAAAGACAACACCAGTACGATAGATATTCTCTAATGCAAACACTTGTACTGCTTTTTTTATGGTAAAAGTGTCTTCCGAGCCGAACTACCCCATGTCAGAACCTGAAGGGGGTTATTCATTGAATCATAACTTTGATTTCATAACTTAAAAAGTTTCGGTCTAGGGTAGGGATGCTCTCCAAGATCTTAAGAAGTTTTTAGATATAAACATATAAATAAGGCTGGACAAATCATCTGGTGTATTTATTGTATTCTTTATTCAATTGCCTAACCTGGATTTAATCGTGTTGATGGGTGGATGAAAGACGACTTGTAATGAACCGTGCAAACGATCAAAACTATCATTATGACTATGCAACTACGACTGACGATTCTGAATCCAATTACTTACCTTGTGTCTTCCAAGGTCATGCTCATGATACTGGTATATTTAAGCACCATACTGATTCCCTCTCTTTTAGATAACCCGACCCCTGACCTGTTTGCGTTCCCCAACATCGTAGTCACGCCAAACAAGTACCGAGACAACCGCAGTGCCGGCAATCAACATCATCTTCTGGGCTACGGCGCACGACTCCTGGATGGCGATGCGCTCTGGCGAACCCCAGGGGTAGAACAGCTGCTGGAGAACATGTACTAAATGGTGAGGATGACGGTAACGGACTGATACTTAACGGAAGCCGGGTCCTTTGAGGAAGGCTGTGGTCATGTCACCCGTGATCTAAGTGGTGATGATGTAAGGAGACGAAGTAAAGGCAATCATCAGGCCTCGATTCTTGAGAGCAGATGTATCTGTGATGAAGATATGGAGACTAAAGTCGACGTCATTGTATCTAACCAATTGTCAGTCAAAATGGAGAGTCAAAGTGATAGATTGATAAAGACATCAGCCCAAGTCCCGATCGGGTTACTCCCTGGAGGCTTGAAAAGAGGCGCAGCCACATCCCACCGAAAATCCGGGGATGCCAAGCACAGCTCGTGTAGGGCTGAACTATCGACGACCGAGTGTGAATGTAAGCAAAGAGACAAAAATTACGTGTGACCCAGTAAAAGACCTGAACTGCAGTATACGTCTTGGTACCGTTACATCCAGCCATCATGACTAGGCCCATCGTGAGAAAGATGATCGACGAGAGATAGCCCCGAGGGTGGCATTAGACATCGAGGACCGTTGCCAGCGTGAGCTTGAAGGCACCACCGGTAATGGAGCTAAGAATGTCCATAGTTTGCGTGAGAGAATGAGACTGGATCGCCGAGGTAGCGTAGGGCTTGAGGGCACCCGAGTTACACTGCTGGATAGAATTGTTAAAGTTGATGACCTAGATTGAGATGTACGCCGTGATGATAGCCAGACGAGTCTAAACGCTGGCCATGGCTTGTATGATCTGCACACTAGCCTGAGCCTTGGAATCGACGGTATCGTCGGTATCGGAGCCGCTGTGGTTGATGTTGGCTTCTTTGTTGTGACCATTGTCTTGGCCGGCGACTTTACAGTCAATTCGGCCATGATTGAGAATCTGTAAATTGAGACGACAATGAAACCATGGAAAATGAGACACAGGAGGAAAGATTGAGACGGGCAGGATTGCCAACTAACATATATGCAAATAGATTAAACTAGAAAAACAGATCACTACTTAATAGAGAGCTTGCCAGGCAGCCGGGATTTGAAGTTTCTGGAATCCATACTCGCGTCGAGATGGCATGCCGTCTCCCTTATAGCCATGGTGCAACTGTTGCAATGAGTGGACAGAAAAAGCAGGATCACCAAATGGATCAGGAACCCTGAGCCAACAGACATGATGAGTTTGATCAGCTGCATGCATCCCTTTTTCGTCCATAGCACGAGGGTCGGGAATAAGACGGCGGGAATACCAACTCTCCATGAACTCAATTGATCGGCTATGACGGCTCATAGGTTGTCATGATGAAGGATTGATGGATGGTAGGGGAAAGCATCAGATCGAGCGTCTCCTTCAAGGAGTGACATATAGCCGCAATCGAACTCTGGACTCCACAAGCCCTAGATCCTAGGGCAAGTTAAGATCCCACAGTCCTACAAGAGTGTCAGCCATTATTTTATCAGATAATCAGTACCGTGCTGCTGGCCACTGGTGGTGAGGCTCTTCGAGATCAGCGAGGAACGATGGGGGCCATGATGAAAACCCACTGCTGGTCGGCAAGTAGAATTTTGCGAGAGCTAACTTGGCGCATGGGGGCCCCAGGAAAGGACGGCAAGCACATGTCACCGACAGTCGGGACGCCGTGAAGGCACCGAAGCTTGGTCTCTTTTCAAACAGTATGTCCCACGAACTACCGGCGTCGAGCATCGGCTTAGGCGAACGCGTGGATAATACGTAGGAGGACCCTCCTATTCTCTCCCACGTCCCCCACGAAGCTGTCGTGCCGTCCAAGTGTCTAGCGGCGCGCGACAAACCATGGGCCCCTAGAGTGGGCTAGTGCGATGTGAAGTCTCTGGTAGCAGTCGTGAACCTTGGTCATTGTCAACGTTCCAAGCGATGAGGTGATGTAAATCAGATCAATTGCCTGAAGCGGAATAAGTCGCTGGGCCCTGGAAAAGCGGGTAGCTGGTCCAAGATGGATTAGCGTGACGCCGGTCGATTCTTTGGCCAAGGTCTGGTGGAGGCTGCCACGAATAGCATCCCTTGACGGCGTGGATGAGCGTTTTATCAGATCCCTCTAGTTTTGGTAGGCGGTGAGAACACCTCCAGAGAGATTAGATAATCAGTCCCGTCTCCGACAACCGGCTGGCCGAGTGGCATGCATCGGGGGTGTGTCGATATTGGCTTGGCTTGGCCAGGGGATGCCGGCCCCTTTAAGTTATCAGATCCGCTTTTGCCCACGCTGGCGACCCAAGCAGTCGCTCTGGTGCAGAGCATGCAAGCCACCATGCACCGGCCGGTACCGAAGGGTACAATCTCGTGTCTTTGCGCCCTTGGTGGTCCTTTTCCCCGTACGAATCGCCAGAGTCGGCTTCGCCTGGAGCTTTTGCAGCGTTGAAAGTGCTTGGCTGCTGGGTGTGCCCCATGTGGCCCGGTAATGTTTCCGTCCCGAGGTTGTCCGTCCGTCTGGTGTGGCCGTGCTTGAGGCCTGGCCGATGTTGATATATGCTCAACTCTAAGGACGAATGCCTTCATGAGGTACTTGGCCCTTGGCGCGGTAGGGGTCCCCGATGATGGAGAACTGATCGGAGCTGTTGGTTTGCACATCCCGCGGGAGGGGATCTTTCGGCACTGGATAGCCAGAGACACGGCTCGACTAGCCGGTGCCTGGAGCGGCGACCGTGGACCGTTGTCGCATCGTTGACGCCCTTTACCGTTTCGCAACTGGACCTAGGCATATTGCTGCAGCATGTGCCCTGTCTAGGCCAGGCCTAGTCCAACCGGCCGGCTAGCCTAGCAACGGCCTTGGAGCTGGGGATCGGATTGATAATGGTTACTGCACCCACACGCCGTGCAGGAAGCAAGCGGAGTTGACAGCCCCAAGAACTGAGCTCATCCCGAAGTGGCGTTTGCGACAGACGAGGTGCGGAAATTCTCCCACGGCCAGTTTTTCTTTTGCGAATAGCTTCTCGGCGCTCGGAATCCTTTTATTTCACTTCTCCCGGCCTTGCTTCTTTGTCTCGATAATCCGTGTGTTCTAATTCCTGTCAAAATGTCAGCGCCAACGGGTACTTTTTCTGCCGTCAAGGCTGGTGAGGCCATCATCAAGCTGCCTCATCCATACCAGACCGAGTATGCCATCGAAAAGGCCTCAGCCCCTTCCGGTGTCGAAACGCCTGTTTACAAGCTCGTTCACAAAGCTTCTGCGACCGCCAAACCCCTCCCCTTTGAGCTCCACAACTCTTCGCTCGTCTTCTCAGATCCGGTTGACCTCAAGTCGAGCGAGCTTCCTTCTCAATCCAACAACAGCCCTTGGGCTCGTGCTCGTCGCTCGCCCGGCGTCACCTTTTATTGGGATGGCGCTGAGGCCCCGACTTTGGGCCAGGCTTGGCTGGTCGTTTACACAATCCTCACGCTGAGGCCATCCGTGGAGTCTTTTCGCCTGGAGCTCCGAGGAGCAAACGCCGCCGTCCTGGGGCAGCAGCTTGTCGCGGTCCTGCTTGCCATTGACCATCCTCTCAAGGCCCGTGAGAAGCGCCAGCCTTCCAACAAGACCGACGAGAGCCTTGTGCTTGTCCTGCGAAGCACATTCTGGCAGGGCGCTGGCTCACCATTTGGCCCCCGACCGGTTTGGTGCCCTGCTGAGTCGCCGTCGTCTCTGCCCGCGTCGAACCCTCTGGGATCATATCCTCTGACACCTTTCTACAACACCACAACCATTGCCTCGGCCGGCGATCCTGAGGATCCTGAACGATATCAGCAGTCATGGCACCCAATTCGGCCAGCTAAGCCCGCGCCGGGCGCGGTCATCTACAGCCGATGGATTCCCCATCTTAACGAGACCTTTTCCATGGTTTCGCTCGATTACGAGGATGCTGAGCATCTGCGCCTTTTCCATGAATGGCAGAACGACCCCCGTGTCTCGCAGGGCTGGAACGAGACGGGTACTCTCGAGCAGCACCGCGAGTACCTGCGTAATATCCATGAGGACCCCCACCAAGTTGCCATTCTGGCTAAGTGGGAAGACACCTACTTTGCTTACTTTGAGGTCTACTGGGCCAAGGCATGTCCCACCCTCCTTTTCCAAGCCTTCCACGTTTCTGACCAAATGTTTTGTAGGAGGATCGCCTGGGTGGCTACTTCAACGCTGGCGACTTTGACCGCGGCCGCCACTCTCTGGTTGGCGATGTACGCTTCCGTGGCCCGCATCGCGTGTCAGCGTGGTGGAGCAGCTTGATGCATTACCTGTACCTTGATGATCCGCGCACCATGTACGTCGTGGGTGAACCCAAGGAGACAAACACGACCGTTGTCATGTACGACTTTATTCACGGGTTCGGGTTGGACAAGTTTGTCGACCTGCCACACAAGCGCAGCGCTTTTGTGCGATGCTCTCGTGAGCGCTTCTTTCAGCTGTGCCCGCTGGCAGAGAATGAGAAGGTCGTTGGTGGCATGAGGTTGGGTCTGGTGCCCAAGCTGTAAATATTCAGGATACCCATGATAGCTGAAGAAAGTGTTTCTGTGTGATGGATGGATAATTTGGAAGAGGACAGTTGGTTGTTGGTTGAAATGGATGTTTTGCCAAGATAAAAAGTTCAATTCTTAGCGGTCACCGCGCTGTGTCACTGTGACTTCCGATGGGAAGGTGCATGTCGTGAATGGTGGTTGGTTGTACATTCGGCAAGTGCGAAATGGAATTTTCATGTTTCCTTCCTTCTGACCCAACCAACAATCGCTACCTGTTTTTATTTGACCTTGTCATTCTGCAGACTCCATTTTAGACCTTACAAACCCATTCATTCTGTGTAACTATAGTTTTCCATAAACCCATCTACTCCTTTTTGAACAGAAATCTACCAAACATCTACAACTTGGAGGTATTCGCTTCCTTTCGCAGAAGCTCGTCACCGAGCTTGGCCATCTCAAACTTGCGCACCTTGCCGCTGCCAGTCAAAGGCACCGTCGCTGGCACGTCGTCATGGCCCAGCCAAAAGACGTGGGCTGGTGACTTGTGGCCACCAAGCCTCTTGCGGCACCAGTCTTTGAGCTCCTCGAAGGTGGGCTTTTGATGACCCTCAGCCAGCTCGACGAAAGCACCCACAACCTCGCCATAGTGCTTGTTCTTGAGGCCAACCACGATAGCCCGAGAGATGTTGGGATGGGCCATGAGGCGCTCCTCGATCTCAAGTGGGTAGATGTTCTCTCCACCTGGACGCTGGGGTTAGCTGGACGTCCTCCATTAGGTACGTGAGAGAGAATTGAAGCTTACCTCGAATGATAATGTCCTTGAAGCGGCCAGTGATGGAACAATATCCAGCCTCGTCAAACACCGCCTCGTCACCGGTGTGCAGCCACAATACGCCTGAAGCATCCCGCATCATAGTCTCGTTGGTCTTCTCCGAGTTGTTCCAGTATCCAGCCTGAAGCTGGTAACCACCAATGCACAATTCACCTCGGCTACCAAGAGGCACAATATTGCCGTCACGGTCAACAATCTTGGCCTTGGCATGAGGCATCAACGTTCCGACAGTGGTCAGCCGCTTGTCGATGGAATCATCGGTGAAGGCATTGAAGCAAGTTGGAGAAGCCTCAGTCAGGCCATAGCTGCTTGTGAACTCGGTCATGCCAAAACGGTTGACAAGAAGTTCCATGAGGTAACGCGGCACGGGAGCACCAGCGATGATGCCAGTGCGCAGGTTATCGCAATTGAAGTTCTCTGGCCACTTGGCCTGGAACAGCGAATCGAACATGGCAGGGACACCATGAACAGCGGTACATTTTTCGTCAGATATCGCCTGGAGAGTCGCTTGAATGTCAAAGACCTCAGCAGGATAGACAATCTTGCCGCCATGTGTGACAATGGCCAGGAGACCGAGCACCAAGCCAAAGCAATGGAAGAGGGGAGGAGGGCAGCACAGGACATCGACCGAGCTCAGTCGCATACGGTCGCCGATGAAGCGCGAATTGTTCACCAAGTTACTATCGACGTATTAGCCGGGATCCCGCATATACCTGTCTATGTGCGAGTGACAAGGTTACTCGATTGGTGGTTGTTTTCTCCACTTACTGGTGAGTGAGCATAGCAGCCTTGGGTAGTCCAGTTGTTCCGCTTGTGAACTGAAGGTTGACCACTTGATGGGGCAGAACCTTGCTCATGGCGCGATAGAGCCTTTGGTGGTTTTGTCGGCGACCAGCACTCACGAGGTCGTCGTAGGTCTGATACTTGCCCGACTCATCCCCTCTCAGCATTACGACCTTGGGGGACGTCTTCTTATTTTCGAGCTGCTGCAACAGCTGTGTCTGATCGAGGCGACCGATGCGTGGTGTTGTGAATAGAATTTTGCTGTCGGAGAACTTGAGGCCGTACATGGCTTCGGTCGGAGTGTAGGTGTTGTTGAGAATGACGAGGATTGCGCCGATTTTGGCCACGGCAAAGAAGACAGCTGCGTATTGCTCACAGTTGCCAGCCATGATGGCGACTCGGTCACCAACTCCAATGCCCATGTCTAGCAAGGCCTGCGACAAAGATGAGCTCTGCTGGTTGAGCTCATTGTATGTCCAACGGGCGCCCGTCCACGGGATGACCAGACATTCCTGGTTGCCATGCTGATAGGTTTGCAGTTCGAGGAGCTCGCCGAGTGTCAGGTCGACGAGAGGAGGGTCGACAGGGCCTTCAAGCACAGAAAGTTTCTGCGTTGGCTGCGTGGGCTCGGTATGGATATCTGCGGTAGCAGTTGTCATGATGGCGGCGGTACAAGAAAAATCGACAATGGCTTCCAAACACAGATTCAAGATTTGGGATGCTTTGCGCAAGTCAGATCGTTCATGGGACTTGTTCGCAAAATAACATTCGCCAGCAGACTACAGAAGAATCGAAACTCCAGAAAAAACGCCAGCGAACGCCGACAAAGGGCTCTCCCACGCAATTATGCATGCCCCAAATTGAACAGCCGCTATCCAACGCTTGCGCATCCGTCTTATCCCGTCCTACCAGCCATCGCCAGCCGGCCCCACTGCGAATGCCGCTCTCCGTCGAGCTCCATGCTTCTGGGACGAGGTGGACGCCAATTACGGAGTCGAGAGCGCACATCTTTAAGAGCGAGCCGAACGATGTGGGATTCCTGCACCGCGCCGGTGCGGCAATTACCTCAAGGATTTGCTGGTGCAGCAGGGACGGAGGCCGGTCAGACGCCATCACCAGTAGCATCATCCTGCACCATGGTCCGTTGCAACTCGACCCTGGCTCTCTTGGGGCTGAGAATGCTTGCCCGCTTTCTGAACCTGGTCTTGAGTTCATCTGAGTTCTCATCTTCATCTACTCCGAGGATACGGTGCAGCGTGGCTTGTGGTAACTACCGGTAGCTCCATCTCCGACGGAGTAGATATCCACACATCCATCCCACGCTTGTTTTGTCCCTGGTTCTCATCTTGCATTGCCCTGGCCCATCCCGTCATCGATACCATACCTCATCTGTACTCGTTATGACTATTCTTCCTTGCCCCCATCGGCCCCGGCTTCCTCTCGAGGGTTGAGCCGTCTCAAGGTCGACTTTTTTTAGCGGCTTTTCTGGCGGCAAGTATCTAATCTGATGATCAGATAAGATGAGTCTCTGCACGTTTAACCGAGGCGTTGTTTACTACGACCACACCCCGGGCCGACGTCGGCAGGAAAATTTTATCTGATCAACACTAGACCGTGAATTGGAGGTACATCCGCCCGACATCCCACTCTCCTTTCCACCTTGACCTCCACGGACTCCCACTCTCTCGTTAGGCGCACGTCGGAGTCTGCCCAGACCATCCCTCCTGATGCAAGAGGAAGGCGATTCTTCAAACTCACCAAGGCAGAGACGCTTTGGCCTCTTTCGGTGGCAAGCCGCCGGCGTGCTGCAGGTGAGTGAAGCAGGGATGGTGGTTTTCTCGGCCAGCCCTTGAGGTCGCATCATGACCTCCATCCAAGACTTCGACAAACAAATTTCCGCTTCGGACTTGGGTTCCAGCGATCCCGCTCGTGTCCAAACCTCGGCCGGAAATACCGTATCCCACACGTGTGAGCAGACCCGTTCGTCTCGCTTTCACTTGGCCGAATTGGAATAGAGGACGAGACCTTTCAGGTTACATCGCCTTGGGCCGGTTCAATGGAGAACAGCTTGACCGTGGGCGAGCGTGGGTTCAGCGTGGGTAGAGTACAACCCGAACTCCGTAGCCGCTCACAAGTGGATGGGATCGCTCAGCGTTGATTGCTGAAAGCTCAGCAAAGACCGGTCAGTGGACAGTGTCAGATATACGATGATCCGATTTCAGCCTTGGATATGCTGTCTATTCCCGAGAGTTTGGGCCCGCATCAGCTGTTGTGCTTCAATATCCTGAGTATTGTGCAAACAGCAACCACCACAAGGACAAGGTCTCGGACTGACAACACGGCATAGATCGGACGGTACTGGCGGCCTCAGGAACTAAACTGCTGAAGTACTGTCGAGGTCAGGCGCCACAAGAGGGAGCGCCCACCATGGAGTTACATGATGGCTTGTCAGCCCCAAAGCTTGTTCGTCCATGGAAGGTGGATGAATATGACCACAACTATACAGGCCGGCCTCGCCTCTCTTCGAATGCAGAAAAAGGTGCATTGCCAGGGGTTATCCCCGGGTTAGCGCTGGCCTCATGGCGAGACCCCGGTGAAGAGAGGGTGGGGGGTGGTGCACCAAAAGAGCAGTCTACGGTCCGTCATGACGAGACTGGTGACAGGACGAGACAGGTCCAGACAGTGACAAGCACATCGAGCTTTGATGGAAGATTCGGGGCCCCGCAAGCAGAGTTGCTTCTGATGTCTATCACTACCTACCACATGGCATGGCCTCTATTTGACACTTTGAGAGGCTTCTCCATCCATGCGCATCGCGTGTTCCTGAGCTATCCGGCTCCATGTGGGCTCACGCGCTTAAAGTTAAGTGCGACCAACCTAACACCTGAGCCTGAGCCTTATGAGCCTCAGCTCGAGATGTGGTTGGCTCCTCCGCTTGTCATGACCCTGGCAAAGCTTCAGATCTGTTCCGTGCCTCTTCCCCATTCAGCTGTTCGTGTAGACAGCCAAGCATGACCCCACCCCAGCTGGACAAAGTGGCCTTGGGTCCGCTAGCGAATCTGATGATCCTATAGACAACCTCCATCTGATGCGAGCCCAGTCCGAATCGATTCAGTCACTGCTCCGTGGCTACTCGGATTCCGCAGCAGGGGCAATGGAAGTGCTGGTGTTGCCGAGGAGTGGATGGAACCATTGTCTGGGCCAAAGCTGCCAAGATGCGGTCTTTGCGGTGGTAGTATGGCTCCCATCGAGCCCGAAAGAGGCAAATTCGTCCAAGGGTACTCATGAAGGCCGTTTTCACAAGCCAAGCTGGCCGGGGTTTCTTTCCGCGGCGGTCACGCCCTCGGGCAACCGACCCGGTGAGGAAGTGTTCAACGGCGCATTCTTAATCATAGACAGGTCTTGATGGAGGAGTTGATTTTGCCGAGACTCTTGAGTTGGCAGTCTTCTGTTGTTCTTGTTCTATAACCGCTCACTCTATCCTTTATATCACTCTCCTACTGTCCTTCAAATACCCCTATAATTGATATTACTCCTTACGAGACAATCATAATGCATATTATCGACGGCGGCGGAGGTGGCGGATCAGCCATTTCCATCGATTCCCACGAGAAATCTCGCATCTTTCCAGGTGTCCCTGTTATCAAGACCCTTCCCCTTGGGTCAACACGGGATCCTGCGACATTTCAAGACGAGCTCTTGCTTGCATGGACACTGGCATGTTCCCCCAAGTTGGAAGAGCTTCCTGGGAGTTATGACTGGGGATACATCCTCCCTGATGGCAGTGTCCAACGGCAGTCGTTCCGCATCGACAACTCGACCTTTGAGGCCGAGAGGACAACTTCACAAGCACTTGAGGGCATCAAGAAGAACGAAGCTTTGTCAGAAGCGTCATATTCACCTTCATCAGGTGCAAAGCTATTCTTTGGACAACTTCCCTACTCTCTCAAGACAGAAAGGGATCCGAAGGGAGACGAGGATGTAAGTGCCGATATTAAACTGACACATGATGGCTTGTGTGTCACCCCGCTAACATGATGTTCAGTCTCTATATCTCGAGGTCTCCGTTACCGACCAGTCGTTGGAGATCTCTGGACGACACTCTACCTGGAGCGGATCGAGCGATGTCGACCAAGAGGTCAGCAACTTCATCTACGTTCTCAAGAACGTCCTCGAACACCCGGACCGGCGGCTGGGAGACCTACTCGGAGCTACAACCAAGGACCTTGACCAACTGTGGCAATGGAACCAAGAGGTGCCGCCCCTGATTGAACGATGCGTCCAAGACATGATTTCCGATGTCGCCCGCGACCAGCCAGACGCCATTGCTGTGCAGTCTTGGGACGGAAACCTTACATACAAGGAGCTTGATGACTTGGCAACGCGCCTTGCACGCCACCTCCGATCCCGGGGAGTCGAGATCGGTACCAGGATACCACTTTGCTTCGAGAAGTCCCGATGGGCCATCGTTGGGCTGCTAGGGGTGATGAAAGCTGGCGGTACCTTTTCCCTCACTGACCCAAGCCAGCCTGAGGCTCGGTTAAGGACCATTGTCGAGCAGACTGGCGCCGAGCTGGTCATCACCTCGGTGGCTCAGAGCCAACTTGGTCAGAGGATCGTCGGTGGTGGCCAGGTTATCGCTGTCTCTGCCGACTTCTTTGATGCCATCCCCGAGGCTTCTGACGAGCCCCTGCCTCAAGTGCCTGCCTCGTCGCCCATGTATGTCATCTTCACTTCGGGCAGCACGGGAAAGCCAAAGGGAGTTGTCATCTCCCACGAGAACTACACCAGCGGTGCCATCGAACGAGCTCGGCAGGTGGGCTACAACTCTACCTCTCGATGTTTCGATTTTCCGTCGTACGCTTTCGACGTCAGCATTGACTGTATGCTCTGCACTCTATTCAGCGGTGGACGTGTCTGTGTTCCATCTGATGAGGCCAGGATGAACGACCTCAGCGGTGCTATCCGAGAGAGCAAGGCCAACATGGTCCATATGACGCCGTCAGTGGCTCGCGTCCTAGACCCCGACATTATCCCTGCGCTTGATGTCCTGGGGCTTGGCGGAGAAGCTGTCGGAGCCAGTGATGCGGCTGAATGGAGCAAGCATGTCCAGCTCGTCATCGCCTATGGTCCATCTGAATGTACTGTCGGTTGCACGATCAACAATACTCTTCATATCTCGACCGGCATTGGAAAGGCTGTTGGTGGAGTGTCGTGGATCGTTGATCCCGATGACCACAACCGGCTTACTCCAGTTGGAAGTGTGGGCGAGTTGATTATGGAGGGCCCTGTCGTTGGTATTGGATATCTCGGTGAGCCCGAGAAGACCGCAGAGGTGTTCATTGAGGATCCTACATGGCTTTTGGCAGGTCACGGCGATGTACCTGGCCGCCATGGACGATTGTACAAGACTGGTGACTTGGTCCGATATGACCCCAAGAACCCTGGGGCCATCGAGTTCGTCGGCCGAAAGGACCAGCAGGTTAAACTCCGTGGTCAGCGTGTCGAGCTCGCCGAAGTTGAGCATCACATCCGGGAGTGTCTGCCTCCCCGAGTGAAGATCGCTGCTGAGGTTATCAAGCCCGAGAACGGCGCACCAACATTGGTTGCCTTTCTTGTTGAACCCATCCAGGCCCAGTCTGATGCTTCAGGTAGTCTTTTCACAGAACCTTCACAGGAGCTCAGCGCCTCTCTCTCCCACATCGACTCAGCTTTGGGTGCCAAGGTTCCTCGTTACATGGTTCCGGCTGCCTTTATCACTCTGCAGTATATGCCATCGCTGGTGTCTGGCAAGACAGACCGCAAGAAGCTCAGGGAGATTGGAAATTCAATTCCCCGAGAGAAGTTTGGCAGCCTGCAGTCTGGTGACGGACAGGAGGATGAGCCTGAGACAGAGGCAGAGAAGAAGTTGCAAAGGGCCTGGAACAAGGTGCTTGGCGCCGAAGTCAAAGTCTACAAGCAGAGCAACTTCTTTGGCGTAGGCGGAGACTCACTTCGTGCCATGAGGCTTGTTGCTGCGGCCCGTGAAGAGGGACTCGGTCTGACAGTTGCTGAGATCTTCTCCAACACGACCTTTAGTGACATGGCTGAGAAGGCTGTCGAGATTGCCGAGACCTCTGAGGAGGAGAGGGAAATTGCCCCGTTCTCGCTTCTTGACCAAGATTGGGACATCAATGAGGCACGAGCCGAGGCAGCTACTCTCTGCGGTATCAAGGAAGACCTTGTAGAGGACGTTTACCCCTGCACTCCCCTTCAGGAGGCGCTTATGGCTCTCTCGGCCAAGGTCAAGGAGGCCTACGTCGCTCAGAGAGTGGTTGAGCTACCTGACATGGAGACTGCCGAGCGACTTGTCCACGCATTTGACGTTGCTCAGCAGGACTGCTCTATTCTACGGACTAGAATTGCCCAGGCTTCTGGTCGTGGCCTCGTTCAGGTTGTGGTGAAGGGCCATCTTGAGTGGTATTCCGGAACCGACCTGAAGGAGTATCTCGTCCGTGACCGAGACGAAGCGATGGACCTGGGCAAGCCTCTTGTTCGATACGCTGTTATTACCAATACCGAGGCTGGCACCGTCAACTTTGTCTTGAGCATGCACCACGCTCTCTATGATGGTTGGGCCATGCCCCTGATCGTTGAACGTATCAACAAGGCCTACACTGGTGGCTCAATCAGCCGGCCTGCTGAGTTTAAGCACTTTATCAAGTATCTCAACGGCATGGATCGATCAAGCTCTGAGGTGTTCTGGAGGGAACGATTGGATGGAGCCAATGGCCCTCAGTTCCCTGCCCTTCCTTGGCCTGGTTATCAGACCGCTGCCGACTCTCTCCTTGAGGTCTATGTGCCTCTTGAACACCCACCAACCAACTCCACTACAGCCACCGTCATCAGGGCTGCCTGGGCTCTCGTCGTTTCCCAATACATCAACAGCGGCGATGTGGTATTTGGCGAGACGCTTACAGGCCGAAATGCCCCTATTGTGGGAGCCGAGGAGATTGAGGGACCCATGATCACTACTGTTCCCATCCGGGTACAGGTCGACTACGAGTCTCCTGTATCTGAGTACCTGCAGGATGTCCAGGAGGGAACAGTTTGTCAGATCCCCCACGAGCACTATGGTCTTCAGCATATCCGCCGTCTCAGCCCTGATGCTCTAGAGGCGTGTGAACTCCGTACTGGCCTTGTTCTTCACCCGAGCACGACAGGCGATGATGTTTCTGGCGAGGATCTGCCTGCGGATCGTCTGGTCCCTGCTGGTGACGAGGAAGCTGCTCAGGAAGCGCTCAAGTTCAACACATATGCTCTCATGCTGGTGTGCTCCATTGACCCTAAGGGCTTCCTCATCATGGCGAGCTTTGACTCCAAGTGTGTAGCGAAGCCTCTGATGGAGCGGATCCTGGATCAGGTCAAGCAAACTGCACAGATGCTTGCTGAGAAGAGTCAGACTCGTCTAGGGGAACTGGCCTATCTCACTGAGGACAACTGGAGCGACATTCGTGAGATGGCGAGTGCCTCTGTTAGTGATGAGGCCTTGAAGGAGTACCCTGACCTCGTGTCTGCTTACATCGTCGACACACATGATGCCAGGCGTGTTCTTCCTAAGGGTGCTATGGGCGAGCTTGTCATCCGAAGTACTGCTGAACTCGAGTATCCTGCGATTGAGTGGCCTGCCTGGCTAAACACCTTGTATGGCGATGAGACCGCCAACCTCGAAGGCACTCTTTACAAGACTGGAAAGCTTGCTAAGTTCAACGCCACTGGCTATATCGAGTTTATCGATCAAACGGCCAAGACCAATGCTGCCTCCCTCACTCAAAGACGACCAGCGAAACGAGTGTCGGCCACGTCACGCAAGCAGCGCAAGCTTCGTGGACTCTGGAGCCGTGTTCTCGGACTCTCAGAGGAGGATATTGGTCTCAACGACAACTTCTTCCTTCGTGGAGGCGATTCCATCGCTGCTATGAAACTTGTATCAGAGGCTCGCCTTGCGGGTGTCAAGTTGACCGTTGTCCAGATCTTCCAGAAGAGAACCCTGTACGATATGGCCAACGCGATGGAGGAGGCCGAGGTTGTCGATCATGAAGTCGTTGAGATTCCTGCCTTTTCACTGCTCGAGACTGAGAACAAGGATGAATTTATTGACAAGATTGTTCGCCCTCAACTGGCAAACCCTAAGTGGAAGATCTCCAACGTCCTCCCCGCGAGACCCCTTCAAGAAGTTGCTGTCAAGGGAACTATTCAGATCCCTCGATTCTCAACACGTTACGAGCTCATGTACTTTGGCTCGGCAGTCGATCGAGCCAGGCTCATGGCCAGCTGTCGAGAGCTCGTCTCGCGCAATGAGATGCTGCGGACTGTGTTTGTTGAGCACGAGGACCAAGGCTACGGTGTCGTCATTGAAGACCTCGAGGCAGAGTTTGTCCACTATGAGATTGACAGCGAGGTCGAGGCCTTTGCCAAGCAGCTCTGTCAGCTTGATGTGTTGACCAAGATGCCTCTCGGCTCTGTCTTTGTCAAGTGGTTCCTCGTCGAGGGTGAAGATGATAAGGCCTGTCTCGTCTTCCGTATCTCGCATTCTCAGTACGATGAGATCTGTTTGCCCTTGATCCTCAAGCAGCTCTCAGCGCTATACGAGGACAAGCCTGTCCAGGAGACTGTTCCCTTCTCGTCCTACGTCGGCCACGTTGTTCGTGAGAACATCCCCAAGGCGGTTGACTACTGGAAAGAGCTTCTCGAGGGTTCTTCCATTTCGATACTCCGACCAGACGTGCCAGTTGAGAAGAAGAACCACTTTGCCATCCAGAAGACGGTAGACATCTCGTCAAGATCCAAGGACGTGACCGTAGCCACACTACCTACGGCTGCTTGGGCACTGTGCCTTGCTCGCCGTCTCTCAACACGAGATGTCACGTTTGGCGAGGTCGTCAGCGGTCGAAACATTGACTTCCCTAATGCTGATCTTGTCATGGGGCCCTGCTGGCAGTATGCCCCCGTGCGCGTCAAGTTTGCCCCCAGCTGGACCGTGTCAGACCTTCTTGGCCACATTCAAGATCAGCATATCGCCTCCTCGGCACATGAGGGCATCGGCCTCAAGGAGCTTGTCCGTCTCTGCACAGACTGGCCCAAGACGACGGACTGGTTTGACACGGTGGTGCATCAAGATGTCGACCACGTTGAAACCCTGGACTTCCAGTCCGCAAGCAGCAGAATGGAGACGGTCTACGTCCATGAAGAACCCCTGCGCGAGTGGAAGATTCAAGCCTTCCCCTCTGGCAATACACTCACACTCGAGATCGTCACGGTGCAGTCATGGAGCGGCTACGCAGAGGAGCTGCTCGAGGACCTGGCAGGCGTCCTATCATTCCTAGCCAAAGACCCTGAGGCGAGGTTGTTTGAGGATGAGCCAGCACAAGAGATTGTTGAGTAACGTGGCAGTTTCTAGCTCTGATTGTGTTTCAGAAAAATGGGCTATGCTTTTATGCCTTGATGCTTTACGTTACCTTGGTTTCTCGACTCTATGCTTTCTGGTTCTCGCTTTGGTTTCCCTTTTCTTTTTTATTATAATTCTCAAGATTCATCAAGGCCCAGGCCTATTTATTATTACAGTTCCTCCAACTCAAAACGACACAGGAACTTTTTTTATTTTTTCAAATCATGTCTTGATAGATTTTGGAGTGGGTCTTGTTAGTCTAGTTATTCATCTCAACGTGACAACTGTTTGTTTTATGCGAAAAGCCTCATTGTGATCGAGACTGGACAAGCTTTTGACGGAAGGATCCGTTACATCTCACATCATTGTCTTGACACGTCGACCTGCGTCTTTCTTGTCTTTGTTTGTTGGTCAGCTCTTGGAATCATGCAAGCCACTCAACAGCTTCACATCTTCCATGCATGAATGAGTGCATACCTTGACTTGTACATATCTGTCATGGAAGCTGAATGGAACAATATCGTTGAGGCATGTGATACCAACGGAATGTTCCGAGTCGAGCATCGATCGACCATGACAGACGCCATCGCGAGTCAATTGCATCATCTTCAGGAACGTAAAAAGTCACTACACCCTCTTTACGGCATCTACTCTACGGTGGACACGTGAAAGATAAAGACAATAAAAAATTGGGTGGTATTTGTGTGTAGACAGAGATATACTAACAAGACTAAAAAAAAAACAATTCGTCAGCGCTATCGTAATGCTGGCACCACATATCCATCCATCCGTACTCAAATGCTGGCTAAGTTATGTACCGCCTCCGCCTTCTAGGCCCGCCACGTAAGAAGCCTGGTATCGATATCGTGGGTGATTGGGTAGAGACCTGACCTTGCGCAGAAACTCCAGGCTCAAAACAATGACCCTGCCGTGGAGAGAAAGTCCGATATGACAACGTAGATAAGAGAAAACACCAGAGAAGCCATCTTCTCTCCAGTATGCCAGAGGCCGAAAAAAAATAAAAATTTGTGAAAGAAGGTACAGATCCAAGCGCCGTGCATCAGTCGTCAACGATAGTCCTCTTCATGTGATCGTAATCATCAAAAAATCGTGTTGTAGGGTTCCAACCATCATGTCTCCCTAGGCCTCTCTGTTGAAGCATTCTCTGGAGCGCCGATGCCGAGGGCCCGAACCAAACTACGGCGGATACCCTTTCCGGCCCCGCTCCCTGAGACATCGTCCTTGTCGCGCCCAAGCAGGCCAAAGCTCATGCGACGAGCCATGTTGTTGGAACCATCCTTCTCCTGGGGTGGAGTCGAGGGCTTCTTGGGCTTCTTCTTCTTAACGATTGGCGCCGGGGGAGCCATGGTCGGTCTCGGAGGCCATTCACCGTCGCGCTTCCAGCCTGAGACACAGGCGCGGAGCATGTCGGAGAGGTTGATAGGGCATGATGGTTGAAGGCTGTGGATGATGACCTTGTCGTAGAGGCTGAGGTAAACGGAGGGAGTGATCGAGGCTCGAAGCGGGTTGTTAGGAGGGAGAAGAGGCGGCGCAATTGGCAGCAACACCTCTACTGGATAATTTCGGCTCGATGGAGTCGTCGAAGGGGTGGTGTCCTTGGACTGCTGTTTTCGGAGGTCGTCGCTCCTAGCAAGAGAAGAACCATCGGAACCGTCGCTGGTCTGAGGTGGCTGAGTAGACGCTGTAGAAGAGCTGGGAGGAGATCCCGACATGGAGCGACGGAAAAAGAAGCGGCGGGGAGATCGCGGTGACACAGCGGGAGGTGAGACAGGCTTGCTGCGGATACGGACAGTTCGTGCGCCGGTCCATGCGGTTCGCCGTGCCTCGAAGCAGGCCAGTCCTTCGTTCCATTCCATTTCCTTGCGAACCGCCCTCCGTCGCTTGGCGCGCTTGGCGAGGACTGCAGCCTGAACAGCTGAGCCTACCGTGTTGGGGCTGTCGAAGCGGAACGGGGAGCGCGAAGGCATGGGCTCATCATCATCGGAAAGATCTGATGTCCATTCCATGCGCGGACGGTAGTGGACGGGGTCTTCCGAAACAGTGCTGTAAGTCGACTCGGCGTCGCTATTGTCGTCGTCATCGTCTGACGACTCAACATCGTCTACTTGATACCCATCGTCGTCGCGCGTCTCATCCAGAATTGGCATTGTAGGCTCGACTGCATCCAGACTTGTGAGCCGCTGGTGGGCTTCTCCAGATGGTTCGGATGTGGATGTCGTGTCTGCGACAGAGATGGAGCCGTTTGCGGGAGGTGGGTCAACCACACGAGAGGGCCATGAGAAATCCCAGTCATTCTTGACCTTGACCTCGAGATATCGCCTGACTGCCTCTTTTTGCTTCACCTTGTCCTTGCTGAGAAGGTCGGCGTGGTCATCGTCGCACCAATCTGGGGTAGAGGTGGACAGTGGAGCCGGCATTGAAACCGAGTGGTGCCTGAGCTTAGCGATGGGAGATCGCGGGCTCTTGTAAATGTCGGAGAATATCATGGTGGAAGATGAGTGTGAGTGTGAGTGTGCCTGGGCGTTACGGGCCCTCGAGGCAACCGTAGCCGAGCTTGCTGATGCTTGTTGTGAGGAACGCGACACACAAGGTGACTCAGAAACCGCTGTTAGACGTGGGATGGTAGTCGGCGTAGCGGCTGCGATAGCGGTAGCGGTAGCGGCAGTTGTCGACGGGGAATGCGGGGGAAGGGAGGCGACTTGGAGGAGAGGATGCACGGTTGTGGACGTGGGTGGTATGATGCCGGTTCTTGATAATGGTTGTTGCTGATCTTGTTCTTGTTCTTTGTTAGCGACTTAAGCGCCGTGTATTAGAGGACGTCTTGTCCCCGAGAGTTGTAAGTAGAGTTTGAAAGAGACAAGGTCCGTGTATGAAGGGTAGACACAACGGACAGGACAAGAGGGTAGGAAAGAATGATGAATGATTCAACAGGACCAACACCAGAGGGGAATGGGGTGGTGACTTGTCGTACTGGGGGTGCCCAAAGCTATATATGGGAGGCGGCGGTGGTGGTATCCTTGAGCGGAGGTGGCGTTGCGAGGTCAGGTTAAGGTAAAGCGCGAGAAGGATGGGACAGGGAGTGAATTAGACTGTTGGGTTGGCAGCTAGAGTAACAGCTGAGTGGCTTTCGACTTGGCCATAAACAAGTGGTTCTGCGCCTAGTCTGTTGACCTTGTCTCCTCATATGACAAGTGACGTCGACTTGTAACGCGGGGAAGAGGAAGGGAAGGGAAGGGAAGGGTAGACAGGGAGACGAGGCAGGGTCAGGGAATAAGAGGACGGGCCAGGACAGAAGCTGTCATGAGCCAAAGCCATGACTACTGGCAATTGGGATCCAAGGGTAGGTACGAGACAGTAGCCGGGTGCAGCAGAGAGCGTTGAAACGAGGCAAAAGGTTGTGCTCACTTAAGAAATGATCAACAGCGATGTGATATGATGTGAGTCTGCGTCTGCCTGAGCTGAGACTGAGACACGCTGGGGAAGCCGAGGAATTCGAGAAGATGGGGGATCAAGACAAGACACAAAAAGACGAGCTAGAACACGGCGAAAGGCGAGACAAGAGGAGAGTCTTTAATGTCAGGTAAGGTTTGTACAGAATGCACCTCGGCCGTGATTCAAGGGGGGGCAACAGAAGCTTGGATGCTCATGAGGTCCCTGTCCATGCGCGCTTCTCCAGTCTCCGGTTTTTGAATCTAGCGGTGATCGACCTTGGGCCGCCTTGACCCTGTCTCTCTGTGCTGTGCAGGACACGACGAGGAGAAGATGTAGAGATGGGAAAGGTGAGCTTGTCGACGACGGTGGTGGCCGAGTGGACAGATTATGGAGACGCGTGAGGGTAAAAAAAAAAACGGGTGACACCATGGGAGATTTGGGATATGGCCATAATACGAAAAGAAGAGAGATCAACTACTCACGGACGGCGACAGTCGCATCGATGGGCGCCTGGTCACGGACGGAGCCGACGACGGCTGATGCGACAGACGGATTTGGCGTCCGAGGCGACATGGTTGATCGGGAGAGGACGCCCGGACTCTCACTCAAGCTCGAGGATCGCGGGCAGGGGTCCAGAACTTGAACAGAGTCAGAGTGTAGCACGCTGCTTCTGCCGCTGTCTGGTCTGGAACCTGCTGAGCGACTCATTGGAGGTCTGGATGGTGGACGGACCCGTTCGTTCGTTCGTTGGCGCCCTGTTGCGTCGGGCGACAGCCGCTGCTTCTTGCTTTCTCTTGGCGGCTTGTGACCCAGGTCTCACGCCGCAAACCAAGCAAGCATTCAACGTCTGTTCCCATGAACCGGTTGGGGTTGGGTTTTTGGCGAAGGCGCGGAATTGACTCTTGACGGACCACGACCTAGCAAAACGTCCATCGACAGGCGACGGGACGCATGTGCGACTTTGCGGGCCACAAAATTTTTAGCAGCCACTAATGGACCCCAGACGAAGCAACCTAAGATGGGAACCCACTCTAGAAGTGCGACGCCCCAGCCTTGCCTTTGCCTCTGGCGTGTCAGAGAGCGGAAGCGTCTGTGTGGTGCGTGGTATTTTTCGGAGCGAGGGCGCCCGGCCGACGAAGCGATGGATGGACAAGATGGCGATGATGGATGGTGGTGGTGAGTGATGAAAGCGGAGGGGCTAGGTTCAAGGTCCAGGTCTTTCCATCCATGGATGAAAATGGCCACTGCGCACAGCCCCCAGCTACAGCGGATAGAGCCCTGTAATCGTAATCCATCCCCTGAAGCCGGACCGGAAGTCGATAAACAGCAACTGCTTTTTCGCCCTCCCCCGACACAATCACCATGTTTGGTAATTCTGTAGATACCTACAACCCATTCTATTACAGCAGGTTTCCTCTTAGGTCAGAAGCTACGAGTGGATCTCTTTGTCGTGTGACTCTTCTTTTTTACTCAACTCTTGACGACAGTGCCTCTCAGCGCGAGTGCGGGCGCGAATGCAGAAGCAGGGGTGGACGAGACTTTTACAGTGGGAACCAAGCCCAGCCCAGCCCAGCCCCCCCAGGGATGGAACACACACACACACGCAAGACACTTGAAAGCCGGGGCGCTCAATTGGGGGCTCTGATTGGTGAGGTACGAGTCAGCCGCTGGTTTACGCCCTGTAGGTGCACGGTCAGAGGCGCTGAGCCAATGTCCCAAGTCACATGATGTGTGAATTCCCGTCGAGACTTTTCGTGAATGCCCTCACTGTGGACGTTCCAGTTACACAGAGTGAAACAGAACAGATGGCACGCAATAAATGCATCAGCCAAAACACTCATTTCCCCAGTCTCCACATCTTGTCCAAGACACTGTCGACAATGACATGGTGGTGCCAAGACATTCATGGGTCTAGAGTGCAAGGCCCCCTCCCCCTCCCTTCAAGTCCACCTTATCCCCGGCAGAGCAAGGCTGCTTGTCTTGAAGGGCCCTGGTTCATTCATGCGTTGTCTTCTCCTTTTTTTCTTCTTTTCCCTCTTGCCCGTGCTCTACTTCGCCTCCGCAAGCACAGCCTTGTCTGCCAAGCAAGTTAGAAATCTTGATCAGATGGACTTGTCGTTGACAAAGCCCGCGGAAATCTGCCTCCGTCTGATAAAATGTGACTCTTGTTTTTCGGTAATCAGTTCCATGTGACGACTGACGTAAGGTATACGACGGATACAGAGTGTACTACGGTATGCATCATATGTGCGAGGGTCGCCTATCGCGGCTGTCGTTCAGCCTGATTTGATCGTCTCTTGACCGATACATCACTCCATCACTTGACAAAGCAAGTAATTCACCGCTGTCTGTGAGCAATCTATGCTAGTGGAGACTATCAGCTGTCAACCATTATCCTAGTCAAGGTCTAGGGTCTCTTCTCTGGCCGTCATCGCTCTATGCTATCATCCTCATCCGAGTTGGGGTTGAGCACGGTTGGATTCGTTCAACTGTCCAAGCCAGGGGAGGCTCTGCCAACACCATACACTTGATACGACACTCTATACCCTCACATCACGAGTCAATACATTCTCACATGTAGTCAAGGTCAAGTCACAAGAAGGTTAGGTAGAGTGTCTAGTCATTGCCATTTGATTCATGTTCGTTATCCTCTATCCTCATAACCATCACCGTTGTTAATCCATCCTATCCTTGCAACCATCATCACCCTTTTGATCCATCCTATCCTCATCACTATCATCACCATTTTTGTTTCCATCATGTCCTACCAGCCATCACCACTCTGTTTCCATCAATCATCACCTTGTGTCATCCTTCAAAACTTAGGCCAGTTCTCAGCGTTGAAAGAGTCGACAGACATGGGCTGGCCGAATGAGTCGAGCTGCTCGTACTGGTTGTTCTGAGCGAGGAGGTTGTAGTTGTACAGCTCCTGCTCCTCCTGCATGCGCTCGCCGAAGACGCCGGGCTGCTCCTCAGGGACCATGTACTTTGCCCAGACCTTGTTGTATTCCTCGTCATCTTGAAGGTTGACCGGATCCTGTTCCTGGTTCATCGTCTGTTGGAGGAACAAGAGTCCATCCTCGACAGTCTGGGGCGCCTCACGATTCTCGTCAAGGGTCTCTTGGGGGTGGGAGAGGAATGACTCGTCAGTACCGTGCATGAGCATGTTGGCGAAAGCCAGGTCCTTGGGATCGGACTCGGGCCAGGGAACGAAGTCATGCTGGGCAATGGTCTCAGGCTGGGTAATGATCTCAGACTGGACAATCTCTTGGGTAGCCTCGGGCTCAGTAGTAGTCTCGGGCTTGTCGGTGCTAGTCTCAAAGTCGAGAGAGATACCAAGACCGAAGCGGTAGTCAACGTTGCCGGAAGACTTGGAAGGGACATCAACCATCTCAGTGTCAGGGACCTCAGTAGTAGGCTCGGTGATAGCATCGGCAGCAGGCTGAGTAACTTGAGTAGGCTCAGTGACCTCGGTAGGCTGAGGCTGGGTGATGATAAGAGGAGCGTCGGGCAGGATCAGTTGAATGCTAGGCTGAACAGTGGGAGCGTCAGACTTGTCGGTACGAGCCTTCTTTGACTTGGTGTGATCCTCGGCATCGGACTTGCGCTTGTTGTTGGCAGTGGTCTTGGTGGGAGCGGCCTTGGTGGTAGTGACCTTGGCGGAAGAGGTCTTGTCAGTGATCTGGGTCTGAGGCTGTTCGATAGTTTGGGGCAGAGTCTCCTTGGAGACGGTGACGGTGTCGTTCTCGTTGTCGTTGTCGACAATCATGTCGCTCGCGGGCGAAGAGGCAGGGGGGGTAATGGCATCAGTGCCAGATGGGACATGCTGCTGCTGGAGATGCTTATTCGCCATGAGAATTCCAATGACGGCAATGTTGCTCTGCTTCTCCATCTCTGGGAGCACATTCATGGCAGACAGGCAAGTACCAAGAACCTGTTCGGGGTTGGCACCATCAGGAACCTGGACCTTGAAGCCGCAGATCGTACCAAACTGGTGGAGGTTGTTGGTGGTCTTGAGGAGGATGCTGCTCTGGGCATGCTGGGCACCGAGAAGGTATGCCTGATGGACGATGGTGTGAATGGAGTCCTGAGAAGTCTTGGAACCTTGATCGTTGGAAGAAATAGCCTTGAGTTGAGGATCGATGTTGTCTCCAGAGACAGGTTGCTAGCCAGTCTCAGAGGTACCCTCAGGCTTGTTGGAAGTGTTGGGCTTGACTTCAGAGGAAGAGACCCGGACCTCGTGGTCGCTCGACTTGCGGTTGATTTCGCCGTTCTGAGAAGACTGGCGCTGAGAAGAACCCTCGCCCTCGACGGTGACGGCAGACTGCTTGCCACGCTTCTTCTTGGACACGACGATCTCAGAAGGAACCTTGGTGATGGCCCGAGTGGCGGTGGGAACAATCTCAGAGGCAGTGGGAACAGCCTTGGAAGCAGAAGTCTCTTCGAGATCAGAAGCATCGGTAGAGGCAGAAGCATCGCCAGAGAGAGAAGCATCGCCAGTTGTAGAGGCATCGTCGGTGGCAGAGGCATTCTCGAGGGCAGCGAGTGGAGCAGCCTCCTCCTCGTCCACTCGCTTGGCGGCCCGGGCCCGTTCACAGAGCTTTTGAAACTTGGCGTGATCAATGGTAGGATCGAGAGTAGGAGGGGGGTTGACAAAGTTAGCTGGATGGGGGGCGACGGTCTGCTTAGCAGGAGCAGGAGCAGGGACAGCAGCAGGGACAGGATCCTTGCCGGCGGCAGTCTTCTTGGTGGAAGCAGGAGACTTGCGAGCAGCACGCTGCTTGGGGGGAGTGGGTGTCTTGGTATGTCCAACCTCCCGGATGAACTCCATCGGAGGAGTCTTCTGGGCAGAGAGTGTCTTCATATCAGAAAACATGCTTTCATCTTTGCCGGTCTTGGGTGCCTTGCCCGGGCGGCCTCGTCGGGCAGGCACTTTTCGCGAGGCCACGCCGTTGTCGACAGTAATGAATTGAGTCTCGTTGGCAGCCTTCTTGGAAGTCTTCTTGTAAGGCTTCTTGGTAGGAGATGCGGAGACCTGAGGGAAGCAAGGAGTTTCCTGCTGGGTCTGGGGAGTAGCAGGCTGGTTCTGGACGAGAGCAGGTTGCTGAGCGACCATGTGCTGCTGGACAGCAACAGGCTGCTGAGCAGAGACAGGATGCTGAACCTGCACAGGCGCACGCTGGACGACAGGCTGAGCCTGCTGATGGTTGACTTGCGCGACAGGCTGGATAGCCTGCTGGTTCTGCTGAGGAATCTGCTGCTTGTTCAGGTGAACAGCTTGCTCAGTGTTGACAATGTTCTGCTGAGGGACAGAGTAGTGCTGACCGACGCGGCGAACAGGCTGGACAGGAAGCTGGCGAGGCTGAATAGCCGCCTGAGGAGCAAAGCTCTTCTGGGGCTGGTTGACCTGCTGCTTCTGCTTGAGCTGCTGGAGCTGAGCGGCAGTGAATGCGACAATGGGACGGCCATTCGCGTCAAACATCTGCTCGCGCTGAGCGGGCTGAGCGGGCTGAGCAACAAGGAAAGGGTCGATGTTGGAGACAGGAGTCTTGACAATGTTGTGGGTAACGGGAGGAGGCTGCTGGAACTGGGTTCCATTGCCATGACCCTTGGGAGCAGAAGCGACAACGTTGACGAAGCCGTTCTGGGCGGGGGTGGGAGTGGAAAGACCATTGGCAAGGTTGCCAAGGTTGAAAGAAGAGGTGTTACCTGCGGCGACGTTGGCAGAAACAAGAGCCGGGTCGACGACGCCAGAAGTGACAGAAGTCTTCTTGGTGTTGTCCTTGGAGACATCAGACTCGGAGCCGTCAAGGTTGAGCAACTTGTTGACCGCATTGTCGTCAAGCTTCTCAAACTAAGATAAAGTTAGTGAGATGCAAATGCCAATTCGGGCGCGCGACTTACCTCCTGAGCGGACATGACACGCTTGTTCTTCTGAGAAGCAGCATCGTTGTTGCCAGCGGCGACGAAGTCGTGACCAGCAAACTCCTTGTTGTTGACGAAACCGTTGGTAACGTCAAAGTTGTTGGTGGGGTAGAAGCCGTTCATGGGCATGCTGTAACCGTTCTGGGGCATGAAGTTGTTCATAGGCATGAAGCGGTTGTTGGTAGGGAACTGGTTCGAGGCAGGGAACCCGTTCGCAAAGTCGTTGTTCTGCTTGGCCTGAGCCTGAGGCTTGTCGGCAGCCTTGGAGTAGTCGATAGGCTGCTGGGCATAGTGACCCAGGGCATCGTGGTAAGTCTGATCGACCTGTGAAATGCGTTTGTCAGTCGCCGCTTTCATCTCATGTTGTGCCGCTCCGGGAAGGGGGATGAAGATGATACTCACGCTCTGGCCAGGAAGCTGGGGAATGAAGGCGGTATCGAACGGGTAGCTCGCGAGAGGCATGCCGTTCGAGGTGAAGGCACGGTGCTCGACGCCGTGATAAAGGGTGTTGGGGTTGTAATCAGGCCCGTTGACCAGCTGGTCGACGTGCTCATGAGAAACGTGCTTGGACATGATGAAAATGATCTGATTCGTGTCTGTGACTGGAAAGAGATCTTTGTTGGAAACAAGCGACGTAGCAAGTCTCGAAAGAAGGGGGTGGTTATCGCGTCCGAAGACTGAAGTCGTAGAGAAAGGGGAGGTAAGGCGGAAGAGAATGAATCGAGACTGCGCGGCAGCAAGATTCAGAAGCGAAGAGGAGATGAAAAAGAAGCTCGACTATCGATGATAGAGAGCTAAGAAGGTAAAGTGAAGCAAAGAGCTCGTGTGTGTGTGAAGATCGTGATGTGCAGAAATGCGATTGATGCAAAGAGCTTGACTCCTGTGTTCTCGCGCTTTTCGCTTCAAAGTAAGATCAGAGTAAACCTCGAGAAGAAGTAAGACGATGATCCAGTCGTGAAGACGAAGAAAGATTTGATAGACAGAAGAGAAGTGAATGATATCGCAAAGTGTCAGATCGGTTGAACGTGTGCTGCGAAGCTTGGTGTTCAGGAATCTGACGATGGTGGTGGGAGAAGAGAGGAGAAGCAGAGGAAAAAAAAGTCCCAAGGTGGAATACCCGGCTGGCCTTGGAGGGGTCCGTGTGTCGTTCTCAGATTGTCCTCAGATTCGGTGGATCGTCCTGGCAGTGTCAAGGAGCTGTCAACACCTGGCGAGGTGGTGAGAACCCGGGCGGCCATGGCGTTTACAGCCAATGGGTGTGCAACCGGTTTCTTTATGTTTATCCATGTTTGAAAACGAGTGTTCGGTCTGTTTGGACGTTGTTCTTGGTGGTTTGGCATCGTGGTGTTGATCAGGGGGCAAGTTCGTGATGTTCAAGTTTTGGTGTTGAGATTTTGGATAGGGGGCTATATATACTACAGATATCTACGCATTGAGACTTCCAAAGGCACAATGATTAAAAATACATGTATTGATTTAATTCAATGACTTCCTATCACTGTCTTCTCATCACAATACGATTTCAATTCATGGTGTTGAGAAAAAATCTGCAACCCATTGTCTGCCTGCTGCACTGTCAACCAGCCGTCAGAAAAAATTTGATATTGACACCCGCCCACGACAAAAGCGGTAGATTAAAATGCACGCACTCAAGTCCATGATGTCATTCCTAATCCATCTGAGGCGCGTCTGAGTTTCCTCTGGCCCTCGCTGCGCCGATTGAGCCAGCGCCTGGGAGGCGGACAATGGCATGCAAAGGGGTCATTTCAGATTGCGCATGGGTCGATGAGCTTGAATTCTACGACTTCAGGAATTGCCAGAACAAGAGATTAAATGCTTCTGAAGATAATGAAATTCTTTTTATCCCGTTTGAAGCTCTGGTTGTTGTTCACAATGTCTCTATCAATGTGGTCGTTGCCCTCCTTTGAACCCAAACGGGCAAGTGAGGTTGTTCGTGACGCTGAGCATTAGGTACGTATCCTCAACAGCATTTCAAAGAGCTTGCGCGCGCGACCGTCCATGCATCCACTTTAGGTCTTTTAATAGCCATGACGTATTTGGTAACCATTCGGGTGATTTACGCCTCAGGTGGTCACTTGTCGCTCGAGGAGCTGCCATGTCCTGACCTTGAGCACGTGATGGTCAATTTTGTCTTCGAACCCACGATGCATCCATTGTAAACGAGTAAATACAAAGAAACCATGTGAACACCTATTGATCCCATCTGTCCGACTGTTTCCCATTGTGTAATCCCTGTAACGAGAGAACAAGCAAACGCTCGTCAAGTGTGCGCTTGTGCATGCGATCAAGCATGTCTGATTTTGAGCCTCAGACTTCCTCCACCAGTTTTCTAGAGACTGGCTTGGAAGCCGGCCCAAAGATTGTCCCGGCCGGGCTCTCGAGCATCTCCTCTGTCACTGCAACCCGCACACCACTCTTGTTGCTGACCCATCGAACAAAGGCTGGGTTGGGCTTCTGGCTGTCATCGCCCCCGTCTCCGTTCCCGGCTGCCTTGCGGCTGACCTTGGGCGCCTGCTTCTTGAGGAGCTTGTTGATAGTTTCCATCTGAAATTAATGTTAGTCCGTGTTGCTTCAAGACTCGAATTTTAGTCGCGCTGTCGTACCTTGACTTCCTCATTTCGTTTCTCGCTGAGGTTGCGGCGTCGTCGGGCCATTTCTTGGCGTCGCATAGACAGCTCTTCTGCCGTAAACACCTTCTTGGCTTGAACCTCTGCCCAAATTGTTAGTCCTGATAGATTCATAATATCACCTTAGACATACCATCGGAGAGTTTCATATACTGTTGCGGCTCATCCTCGAAGCGGGCTCGCTGACGCTTTGTCATCTTGGTGAGGTCGGGAGACTCGTCTTGGCTGCCTTCGTCGTCGCTGTCTGCCTCCTCTTCTTCCTCTTCCTCCTCGTCGCCCTCTTGGCCAGCAACTTCTATCTCCTCGCCCTCGGCGTCCTCGTCGGCCATGGTTTCATCTCCGAAGCCCATAGTCTCGTCGCCAGCATCGCTATCGGCTGGGTCGCTGAGATCATCATCGTCGTCGTCATCTTGTACCACCTTAAGAGCCGATCCTCTAGGCGCCGGCTTGGACCTAGATGGCTTGGAAACGGTAATGGTGGGAGGAGGAGGGGCGAGGTCCATGTCGATGTCGCCTTCGGCATCCTCTCCCTCGGCGTCGACGTCCATATCATCCTCGCCTTCAGCATCCTCCTCCATATCGTCGTCATCCTCCTCCTCTACCTCAATCTCTGCCTCTTCCTCCTCCTCCTCATCTTCATCGGGGCTGGAGTCGACTACGTAGCTCTTCTTTGCGCCCCGGTTTCGCTTGCCTGAAACAATTTCACCACCCTCAAAGCCACGCCCGCCACGTGTCGCCTGTCGTAGCTTGTTGGATGGCATCTTGACAGTCAAACTGAGATGGCGGTCACCGCCCGGCGAGGGGGCATCTCGGGAGACAGACACGCCCGAGGCACGACCAGACCGTCTCGACGACATGCTTCGTTCGCTTCGCTCGTTTCTTTCGGGGGAGTCAGCCATCCTGGCGTGAACGGAAATAACCTCATTCGCCCTAGTGGCCGCTGAGCGGCGCGGACGAGAACTCATGTTGGCAATATCCGCACTAGCGGGGTATTGAGTTTTGGACACCTATCTAAAGCTAGAGGGAAGAATGCAGGTGCGATAATAGATATTAAGAATGAGTAGGATGTGACGGGGTTTATATCTAGTCTCGTAAGGCTGCAAGTATCTCCAGATCAAAGATCAGATGCGCGCATGTGCCCGATGAGTCGAGGTTTAGATAAAAGTCGGACGATGCAAGAAAAGGGCGATCGGGAGGCAAGTTTGGAGTTTTGGTTGTGACGAGGCTGAAATAAGCTCAATTGTTGGGGGCGTCAGACCAAAGGGCAAGAGCCAACCAAGGAAGGATCCAGGGGACAAGCCAAGACCAAAGGTTGAGGCAAGGCAAGGAAGGAAGGAAGGAGCCCAAGGGCAAGCAAGGGTGAGATGGACTGGGAAGGTGCAGCTCCGTGGGATGTCGGTGGCGACGGAAAGTGCAATAAGTTGGGCACTGTGATGATATCTGGTGTCTGGTGATAAAGGGGATGGGACAAATGCCGCTTCACTGGTGATTGGTGAAGATCCGCTTGAACCCAAGATGGAGGAGCATGCAAGGCTGATGTCTGGACAATCGAACTAACCAGTGCCAGTTCCCGCTCCCGCGCCCGCCGCAAGCCAAGAAGAGGAGCAGGACGTTAACGCGAGACGTCGAGGCTGTGTCGCTTGACTGACTGGCTCTGAATCAGGGATTCGTACAGGCGGGCTTGCTGCACGTGGCTAATGATCATCCAGCATAGAGTGCCCCAGAAACAAGCATCCAGCATCGAGGCATCCAATGGTTGGATACGCGGGTGAGTCTGCGGGTGAGGATGGATGTTCCTTTTCCCACTTGTCGCCCAAGTAGGTGCTTCCTCCGTGCGGCTGCTATCTGACAAGCCCGGCACTTGTCCCTATCATTTGGCAATGGAAGGAATGGGCAATGTTGCAATGACGGCAGCCACCAAAAAATGACGAACGATGGTATTGGTGTTGATGCGCCCCAAGGAAAGGAGACGAGACAAAAAACGAATGACCACAACTCACCTGTCACAAAATTCGGTTCTCCTGTCGCACAAAGAGAGCTCGGATTCTCCCGCAATTCGCTGATTCTACCAGGGGCGTTCTCTGCAAGCAGGTTCTGCAGCTTGGCTTTAGGTGATTCAATGGCCTTGAACAGGGTCAGAGGCCAAGCCTACGGAGCGAGCGGTAATCCAATGGCCCCCGCGCGCAAGAGAGTTCCCCTACTGCTCCTCAACTGCTAAGCTGCCGCAGGTCCTCTGAGGCTTGAGACGGATCGCCGTTACACGCTGGTGATGTGTCGGCTGGTTGGTGGTTGACTGGTGCAGTGAGATTGGCTGATGCAGGTGGACGATGGCGTTGGTTCCTGCTGTCGCGTAGCTTTGCAGGCTGGTTCGGTGTTTGAGGTGAGTGTGGATGGCAATACGCATACGAATTGTTCACTCGGCAAGGTTCCAAGCCCCTAGCAAAGTCCTTGAAAGCGTGGCAAGTCGTTCACTTTGATGTTGATCTAGATTTGATGAGCTCTGAAGCGAATGCGCGTTTGAACCAGGTCACCGTTTCCGGGCGACCGTTCCGTTTTGATTCCGCTTTGGACGCCGTAATAGACGGTCCGTGCTGTACCGTCTTCGGGATACCTTCTCACGAACCAGTACGCGTCGCATGTATTCATGACCTCCAAAACATCGCAGGGAGCCAAAGAGTAGCATCAATACAAAGTATCACAGGCACATGTATAAATAAATATTGAGTTCCCTAAGCCTTTACCAGGTAAATCAATATTGGTAAAGAACGGCAGTTGCGACCTTCCCTCCCCACAAGAACCCCAGATTGAACCAACACGCGCTAGCTCCACCGTTTCCCGGCAGGAGACGCCGAGGCATGTGCGTGCCTACCTCGCCGAACCTTACCCGCGTCGGCATCGGAGAGCTTCAACTCGCCTCCTCTTTGTGTGATTCATGTTTATCGATCATCTCAGTGTTCCTGTGTCAATCGCGAAAGACGTAGCAAGATGAGCGACTCCGACTCGAACCCCGGCCAGCCTGCCATTCCCGACTGGCAAAAGACACAGACCGAGGACAACGAGAGCCAGAGCACCGAGCCGGCACCTACACCGAGCAGTTCGGCATCAGAAGTCGATGCGCCAGCGGCAGAGACACCCGCTGAAGAGACACGAGAGGCTGCGCCTGAACCATCTCCCGAAGAAGACAGCCTCACAGTTGCGCGACGCTTCCTCGACAACGATGCTGTGCGCCATGCGCCCCATGATAAGAAGGTCGCGTTCTTGAAGTCCAAGGGCATCGACGATGCCGACATCGAGGCTCTCCTTGGTCATGATGAGCCTTCCTCTGCGCCAGAGGTCCGTCCCCTTAGTGAAACTCATAGAACAGGTCGCTGACATCTCCTAGTCCGACACCAGGTCAGAAACCTCCGACTCGCGATCCTCCTTCGTCCCGACGCCGACCGAAACCCTCTCCCCATCACCATCATCCCAACCACCCGTCGACCGCCCTCCAATCGTAACATACCCCGAATTCCTAGCAAAGTCACCCCGTCCTCCTCCTCTCGTGACAACGGACCGTCTCTTCAACGCCCTCTATGCCATCACTGGTCTCTCCACCCTCGTCTACGGCGCAAGCCGCTACATCGTCCGCCCCATGGTGGACCACCAGGCCGAGGCACGCACAGAGTTCCATGATCTCACATCCCGAAAGATGGATGCCCTTGTCGCAAAGCTCGAAAAGTCCGTGTCAGAGGTGCCTCCCAAGAAGCCCGTTGCCGACGCCGCAAACGCCGAGGACAGCGATGCGGAGGATCCGACCGAGATGTTCCACCGGGACATGGGCACTCAGACAACCTTTCCCATCAGCTCTGTGACAGCCTTGTCGGAAAACGGCGGTGCAAAGGGGTCTTCTACCAAGCACAACGCCACCCAGCTTGCCAGCTTGAATAAGACGCTCTCTGGTCTGAAGGATGAGTATCGCTCACAGAGCGAGGGGATGGACAAGATCAAGACGGCCATCGACGTGCTGCGGGACGACCTTGATAACCTTACCTTTACGGGTCAGTCAACTATGGGCAGCTACGACTTGTATGGTCGGACGCGTAAGAACGAGCCTGATGACGAGATTCGCAAGGTGAGGGACAACATCCGCCGTGTCAAGGGTGTCCTACTCAGCACCAGGAACTTTGCCACGGCAAGATGATGGAGTGAAGCCTTTCGAGAACATAGATATTAATTTGCATCTTCTCCCGCCCCACGGGAATGCTGATGCTGTATTCATAGCCAGTTACAATGCCTCGGTACATACATGAGTTCGTCCAATATACCCTCCATCCATTCCTTCATCCGTCCATTGTGATACAAGAACCATCATCTCGGTGCGACCTGACCGGATGTGTCATCTCGTATCTCATCTCAGGCCTTCTTAGGGTCGTCGATCTTGTACTTGTTAAAAACTGCCTCCCACGGTGTAACCTGAAGTTGCTCAAAGCCACGCCCCTCCTCCACCTGCTCGTGGTACCACTCCATTGTTGGACGAAACTTGAACTCGATCCTATCTTGCTTGGTTCCTTTGGTGACTTGCTGGTAGAGACGATTGTTGCAATTCGTAGGCCTTCTCATTGGCTTCCCACGAGGAGGGTGGAAGACTGTAAGTAACCCATCCTCAGGGTCCTCGTCGATTAGTTCTTCTCGCTCATCAATATCCATTGGTTCTGGAGAAAGGGTTCGAGCGCCAACAGGCGCGTCCCCAGCCTTAATAAGCCTCCACCCCCTAGCTGACATTGAGTGGTATGGAGCCGGGACGTACGTCTTGAGCTTGTCCACGAATGTCTTGAATTGGTCAACGGCAATGTCGACCAGTTCGGTCAAGCCTGGAGGCTTGCTGTTGAGACCTGCGACCCAAACCTTTTCCAACGGTAGTATTGGAGTGAGTTCTGTTTGCACGGCATTTATCAACTCACGCTGTGCTTGAATAAGATCTCCCTCATAGATATCCGGTCGGTCCTTGTCAGCAAGGTTTCCCTTCCTCGTAGGATCCCAGATGAGTAACTCAGCAGTTTTCCATGGCTTCTTGTGCGGTTCGACAGGCCGGTACACCATGATCCAGGGCCGACGAGTCTTCCCAATGACCCTTGGATCTCTCTTGGCGTCCCAAGTTCCATCTATCGTGTAGAATAAAGCCATGGCAGTGTTATGGAACCTGTGTGCAGACTCCAAAATAAAGTCGCGGATAAACCTCATGCACTTCCCGTAGGGGTCAAAGGCGTTGTGATAATCAGCAAAATCAAAGGCCATGGCCGAGTCCCAGTATGAGATTGGAAACTTGTAGATGATGTGTGGGCTCCAACCAGACTCCTTAGTCTTGTCATCAAGCTTTGCCAGAAATGTCTTGAAAGAGTGGGCATCGTCGCTAGGAATGAGCTGCAATTGCGCGCTGGGCTGGCCGGTAGAGGGCTGGGTAGATGATGAGGCTATCACTGAATCCTTCTGGTCGAGAAGGGAATAGACGTCATCTGGGCTGGCAAATGTCGATGACAGGTACTTTCGCCGTGTAATGTAACGAGTCATCCTTTGACCGTCCGGCTCACTGGAACCCAAGACGCTGAACTTTCGGAACCGATTCATGTTCATGATGGACCACCATCCGAACCAATTGACCAAGCTCTGTTCATCGTTGCCGTCTATGCACTCAGGGGCAAAGACAAACGGGGAATGCTCATCGCTCGCCGCGTCGAGGAGGGCCAAAACCATGGACCAGGTCTTGTTTAGCGCCTCAACCCCTTCCTGACTGTTGACGGGAGTTTGTAAGTTGCGCGACAGCTTGCTCAGCTTTTCGGCCTTTTCAAAGGCCAAGTCGCGAAGCCAAGAGTCAAACCTAGCGCAGACCACAAGTCGGACTGCGTCGTTGTCATGCTTCCAGGCCTTCCAGAACCATTTGAAGAAGTTCCACACTTGCTGGGGCTGCGATACCATGAAGCTTGGCGTAACCATGATGGCTTTCCGGTTAGGGCATGTAGGTTGAAGGCTGATGTCCCCAATCTCAGCTGCATTGTCGCTAGAAGGGAACATGGCCGAGGGGTGTGTAGACTTGGAGAAGAGCCAGAACTGGAAGTGTGTGGGCGAGGAATGAAGAAGGAAGTGTAGGTTGGGGAAGAGCCGGACAGACCATATCGCTTCCTCAGGAATAATGACCACTCCATGCTCCATCTTCAAAAAGGTGAGCCAGTGTCCAGGAAAGACACTTGTAAAGATTCTGCAGTCAGGGTTACAGCTTCGGAGCCAACGACCCAAGAACATAACTTCTAAGTCGGCTTGTGGCGGGAAGGCGAGGAAGAAGTGATGCTTGGTTGGTGTGTTGAGGGCATTCTCTGGCAGCAGCCGCTCGTAATGGAAGTTGAAGAGTCGGTGCATCACCGTCGCTCCAATGCGCGGCAGGACATCACTGGAGGTGATTTCGCCCGGGATCGATATTGGGGCAAGTGATGTTAACCATTGAGGAGCTGACCGGAATAAGAGGTACTTTAACTCGGGCACTGTATGGTCAGAGGGGATTGCCTGGCCACCCTCTGGTGCGTGTAGCAATATACACAATTCTGGATGTTGGAAGAGAACAGCCACAGATCTAACCCGAAGCCAACTACAAATTGATGCAAGGCTGGACGGGTCGTCATTTGCAGTCACGACGCCACTGACTGGCTCCACGGTAGAAATGGAGGTTATACAGTCCTGGAAATCTTTCAACATGCAGGAATGTGTGAAGGCCAGCTTTGGCTCGTTTTCCAGGACACAGGACCAAGTCTGTCCCGGCTTGGGTCGAGGCCCCTTGAATGTGACAGAAATTGACGCTGAAGTTCTAGGACCAAATTGGACGTCTTTGGTAATGGTGTAAAGGTCCTGGTGTACGTTGTTGCTGGTGACAGGCGACTCTTCGGCCCAGCGAACACGTCTCGCTGGAGGGCTTGGTGGTAACGCAACACTCGACATCTCAGGCTCCTCGATCTTTGTGACTCTTGAAGCTGAGGGGGGATCTGGGAAGAAAAGACTTTCGTCCTCTTCGGCAATATCCATCAAGTCCTCCACCGGGGTAATGGTTGTTTCTTCCACTTGACCCCAGCTGATCGACTTCTTCTTTTTCTTGGGCTTCGTAGGCTCCCGGTCGCTCGCAGGAGAGTCTGCTGGTTGAACACTGTCGCCATTGTGAGCCACCGAGTTTGCCTCCTCTGCCTCAGCGGCATCCGGGTTTGAATCATCAACAGGATGTTTCTGAGAGGACCGCCTTTTCTCTCTGGGATTGAGGGAATAGAGAACAGCTGGTTTTGGCGGTGCCACTACGCCGTCTTTGTCGCGACTTCTTTTTTCGAGTATTCTTGTAAAGCGATGCTTGAGCATCTTTGGTTGTTTTGTTGGGTCTTCAACAGCCTCGGCCAGAGTGGTCCGCTGCTTTCTCACTTTCCCGCCTGAAAACACATTGCCAGTGAAGGCGTCGGGTGCCTGGGCCTTGCGGATGACTACTTCCTTGCCATTTGTCTCGGAACTGGTGCGCCGAGGCGGGTTTGGACGACCAAATTTGCTGGTCAGACCACTTAATGGACGGACGACTTGTCGACGTGGTCCATCAGGTTTCCTTGAACCATCTCCTGAAGCTCGTCGAGGCGTATCCTTTTTTGTTGCCGGAGGTGAAACAGGCTCAGCTTGTTCAGGTGACTTCTCTCGAGCAGGAGCTGTGCGCTTTGGGCGACCTCTTTTTGGGGAATCATCTGCGTCATCTTTGTCTGGTTGTGCTGTCGTGACCGTTTGGCCCACCTCGGGAGGTGAAGGAGGGGGTTGATCGTCGGTCTTGATATCGGCTTTTTGCTCAGGTGAACTCGGTGTCGATGAATCGTCAGGATCCTCGCCTATTGGCCAAAGATTGAGCGCTTCGATGTGCTCCTCAAAGGTGGTCGGATACACCGTAGGCTCGAGGCCTCTCTCGAGACGTTTACGATTTCGTTCCTCGTGCCGAGCCAGCTTGGACCTGAACCTCTCTATTGAAGCCTTTCTCCACGCACCGATGTTGCGGTTTGACTTTCGTTCATGGTCGTCTTGCTGCTTGGTCTCTTGCCAGTGAGTGAGAAGACTCGCGCTGAGGTTTTCCTCTGGTTCCCAGGATGCGTCAAATAGCTCATATCCTTCCCATCTGATGAGGTAATACAACTTTCCACCATCTTCATGTTCGGCGAGAACAGATGAAACAGTCCATTCTTCCTCCGAGTCAATCTCAGTCTCGATGGTGGAGGTGATCGAGGCTGTCTCGATCTCGTCAACGCCAGCGTTGCCGGGGGATAGCTCTTCCATGGCTTTCTGAGTGGACGAGGGCCATCAAACCATTGGATGTGTGTGGTGAGTGTCCCCAAGGATGGAGAAGGCGTTTGTGATGGACGTGGTCACAGATTGCAGCTCAGTTGCCAGCTCTCTTGCGGCAGAATAACGACGGAGAACTTGCAGAACGAGTGAAGTAGGCAAAGCCTTGGTGAAAGGAAAAGAGGGCAAGCGATACTAGATCTATTGAGGTATGTGACTCTCGCCCCGTGCAAACAGCCAGCTCCCTGCAATCACTGAAATCTGCTCGCGGCTCGGGTACTGCGGCGATAGCGTTGAACTTGCCCTGTAAGCTGTTAGATACTTTATATCCGAGAGTGTTTGTTTTCGCACGTTGGATACCCTCAGGTGCCGAAAATTTCAGATTGCTTGGCCGATTTATTTGAGCAATTCAACAACCCTGAGTTCTGGAGGCGAATGTTCATCCCAGATCGCGTGTGTTGGCGCGGCAGCAACTAGCCGCGCTAGCACGTGACCCCGCTCTCCATTAATGAAAGTGGCTGCAGTGGAAGCTGGCAGCCACCAACTGAAGGCAGTTGCCCCGATGGACGATTTGCATAGCTTGGAATTGATCATCTCGCGATCAAGGTTGCGTAGTGGATAGTAGAGAGGCTGGAGAAAAGCCATAGACTAGAGATAGGCTCCTTGGTAACCTTGGTAGAGGCTCTCGGCTCTTGGTTTAGGTTTGGCTCTCGCGAATTTCGTGTCCTACCTGACGCAACCGGCGAGTTTGCGACTGGGTCTAAGCTATTTGCTACATACAGGAACGGGCAATGAAGGAGTGTTGATGAGTCTTCCAAGTTGTCGCATCATATGCACCGTCGTTTGCCAGTCCAAATCTTCATCGTTGTGGTACCTGTTACTTAGCTGCCGTCGCTTCGCTTAGCGAGACCACAATGCAACCATGGAGCTTTAAAAGGCAGCCTGAATATGGGGGATGTTGACCAGCAAATCTTGAAGAAGTTGTAGCGTTCTCGTAATAAGCCTCTGTCAAGCCCGTGTGGCTGGAAATGACGAACAAGATCCCCTGGTGTCCCGGACAACACCACAGCTTGACTGATATCCACGTGCCTACAAGGCATCATTGATTGTCAGTTGTTAGTGAGGGTCTCCTCCTGCCGGCTCCGGATTAGGTAGCCAATTAATGCGCCCATGACTTCAGCACTCGGTCCCCTTTATCGTTGCCTGCTCCCTACAGAGAGCTAGCTACGGGGGCAGGAAACCACTCGGGCGCTGTCTTCTAAGGGGCCAGGTTGCATTTTCACTGCATTCCCTGGATAATGGATCCATCCATCCATTGTTGCTAAACTGAAAGCGAACTGGACTGGACTGCTGCCATGGAGCACTGGCTGGCCGTACTGCAACATGGTGGTACTTGTGCTACCTGGCCTTACTGGGTGCCACCGCCTGGCATTTACTGGTACCTGGTACTGGTACGGAGCACTCCCCTACAGGAGACCAAGCCCAGCCTTTACGCTTCCATTTTTACCCCTCGGCACGGGTTAAGGTACAACAACCGCCTATCGCCAGAGCCGCGCATTCTCTCCCTCTCCACATCCCACACCTCAACGACGTCGACTCTCTCTTCTCGCAGCGCCAGCGCACTCGCCTTCATCCTCATCCTCCATCCTTGAATTCTTCCTCGACGCCTTCGCCCGAGCTACAACATCGCAACCATGGCCAACGACGAGTATGATGTGCGTCCTCTTCCCCTCCCTAGCCTTTTCTGTCCCGCCAGTTGCTGACCAGTGGGCCCCCTTTGCAGTTCCTCTTCAAAGGTGCCGTCATCTACCATCTCCAAGGCCACGCCTGGCCCGTCGACCTGCCGCCGCCCGTTGCTGACATTGTGAACCTGCAGTCGTGTTGATCGGAGACTCTGGAGTCGGAAAGTCCAACCTTCTCAGTCGATTCACCCGAAACGAGTTCAACCTAGACTCCAAGTCGACTATCGGTGTCGAGTTCGCCACTAGGTCCATCCAGGTCGACTCCAAGACGATCAAGGCCCAGATCTGGGATACCGCTGGCCAGGAGCGATACCGCGCCATTACCTCCGCCTACTACCGAGGTGCTGTGGGCGCCCTACTCGTCTACGACATCAGCAAGCACCAGACCTACGAGAACGTCACGCGATGGCTCAAGGAGCTGCGAGATCACGCCGACGCCAATATCGTCATCATGCTGGTTGGAAACAAGAGTGATTTGCGACACCTCAGGGCTGTTCCCACCGAGGAGGCCAAGTCCTTTGCCAGTACGCATTCCCCGCGAGCGCCGATTTGTTTCGGGGAAGGAATCTTTGCTGATAGTTGCATTTGCAGGCGAAAACCACCTGTCCTTTATCGAGACTTCTGCTCTCGACGCCAGCAATGTCGAGCTTGCCTTCCAGAACATTTTGACCGGTATGTGACCCCTGCCCTCTGCTACCCCTCTACGATCTGGCCAGGGCTGCGACTAACTGCTCACACAGAGATCTACCGCATCGTCTCCAGCAAGGCCCTCGACAGCGGCGACAGCGCTCAGGCCACCATAGGTGCGGGCACCAACATTTCGCTCAGCAAGCCGGCCGACGACGATGCTTCAAAGGGCGGAAAGTGCTGTTAAGTTCTCTGAGGGGACCGTTTCCCAATGGTCATAGGGCTTTGGGGGTTTGGGATACCTGGCGTCTCGTTTGTCCCCGGAAACGCTCGTCGCCGAAGGAGAGACTGGAGGAGACGAGGAATCGTGATACGTCTTTTTTTGATATCAGAAGGCGCGGTTACTTCGGCTTTCCTTTGTTCTTATTTTTGTCATGATGGTTGTCTGGGGTTGATGCGTCCAACGATCGCTGCGACATGGTCATCTTAACGTAGCTGAATGAATTCTTTATAATGTTTCCCCTGATCATGTCTGAGCTAGACACACGTCATCACTCCTCAGTTGTTCCAGAGGCGCAGGAAGCTCAAGATGTGCTCTAAATGGATGCCTGCTTGGTAGATGGCGGGGTTGAAGGCGTCAGATCATGTAATCTCGTAGACGACGTCAGCATTGACCTCTCTACTAGCAGTTCCCACGATATTCAGACCTTCAATATCTACCCGTACCACAAAAAGAATTCCTCGGTCCAGGCCTGCAACTCCTGAGTGGCCCTGGCCAAGGGCATACCTACTGCATGCCTACCTTACCTCCTGTACCCGCTCGGCTTGTCTGAGTTCTGAAGCGGTGTCGCGGCTCCACCAAGTCCCCACTTGCGATAAGACCCAGCTCCAGGCTTATCGCAGCGGAGAAAATCCGCTACCGACCAAAATTTTTGGAAAATCGCCAGCCCGCCGCGTCGCAAATATTGGTCCTTCTATTGTTTGCGACAACTGCCTTGACAGGAGATTGAAGACCCCCCACAACTCTTGTTTATTCACCATGGCAGCCGTCTACAAGTCCATCTCCAAGAGCAGTGGCTCAAAGGCCGAGGCACCTAGCAACGGCGTCAAGAAGAACAAGCAGAGAGTCTTGATTCTCTCCTCGAGAGGCGTTACCTTCCGGTGAGTTGCACGACTTGGCTAGGGGAGCGCATTTAACTGACTTGGCAATTCTCAAATAGACACCGCCATCTCTTGAACGATATTGCGTCGATGCTCCCTCACAGCCGAAAAGATGCCAAGTTCGACTCCAAGACGAAGCTCTACGAGCTGAACGAGCTGGCTGAGATGTACAACTGCAACAACGTCATGTTCTTCGAGGCGAGGAAGGGAAAGGACCTCTACGTGTGGCTCAGCAAGGTTCCTAACGGACCTACAATCAAGTTCCACCTCCAGAACTGTAAGGGAAAGACAGCGCGGGACCGGATCAGGGTGCTAACGTGAAATAGTGCACACAATGGAGGAACTTCACTTCACCGGTAACTGCCTAAAGGGCTCGAGGCCCGTCCTTTCGTTCGACGGCGCTTTCGACAAGCAACCCCACCTGCGAGTTATCAAGGAACTTTTCCTCCACACCTTTGGCGTTCCCCAGGGCGCTCGGAAATCCAAGCCTTTCATCGACCACGTCATGGGCTTCAGCTTTGTCGACGGCAAGATCTGGGTCCGAAACTACCAGATCAACGAGGTCGAGGCTTCGTTGACCAAGGAGGGAGAGGAGGAAGATGAGGAGGCCGCCAAGTCCAAGTCCCGATCCGGAAACAAGGACACCGACATCAACCTGGTCGAGATTGGTCCCCGATTCGTCCTGACACCCATCGTGATCCAGGAGGGATCTTTCGGCGGACCCATCATCTACGAGAACAAGGAGTTTGTGTCACCCAACCAGGTGCGAGCCGACCTTCGGCGGTCAAAGGCCTCGCGACACAACTCTCGTGCGGAGAAGCAGGTCGAGAGGTTAAACAAGAAGGGCGACCTCGGACTGCGGTCGGTCGGTGGACAGCGACCGGTCAAGGACGACCTGGACACCAAGATGCTGTTTGCCTAGACTTTTTGATACCTACCTGTCGATCGATACACTACTACTACCTACTGGCTTTCTGGGTCTGTAAACACCGGGACGGGGTGTGGGAGTTTGGGTCATTCTGCGCTGATATTAACCAAAAAGAAGAAGCAAATCAATTCAATATTGCCCGTCATTTATCGTCTTACTCGCCATGGGATGTTGTACTAACCCGTCTATCTGTTTATCTCGTTCTGACGCCATAGGTCGCATCATCATTTAACCCGCTCGGAAAATGTTCGGTGATTTGATATCAGAGCGCGACCTGGGGGTGTGTCATGGCCGGGCTCCCGTCTATATCAGTCATCCCCCTTTCCCTTCTTCCACCTTCAAGCTCTATTGCGCCTTCTACTCGAGCATCTGCGGAAGAAGCGCTGCTCGTGAAAACAGCCATGGGAATCTTGTCTGTTTTGAAATTGATGCCTGAGTGCATCCCCGCTACCGTGTCAAGCCCCAACGCTGGGGTGGCCGGACAGTAAACCACGATCACAAACGCTTCACGGTGTGTATTTACACTTTGAAGCGACGCGGAGCGCATTGCTCTTTCCCATCATATCAGTTCCTTTTGGTCTCTCCTTTGACCCAAAGAAACGACCCAGACCTTGGTTGTCACGCTTATCATCCGTGTTGACAAACCGCACTCAGTTTGAGATCCAACAACATCAACAAAGACGTGGGCTTGACGCGACGCCAACCCATCAATTGATTGCTTCACTAATCATATCAACTAAAAATGCAAATTCCATCAGGTCAGTCATGCATAGCTCTTTGTTATAGGCATACTCACTCACCCAATAGATACCGTCTTAGTGGTCATCTTGCAGCTTTAGCAGGATTGGAAGCAGATTGTTGTACAAAGGAGAGCCTTCAGGAAGTAATCTTTTGTCCCTGGATACTCAACTACATTTAACTACCCTTCTATATCACATACGACTATCGACCCCCCAGTTCTTTACCCACCATCCAACTCACCATTCTTAAACCACCAATTCTCAACGAAATCTCCATCATGGCTACCAACATGGCCAGCACACCTAATACGCCTTACCTGACTGGGCTCCCCAACGAGATCGTCCTCGAAATCTACCATCAACTGGACCTGGATGGAGTTTTCAATCTCGCCGCTACTCACAGGACTTTCTATGAGCTCTTCAATAAGAGAAAGGCCTCCATTCTACTTCCTGTCTTGGTCCGGGATTTTAGTCCTTTTGATGAACTCTTGCAAGTTTATACCGCTTCAGCCGATGACCTTGATTCTCTTGGAGGCTTGTATGCTTCTCGAAAAGTCGTGTTCAAGCGCTTCATCGGGGACACGGGGACCGTCCTTGCTCCGCGAACAGAGTATCGGCCTACTCCATCAGTGGCTTCCAGCAATGGATTCACTGCGGTCAGCAAGACTGGAAAGCCCACGCTTCCCCACTTTCACGCCATGAAGACGGTTGTCTTGACTGAGCAAGACTTGAAGCCTCTTCTTGGCCACTGCCACCTGGTGTCCAAGTGGCAGTCTCGGTTTCCTCAGATGAGGTGGTATCACGAGCCCGAAAATTGCCGATACCTCCGCCACCATGAGGCTGAGCGGTTTCGTAGAGCCATGTATCGGTGGTGGCTTTACGGATTCTACTTTCACGGCGACTTCCCACGCCCGCGTGTTGGTCTCCCTGAGCCTGGTGTGGATGACCCGCGGCTGAGCCAGCTCCGGCGATACTCTATGAGTGAACTAGTGGAGTTGATGGACCTGGTTGAGACTATGAAGGATGTAGTTCTTCATTATCTCTGCCCCCGCCTGGACCCTAACCAGGAATATGTGAGTATCTGTCCAAGACTGCTGCTGTATGATTTCTAATGCCCGCCCAGGAGACCTGCGACTCTTATCTGAATGACGTTACTGATCGACCCGAGTCCCTTTCGAGGGGGTGGCGGGACCAGAGTCGATGGGGCCGTATCGTCAAGACATACTGCAAGCTCGGTCCCAAAGAGCTGATGCATTTGTTTGACAATATCTACAGCTTTCCTCGGAAGCGTCTGATCGTTGAGGCTCGCCTCATGCAACCCAACCTCACCTTTGACCAGGAATCCATCTCAGTCGCCATCCAATGCGTCCTGGATGAGCGACAGTGGTCACTGAACATGCCGAGTCTGCCCCAGGATGGCTCAGGAGGTGTCATTGACTGGGATGATGAGCGTGATGCTGAGAGGGTCAAGTTTGGAGGTGATGCCAGTCCTGATGGATTGCTACAAGCGGGCGCTCGGCTGCTTCGGTCTTCCTCACATTACTCGCCTCGAGGAGATGACGGATCTTGTTTGGAAGATATGCCGCGGCAGTCTTGGGTCGAAGGGCGATACATGATGTCGTTTGCATGAGTGCTGGTTTGTGTAGCGGATAGATTGTGGCTGGTGTTGCGTTTAGATGTGTGGTGTAAGGAGGCATGGACTATTAGACTAGATGATGGCATATCCCATATGGCGCGTCAATATTATCAGGGAAGCATGTTCTGGTCGATCATTTCTGTTACTACTCATACCCATTTCCAGCTTGTGATAGTACTCGATTGGGAGTTCTACCCGGATGGGCGTTGATCAGGAGAAGCGCGTCTAACTACTGGAATAGGCACTGGCCCTCCCAGCTATCCATTCAACCAAAGTTCGGCATACGAATAATCACTTAACAGTCAGTATTAGACCTGACTAAATCATCAAGACTCCCTGCATATCCAAAATACAATGTTTGCTGTTCCGCTTGGACGCAACCAGCCCAGGTATCAGAGATAGCACACCCCCCGCCCACTGGCACGTCTGGCCATTCAGTGGCCCGTAGCGCCTGAACCCAGCGCGCGCGCCAAAATTCACCTCCACCGCCCGAGCCTCACCTTCCGTCCCTTCATTTCAGAGCTAATAATCCATACCTACCAACCAAACCATCACCACGACGCGCGCTCAAAGACCTTGACCACAAGACCCTCGTTGTCCCCATCCAGCGTTGACTTCTTCTTATTTTTGTTATTCTGATATATATTCTACTGCCTTTCTGAGCGCTCCCAGATAGCCGCGACACCATCGAGATCGCGCCATCTCGTCGCATCGTGGATGCTGTTGCAGGGGTAAGTGATATGGCTCTCTTTCTATGCCTCTATTCTATAGCCCGCATTATTGGCCCTGTTGGGCGCCTTTCTCATAGGGCGCCTATTTATTGTTCTTGCATGCGCTGCTGCAAGTGGCTTGCGCGCCCTAGCACAAAGGGCAAGCTGGTGTGAGAGAATCGACTGCTCATGGAAAGAGAGACGTCTTGTTACCATTCTCATTGCAATCCCTTACCACCACGATTCTTGAATTCAATGAGTGGTGTGAAAACTTGCTTATTGTTCGCTTCTCTAACCGCAACATAGTCAAGTTTGCCAACTGGTGTTTGCTGCTGAGACCGGGCCCGGGTTTGCTCAAGCACTGTCTCAACCTCCTTTACAGCTCCTGGGGTCGCCAGACCCTCAGTGAGGGAATCATTTGCTGCTAGAAATGGATTCAAGGGCCATGGAGGTTGTCGACCTACCCATGAAGGACGTCGATGCGCCCAACGGACTCAAGACGGACAACAGCATCGACGACGACGACACTGCGTCCGAGGATGCCAACTCCAGTGAGGAGGACCCCGAACCTCAGGATCTCGCACTTGATCAGGTGCGGCGGCGAGGTCTACTTCCTACAGGCTGCTGTTATGATGACAGGATGAAACTCCATATGAACGCAGACTTCAGTCCAAATACCCATCATCCAGAAGACCCCCGCAGAATCCACGAGATCTTCAAGGCGTTCAAGAAAGCGGGCCTCGTCTATACTGGCTCCGAGGCAGACCTTCCAAGGATCATAAGAGAATGTCCTACACGATACATGTGGCGGATAGCTGCCCGGTCGGCGACAAAAGACGAGATCTGTCTTGCTCACTCAGCCGACCATTTCAGCTGGGTTGAGAATCTAGACAAGATCAGCACCGCGGAACTTCGAGAGTTGACTAGGAGATACGATCAAGGACGCGAATCTCTCTATGTCGGCAGCATGTCGTATCCCGCAGCCCTCCTCTCCGCTGGAGGCGCTATCGAGACCTGCAAGAACGTCGTCACAGGACAGGTGAAGAACGCGTTCGCCGTGATTCGACCGCCGGGGCACCACGCTGAGTTTGATGCGCCCATGGGCTTCTGCTTCTTCAACAATGTTCCAGTGGCCGTCAGAGTGTGTCAGCAAGATTACCCCGATCTATGTCGCAAGGTCCTCATCCTGGACTGGGATGTCCATCACGGCAACGGAGTGCAAAACATCTTTTATCAGGACGCCAATGTTCTATACATCTCCCTCCACGTGTACGCCAATGGAACATTCTACCCTGGAAAGCCACCGAATCCCATAACCCCCGATGGAGGCATCGAGAACTGTGGTAGTGGTCCTGGACTCGGCAGGAACATCAACATCGGTTGGCACGACCAGGGCATGGGAGATGGTGAATACATGGCGGCCTTTCAGAAGATCATCATGCCCATCGCCAAGGAGTTCAACCCCGACTTGGTGGTCATCTCTGCCGGCTTTGATGCTGCGGATGGTGATGAGCTTGGAGGTTGCTTTGTTTCACCAGGCTGCTATGCTCACATGACACATATGCTCATGTCTCTAGCCGGCGGAAAGGTCTCTGTGTGTCTCGAGGGAGGCTATAACCTGAAAGCTATTTCCAAATCAGCTGTCGCCGTCGCTCAGACACTCATGGGCGAGCCGCCACCCAAGATGGAGCTTCCCAAGATCAACAAGGAAGCTGCGCGCATCTTGGCCAAGGTCCAGGCGCACCAGGCCCCGTACTGGGAGTGCATGCGGCCTGGCATTGTGGATGTGCCAGAGGTTCAGTCGCTAAATGCTAACCGCCTCCACGACGTTATTAGGAACGCCCAAAGGCAAGTCCTGCAAACCAAGCACAACATGGTACCTCTCTACATCCAGCGCGAACAGCTGTACAAGTCGTATGAGAACCAGGTGCTGGTGACTCCGAGTCTGCATGAAGCGAACAAGATTCTGATTATTATTCATGATCCGTGAGTTGTTACTACCGTTCACGAGCACAGTTCAAGACTTTTGACGCTCTTCAGACCTCAGCTCCTAGCTCAGCCGGATGTTATCGATACATCTCTCGATCCGCATAATGCTTGGGTTGTGAGTAGATTGAGAACCACAGCTTCAGAATTAAGCTGACTGATACAGGTTGACGGTGTAACCGAATACATTGATTGGGCGATTAGCCAGAAGTTTGGTGTCATGGATATCAACGTTCCTGCGTATATCACCCATGAAGAGGTACGTGCTTCGTTTTTTTACTACTACGCTCTTCTAACTCTGGGATCAGGATTCGGATGCATATATCCCAGGCTTCAAAGAAAAGGCCCTCCAGGAACAGATTCAGTCTCTTGTCTGCTATCTCTGGGACAATTATCTGCAGCTATACGACGCAGAAAACATCTTCATCATGGGCGTCGGGAACGCCTATCTAGGAGTCAAGGTTCTTCTCGTAAATAGAGGTGAGCTGTCCGATGTGCTCGCTATTCTGAATGGCGCTAATGTATTAGTGATAGACTGCAAGGCAAGGATTTCCGGAGTGGTGAATTTTGTCAATGGAACACTCCGGCCAGTCAAGTCAGACATCGATACGGATCTCTCGTCCTGGTACAAAGACAACTCGCGCGTCTACATCGCGGGCGACCATGCGTGCTGGTCCGATCCTGACCTGACACGGAAAGTCCACAAGCGCCGCTTCGGAACAGTCGTGCGAAGCCCAAAGTTTGGTCTCAACAAGATGATGCAGGCCCATGCTAACGAGGCACGCGCGTGGATCCTGGAGAGAGTTGTTGAGGCATCAGATGCGGATATGACAGATGATGAGAAGCAATGATGACGGTTGAGGACGTACGCAGGAGCGCTCTCGTCTTGGGAGGATTACTTATTGCTCAGGGGACAACATATCTACTTGCTGTCTGCGTTTGACTTGGGAGGATTTTTTGCATGGATACAAACCCTGGCTGTGCAATTGTACCAACAGATTCCCTGGTCTTTTTAATTACAAAACCCGTTCGAAATCTTCCAGCAAAGCATCACTCTCGTTGGTGAATAGTTGGGGGAGGTAGCTCGGTGTAAGTTAGGCGTATAGTGCGATTTAGTACTGTCACACTATCCGCACTGTCCTTATCGCTTATCCGGTAAATCTCCGAACCATCATTTGGATAGCACCTACCATCTTGCGAAAGACAAGCACGCGTGCTTGCGCTCTCCTGAACGCATCATATCACACAACCTCTACTTCTCTTGTTCACGAGAAAAGCACCTGCCGCGAGTTTCGCGGCGCCGAGACAGAAGCTATGGAACGTGATCGAGGTCGAAGGTAAGCGATTCAGCTCTGTTTCTCTTCTTTTCATCCCCAAGCATCATTCGCGCCACCATCATCCAGCATCCATCATCTACAACATAGCATCCCTGCTTGGACTCGACACTCGCTATTCTCTCTTCCGGATCGATCGCGCTAGCCTCAGGACCCTCGAAGATTCATATTGGCCACTGGGTATCTGGACTGGGCCTGGAACCGACTCGACTTCGTCTACGACCGAACCTTTCACGATGCCCACAACCGATCTGTCACCTGGCTTGACCAGGTCTCTATTCGACGATGTTTTTGGCAGATTTTCGCTCGAGGATATCATTCGAATCGACAGTCCACGCCCGCCTCAAACTTGCCGTCAAGTCGTCAGACCAGAGACAATGAAGCTGTACTACGTTGGTCAAATGGTTTGGGTCCTGGACGTCGACTATCCACTTGAGGGGTCAGAGACGGACCCGTATCTCTGCGTCAGCATTTACTTTATAATGCGCTCGAGGTAGCTCTTTGAGTTGCTTGTGTTTAGCGAAGTGATTGTCAACAGAAAATACCATACCCAGACAAGGGCCTCAGGACTCTTCGCTCCATGGCAACAACCAATTTTTGAAGAAATGGTTAGGCCGCTGGTCGTGCGCATGGACGGTCCAAATGTTGCAGCAGAGCGCCGTGTGCCGTCAAGGCCCTAGCTATGTCCTCGGGATCAGCTACTGTTGCAGCAGCTTCCCCGCTAGATCGATTTCTTCAACATCTCAACTACACCACAGCGAACAGTTCTGCTTTTTTATCGACATTCCTTTTTTGGCCCGCCTTCACTTTACATCAGCGCGTTTTTTCGTTCATATCATGTTCAGCGTCATGGCACAGTTGCTAACTATATCAAGGTACGATGATGGGGAAGTCGTTAGGTATGGCGCGGGAGAGTCGTGGAGGCCTACTCCTCGGGACCGCTCACCTCGGCGGGCCAGGAGCCCGATTAGGGAACGGGCAAGGAGTCCACGACCTAGAAGTCCGCGTCCCCGAAGTCCAATTCCTTCAGGATCCGATAGCTACGTTCCGGGGAGATATCCACCACGCCGTAGGTCGAGAAGTGGAGGGGATCGATACCGGCGAGAGCGATCAAGAGAACGCGAGAGTCCGCGCAGAAGAGAGCGCAGCAGATCTCCAATGAGACGACCATCATCTCGACGTAGTATGTCGCGAAGAGGGTCGCCTTTGCGAGGTGACAGGTATGAACGCCCAAGATCTCCAGTCAGAGAATGGGAACGAGATCGTGAACGAGACCGGGACCGTGATAGGATCCGAGATAGGGACTGGGATCGTGATCGGATGCACGATAGGGAACGCAATTTCGAGCGTCGTGACGAGAGGTGAGCATTGTCGAGTCTTGATGACGAAGTATAACTAACTAACAACAGACGGCGGTCTAGGTCCCCCTTTGGTGTTCGTCGAGACAGAACTCCTCCTGCAAGATCACCTCCACCAGGTCCTCGGGGCGGCACCTACAGGCCCCGTTCTCGGTCTCTCAGCCGACGTGGAGGTGACCGATATCAATCATATAGGCGTGTCAGTCCGCCTAGAGAATCTGCAATCTCGTCAGCAATCACTTCTCAATCAGCATCTGGACGATCATCCCCTCGCCCAAGTTCAGTGAGAGCGAGGTCACCACTCCAATCTCGAGAAGAGTCTCCTCATCATGCCGTTGCACCCGGGGCTCCTCCTCTGAGAGACGTTCCCCGACCCGCGCCGTATGAGCCAGTTGCATCTGCCCCCTCTCGATCACCACCACGAGGTCCCGCTGCGTTGAGAGCTCCTCCAACTGGTCCTGCGGCGAACAGAAATTTCACAGCACCAGTGTCGTCGCCAGCACAACCTCCTCCTGTGCGAACACAGACACCAACAGCCCCTCCCCTTCGCTCCGGCACAACAAGCCCGACTATCCCGCCAGCAGGTCCACGAGGTTATGTGCCTCCAGCCAGAGGCGGCTTTCCTCCACGTGGTGGACGAGGCGGGTGGAATCAGACGCCAGCGCGACACATGCCTGGACCCTCTCCCACACCTTCAACACCAAACGGCCCATCTACGATTCCTACTGGCCCACGGGCTACTCCTTCAAATGCACCATCAACCTCTACCCCAGTTCAGCCGCGACCATTCAACCCTCCGACTGGACCATCAGCTCAACATGCTGGTGGTGCTCGACAAACTCTGGCGCAATCTATGCTGGCAACATTGCCCCCAATCATCCCAGGCGGCAAGCTAGATCCTTCCATGACTCCCCTCGTTTTGGGCGTCACTCGGGAACTCGAGCCACACTACCGCAAACTTAAAGACGAGGAGGAGAAGCTGCGAGACGAGCTACAGGCCAAACAGGAGCGACTGCGTAAGAGCTTGTACACCTGGAACCGGCTTGAGCGTGACTCGAGAGCCTGGGAGATGCGCAGTGACCTGAGTGAGAAGAGCATGAAGAACATGGCTGGCGAGGGCATGGGCGGCGCGGCATTCTAGAGCAGGGAGCCGGCAGTATTTCTGTTTTCGCAAGCTTTGGCGCAGGAGGTTTGGCAGTGTTCAGTTTCGCACCTTGTACGAGTGCAATTCTTGGAAAGGGGGTCAGGCAGCATCTGGTTCAGGACTGGAGAGCGGTATTTTATCTGTACTTTTAATCCCAGCCAGCCCCTAGAGTGTGAGCAGCAGTAGGCGGGTAGGTAGATGTTGGTAGCTCGGCAAGGCTTGTATGAGGAAACTGTAGATAGATGTAATGACGACGTGTCTTGTCAGAGCCTTCTTAGCTTCGTACATGTGAGAAATGCCGCTCTGAGTGTCCCTGCGTAGGTACATACAGCAGGTATGCAGGTATCCAATCCTTGGAAGTGACCCAGGCCTTGTGCAACAGGCGCCTTTGTTAGCATCCATGATGTCTTTCCTAGGGCTTTCATTCAGGCAAGGAGGCGATTTTTTTTAACAAGTAGTTAATATACAGAAGCATACTGTACATTCCCATTCATTTCAGGTACCTATTGTGAAAATGTAGGCACAGCAGCTGCTTACTCGCAGGGCGCTGTCCAACGTCAACGTCATCCCCACACAGTTCCGATATCGAAGCGCTACGAGCAAACACACACGAGCAAGACCAACAAGTTTGAATTTTCCCGGCTTCCCACGGGAGATTTAATTCTTGCGCTTTCAGTCAGCGGTCAAGTAGCTTGTGAGAATATACACTATTAGACATGAGCGCAGTAAGCTCGTCGAGTCGGCCAGGCAAATGTCCCCTGCTTCAGTCCATCCGTCCCCCTCAAAGGTGACTTTCTTGGTTAAAGTCTGAGCAGCAAGTTGATACTGCTAAAGTCCTATTCTGAACGGAGACTGGACCAAAAAAAAAAATATCATATTTGTTTCTCGAGCAAATGCCCGTTTTCGAAGCACCAAAATGTGTGTTAGTGACATGTTGGGTTGCGTCGAGGTAAGACTCGGAACGTCGGGCGGCTAACGCCAGACAAAGACGGGATCTTCGTCATCATCTTGATCACCATCCCACTCGTCGTCTGACTCGGCACGGTCTTCATCCATGAAATCTTCCATGCCATACTGCATTTCAGTAGGCTTCTGATTGTCAAAGACAATGGAGACGCTGGTACAGAGTCCCTGAATAACTAGGGTCTTGGCGGGTCGAGGCTCTTTAGAGTCTGCGCGTTCGGCTTCGTTATCAGACTGAGTTGAAGCCGGACTGTCACCTGCACCTCGTTCTTCTTCCGATTCTGAATCAAACTCATTCTCGTCAGTTTCGGGCTCGGCGTACGTTGGTCTGCCATGAAGACTGCGTAGACCCTTCGAGTTGTTACTATGCCTCGAGTCGGAATCCGAGGCTTGCGCGGCAAGTCGGGTACTCCGACGAGACGGTCCATCAGACAGACGCTTCGGCTTGATCTTCTTCTCAACTACTTTTTCCTTCTCCTCTTCTGTCTGGCGTAGCGAGTAATGCTTCTTTGGTGGCTCGAAGCGGCGGAGGAAGACCCTATCCAGTTTTCGCCGCCAATCGTGGCGCATGGTAGCACGGGCCTTCCAGGGTATGTTGAGCATTGTCTTGACGGCAAGATGTCGGAGATTCGGCAACGATCCCGCGCTGTCGATGAGAGACTGGAGAAACATTTCTGCAGTTTCAACACTCCAGTGTCGAATGTGCTCAAAGTCAATCACGCGGAGACTCGATGGCCATTGTGGTATTTGGTGTGGCAGCAGAGCCTGTTCATACAGGGGATCGGCGTCATTGTTGACGAGGGACAGGGAGTCATGGTGGCGGAAGTACGACAGGTTCATGTAGAGCTCTTCCAGGTAAGGACACGCATCAGCCAAGGTGGTCAAAAACACCAAGTCCAAGGACTGGTTGTGCGACAGGTTCAGACTGCGAAGATGTCTGCCGTGGCTGTGAAGAAATGACGAAAACTCTTCCGACTTGACCTCCCAGCAATTGATCAGTCCAAGATGAACCAGATCTTTCGGGAGGAGTGGGAGCAGCCGTTCATTCATGACAGTCGAAGATTCAAACACCAAGGAGCTGAGTGATTTCAATTGCGAGATGGCTTCTGCAATCGAGTCAATCATGGCTCCATCTTCGTTGTATAGTTCGAGCTCCCGTTCTTCGTCCCCTGGCTTAGGCCGTGGTTTATAAAGCGACGGAACTTGAAAGTTAGTGAAGCTTAGCTTGGTGAGATGAGCGAATGAAGGTTCTTGGTGGACAAGACTGATGTCTTTGGCTGTCGTGACAGGTCCTCCCAGGAGGCTTCCGCTCCACTCCCAGCTCTTCAAAACGGTATAGAATGGCTTTTCCTCAGGATGAACCGAGTCGACTTGGCCGGAGCTTGGTCTGAAAGAGTGCAAGATCTCAGGTGAGTATTGCCATCTTACAGTCCGATCAAGCTCTCTGTATGGTGGCTGGTCAGACCGAGTGAAAAGGATGACTTCTGCTAGGCGTGGTAACACATGAATAATCTGAGGAAGTAGTGTTTGAGGCACAACTTGGACATCTACATAGAGGGACTCGACTTTGGCGCGATAGTTGAACCGAGTGCCAGAAGGCGGAAGCTCAAGCAAGGCAGCAAAACGACGGGCTTTTCCGATGGTGATGAGTGGCGGACAACGGTAGATAGCTGTCAAGGCAGGTTCTGAGAAGGCCTTGCAAGTCGTGGCGGTACTTATCAACCAGTTGACATCAAAGGTGTCATGGACACCTGACACAGCGGCGTAGTAGAAGATGTCGACCCAGGCGCCGTAGGGTATTTGGGGATCCTTCCAGTTCGGTATGATACCCTGAGGAATTTGTTCTGGCTCAAATGATGTGCGCCGTTTCTTTGAAGACCTTCCCTTCCTATGGAGTGGCTTCGGTCGTTTCTTTGTTTGCCGGCGTGCATTCGACCTCGTGTCAGAGCGAGCGGGGACAGGTTCAGCCTGAGCCTGGCCCATTGCTGCCTGTCGGGCGCTGCGACGACTGCTAGTCCTCGCGGATGCATTCCCTGTGGAACGATTCTTGTTACGTCGTGATCGTGTTTGAAAGTGTGGTTCGTCACCCGAGTCCGAGTCGGTTTCCACGTCTGGCTCTGAGGGGTGACCGAGACTGTTGTTTGAAGAGTCCGAGTCGCCATCATCAGAAGAGGTGTCTCTGGGGTATACTAACGCTTTTCGCGATCGTGTTGAACGAGTGGGTGGCGCAGAAACATGTGCGCGGGATGTTCGGGAAGGGTTGCGACGGGTGGAGGGTTCAGTGACATCTTGACGATCGGCGGCTCGTGTGCGGACCATGTTGGCGGTGTCTGTAAAAGAAAAGGTGTTAGTTAGATGATAGAGACGTTAATTAACCTTATTGGTACGAATGTGTAGCTAGAGCTGTCGTGGATGACATGGCATGGGTTGGCGCAAGATGGGGTTGTTCACACCTGCAACGTCTTGCGATCTTTGGCGCCCCTCAGGTGATTACCGACGACCAAGCGGTGAGCAATGGCGGGCCGAAAGAGGGAAAGAAAGATCAAGAACGAGTGTCTGCCATCTGTCTATGAAGAACAAAATGGCTTCTGTTGTGAACTTGGAGGGTAGTTGGCAATAAACAAGTCCGGGTGAGGTCAACGATGTAGTTGTAAGAGAGATGGAGGGGCAAGATGGGACTCGGTGCCTGGAAAGACAGTCAGCCTTGCCTTAGTGCATTGGGGCGTGGGGCTCTGGTGAGAGGTGGGGCATATGCTGGCCAATTACAGAGTGTGTGTATTTGAGGGCAAGCTCGGCCGACGAGGCTGTGAGTAAGAGACATGGTCAGCATGTGGCTACAAAGGAGATTTGTGTGAATGGACGAGATTGGGTTAAATCAAGTAGATGATTCTCTGTGTGATTTTCTCATTTCGAAAATTGAATGTTTTCATTTTTCATGTCACCGCTTTGAGCACGCAAACAATCGGTCATGCATGCTGGAGATTGCCGTGATATGATTTCCAGCCCTGAAATTAGAATTTGTTTGCCTGAATACCAAAGACACCACGTAGCAAACCGTCTTTGATTTTCTCTCGCCACGTAGAAAACAGTCTAGCAAATCTCCGGCTCATCATTGATAGCGTATACCTGCAGGAGCCGGACAAAGAGAAGTCTCCCAAGTTTGATCCATGATGGCACCAACCATCCCATGATGGATCGAGACCGCGCAATGTGCATAGAAGCCCAGTTAAGCCGATGAATCTGTCAAAGGGGGCACCCCGTTGGCATGCATTGGAGGATTTTTTGACCACTTTTCCCCTCGGACACGACGTATTGATTCGCTGAGAGCGGCGTGTGGAGTAGCTCGGGTTCTGCTCCCGCTGGAACAGGTAAGGAAAGTGGCCCCGGCGGTCGCCTGCGCGAGCCGTGAATGGTTCATTTGCCCGCGGCTTCCCAGGATTAAGTGGCTCTCACACTAGACCTCATTGGGAGTCGCGATAGAATCTCCCTGTCCCTTCACCTGCCACTGGCACGCGTCTTTCGCCTGTTGCCGCCGCCGCGCTCCCCCAGCCAAGCATCAACGTCGACTTATATGACGGCGTCTTGGAGTCCTCGTTGTCGCCTCTGCCTTTTTGCATTCGATGCGACACGTCTGCCAGCCTGTAGATGAGCCTTATTTCCGCTCATACTCGGGCGCAGTGAGGACAGCGACGCAGCGACTGTGGCGGCAGCGGCAGTGACGGGGGGTCCTTCTCTTCTCACCACACGCGACCGGGCTCGCATCTCCTCCTTATTATTTACATCCACAGAGTCACGACCACGCTCAACAACATCGCCATATCTCATCGGCAAACGCTGCACCTCATTCAAACAGCTCGTATCCTTTATTTCTCCTTTAGGCCTTTTCCACGCGCTTCCCTCTCGTGGTTTGTGGCGTCGCCTGTTTGCCCGCGCCTGTTTCTATCCGCTGTCTCTTTTCCTTCCATTGACCTTCCTTTCTCGCACTCTTTCTCTACCATCATTTTTCTGGCCCAGCCAACACCACTCATCCGGCTTGCATGACGACAACAGGTGATAAAGACAATGAGAGCCAACGCATTGTGTCTTTGAGAAATCCTCTGCAACCGCGACAACAGCAATCACATCAGCTGCAATCATCATCGCCGCATCCCTCACCCTCAGGCGCCCAGCAGCAGCACAGGCCCGCGCTCCTCACATTCATCTCGTCATTTTTCTCCTCCTCCCATGATCTCTCTCCCTCCGCCATGAACCTGAAAAGGCGCAATCAAAGGACGGGGCCCTTTCTTCAACAGACCTGGATCAACGGAGTCGCACCCTTGCGAAATTCAGTCATGGGTGTGAATCTTTCCACCCCAAAGCATTTGTCGGGTCAAGATGATGGCGCCCCTCCGCAGAAGCGCCTTCGCCTGTCTTCTCCGGACCCTCTCGAAAATGACCGGTACCATGCTTCGCATGACACGCCAGAGTCCCTCTCCGCTTTACGCGTCGAGGTTCTTAAAGTTCTTCACAAGGACTCTAAAAAAGTCCGAGCCCTCCAGACCACTGTTGTTGAGCCCCGCGATATTGTCACCATCAAGGGCAGATGTCGCATAACCGTCTCCGACGTGAGTGAGGGCTTCCCCAATATCTTGTACCGCTGCTGCAAGAACTGCGACATTATCACCTACAAAAATCCCGTTGGCCCTCACCGCGTCGCCCGGGTTAGCCTGCCCCAGCCGTTCCTCGTGCCTGAAGAGAGCATCAAAGTTAATAGGCATGATGATGTGTCCAATGACTTTGCTCAATCCTACAGGTTGGACGTTGAACTGGAATCCATCAATGATGGCACATGGCCTCCCCTCGACTCTCATGACTTCGGCATCCCACTGGGCGAGCAGGGTTCCTTCTCCGATTCTGCCAAGAGCCGGTGGATTTTCCACAGCGAGGTTGGGGGAGTTTTTGGCAGAAGCAAGACCCCCGTGCGCCTCACAACTGGCCATCGTCCCGATCGCCATTCGCGTCCGACAGACTATGTCATGGACGTGGATCTGCGCTGGACGGCAGGTTTCCGGCCGATAGCCAAGGGTTCAAAGGCCTGCATCACCGCAATTGACCCAGATACTGAGCCCTACACTACTGGTCAACTTGAGCCTATCCCCGATGACCAACTCAACGGCGCCGACGTGTTGAATGGCGCCAATGGTGTCAATGGAGGTGTCAATGGCACCACTCCTACCAACGGCGTGAATGGCCTCAATGGTCTAAATGGTGTGAACGGCATCAACGGCGAAATTGGTGTGAACGGCGTTCACGTTCATGAAGATGTCAACGGCACCAATGGCATCAACGGCCACGCTCATGAGGACTCATCGCATGAGCCGGACGATGAAATGGATGGTGAACACACCCCCAACCGCGCCCTGAGAACACGAGGGGTCAAGCAGCAGTATAACCTCAAAATTCTTAGCGACAAAGCGCAAGGGAAAGAGCGAAAGCCGCGAGCAAGAGCTGCCCAAACGACGCCGGCGGAAGGTCGCGTCACATACTTCTTGCCGATTGATCAGCCTGTGTGCTTGGATTACTGGCGATGCGTTAGCTGTGGCACATTCCACGACTCGCTGCCTCTACTCCAACTTCACCTGCAGACTTATCATTTAGAATACGACTACGCACTCGACATGACGAGTCAAGGACCGCATTTCCGAGTGACGCATCGTAACGAGTCTGTCGCTTCGCCCACGAGGACATACCAGCTGGGAAAGCCGGTAAAGCCCTGGCATCTGGAGACGTATGTGTCGGGCGACCAGTCTTGGGTGACTTCGCGTCTTGGCCCAGACAACAACGAAGAGCCGGCGCGGTCTCCGTCGAAGCAGGCGACTGCAAGGCAGCTCTTTGACTCGAAACCTTCACTACCGCCACAGCCAACGCTGCCACCAATGCCACGACCTAAGAAGAGAAAGATCGCCATCCCCGAGACTAATTTTCCCCTCTTTGATCCCGTGAGCAAGGCGCGCCTTGTACCGGGCGAGGACCTGCCGAGGCCTGCGATTGACAACTCATGGCTGATTCAGAAGCATCGAGAAGACATTGGGGAATTTTCGGATGTTACAACCGACGAGAAAGAATACATTCGAAACTGGGACTCATTCATTCTCCAGGAAAATGTCACTTCTGGAACATACTTCCCGCGCGCCTGGCTTAAATTTGTCAAGGAGCACGCGTCATGGCTGGTGGCAGCCAACCCTCGGATGGTGGAATTTGGCAAGCACATGGGTGTTTTGATGGCTCGTGATGTCCTCAATGACAAGATAATCGACCAAGCCATGGAGGTCTTTGATGAAGCAAGGGCCCAGTTGAAGGCCAAGGCGAAGGAGCAAGCGAACGGCACTGAGGACGCGCAGCCTGCAGATGCAACGCTGAAACAGTCACCTCGGGCTTCTCAGATCATGAAAGGTGCAAACGGTTGTACAGTGTGTCAACTGCCAGTTCTCGGGCCCAGTCTGCTTGTCTGCTCGAACAAGGTAATGCGAATGAGTGTTAATCTGAAGCCGGATTGTGCTAACATGCTCGTGCAGAACTGCTCAAGCCGCCTCTACCACGCTGGGTGCATTCAACAGACTGCCACCCTCAGCCCAGCGGCTCGTGCCAAATGGCTTTGTAATGAATGTAGCAAGTCGGGAGGATCCTCGTAGGGTGAGGCGTCCTCAGTATTGCTGGGTACACCGGAACCCCCTACCACCACTGAAAGCACTACTCAGGATACCATGGTTGTATCGCGAGGTGCAGAAGCTGCGGGATCCCCCATGGAGTGTCGTGCGTTGAGGAAGAGGTCCGAGAAGGCGGCTGCTGCCAGCCCAACTGATGAAAGGCCTGGTCCAGATCAACAGTCAGCAAAAAGGCGCAGAGGGAGACCGCAGAAGATCAAGCGTGAGCTGAGGGGGTGAGCCAGGCAGGGCAGGGCAGGGGCTCTTGCGAGCGAATAGAGGAGCGTCAAAGTCTGGCGCAGGGGCGAGATATATGGAAACATGGGGGAAAATACAAGCGGAGAGGAACGACATGCAAGTTTTATACGTGTTTGGGGCGCTTATTGGGAATGCAATGGACATTACATTGGCCAAGGGCTGCTAGGAGTTGGCTGATGGAGAGAGCTGGATCTTCTGATGTGGGGTTCCTCGCGAATGCCACCTAACTCGCGAGGAGGCCTTGAGAGCGGATCGTGCGTTCTACACTAAATAGTTTATAGTTATTTCTGTTGTTTGCCTGTGTCCCTATGCGTGACTGTAACTGTAAAAGCCAGTTCTTTCGGCTATAAAGATGTGGAGAAAAGGAACTTGATGCCTGTCTGACCGGGCCAGGAAGAGCCTGCATGAGCGGAACTCGGGACAGGTGATGTGCTGTAGAGTTGTAAGAGCAGGAAGACGAGGCGGAAGACGAGGCGGAAGACGAGCAGGAAGACGAGGCAGAACAAGCAATATGCCTTTCGAAGAACCTATTGGCCGATATATGGCACATTCTAGACCCTCCATCAAACTGCTCTCTCACACCAAGCCCGAGGCACCCCAACCCAAGTTTTGACCTCAGCTTCTCCCAACCAAGACACGGAGGGACGACCTCTTGCACATGTATTTGCTTCTACCGAGCAGTAAGAGTACATGGTGAAGCAGTCCAGCTCCTGGAGCCAAGATGACGACAGCATATTTTCAAACTAGTTCCTGAAGAAGGGGTACAAGCCGTCAACTGTCCACTCGCAAGACGGGATAACGAATATGGTCCGAGAGCCTATACCAGATTCATTGGATTGAATATGGGAAGTCAGTCTCTGATCAACACGTGTTGACCATTATCTCGAAGAATCATCGAGTGAGAGTGGCTGTTTTTTGTAGGTGTGACGCTTTTGGATACTCCAGCCGTCCTTTTCAATAACTCATTCAAGAGTCTTTGTTTTTGTTTAATTTGGGAAAAGAAAAGAAGAGCTTGTACATAATCACTACCACTAGAATGGAACACTATTCTACGTGTTTGAAGCGTAGTTTAGCATTAGATGTTACCAGACCAACACTGAGGGCTTTGGTTTCGACAGTGATTCATCGCCCCCCGTCGTCTTCCGCTTCCGCGTTGGCGCCTTTTGGACCCGGTCGGATCCCACAATCATTTTCATAAGCTTCGAGATACTAGTCCTCCACCAGAACTTGAGCATTTGCCGCCGTAATACCGGTTCGTTCCGGAGTTTTTAGTGTCGGAATCTAGTGATGGCTCATCTGGGTGGGAGAGTTGATCGCAAAAGGTGACTTGAGATAAGGAAGGGCTAAGCAAAATGAAATGAGTAGATGATGAAAGAAAAAAAAATTACTAAGGGAAACGACAGGTCTATAGTCTCATATCTGTCGCCCACAGTCGGTAATTACGGTAATTGCTGGGGTTGAGAATGTGTCCATGGTGGCTTGATAGAGAGGGTGTATTGATCTTGAAGGCGCCATGTTTCCCTAGTCCCATGGGGCACTTTGGGGGAAATCACACTGTTGGTAGATAGAATGAAGACACCTTTGAAAGCTCAACAGGAAACCGTGATGAGATCATCTCAATCTTGGGTTCAAGAACGGTTCCTCCTTTGGTGCTGCGACATACCACATTATGTCTCGTCCAGGCAGTTAGTTACACGGGTTGTTTACTGATCCGTTCAATTTCTACACCTCTTTTTCTAGGCTCTGAGTTGTCTCGAGCTCCCTGATCCCCACGGCCAACGGCATTTAAGCCTCGCTGATACTTGTGACGGGTTGCACTCTGAGAGGGCTGGGGTATAAGACATGGGATTTACAACCTGTGTCTTCCATGACCCTTCCCGGTCGAAAAAAACCCGTGTCTTTACTTCCATATCGAACTCAGCTTAGTCTAGATACTCATGAACGAAGATGGTTGTGGGAGTCGCCAAATCAAGGTCGACGATACTAGCGACCTAGAACGGGTTGACTAGCGAAGCTCTTTCATAGAAGGAAGATGAGATGACACTGTCTTCTCTCCTTGAAGAAGAACATGAAAGTATAAAGGCTGCTGCAAGGGTTCCCAGTTTCACCAGTATCCAAGTCTGGGTACAAGATGTTCAGGTTGCAATGTGACCGACCTCGTGCGAAATTGCCATTGTAGGTCGAGATAGAGCGAGCTCGCGAGAGCCACAAGTGAGTATGTGGGCCATTTTGCTTGTTTTTGATCCATATCCATCGTTCCTCTTTACAGAGCTGGCTCTGTGATTAATGGGCATACTGGGCATTGCCTCTTTAGTTATGAGCGGATCTGGTGGCTCTTGTCCTGATACGCTATTGATGGTCTCGATGTGGGAAACCAGCGATGAATGTTGGGGACCCCAAACTAGAGTTCAGCATGGGAAGAAGTAGAACAGGATGAGATGACGAGCTTAAATGTTCCCGGTGGCTTCTTTTGAACGCGTCGTCAAGTTCACAGTCGATCCCAACAAAATCGACCATGTTCGGCCTGCGTAGAGAGCCTGCTCGGTTCCTGGCTCCTCCATGTCGGCGATGCGGCTGTTGAGGAGAGAGAGGAAGTGGTCAAGTGGTTTAGCATCTAGCTAGTGGCATTAGGGAACACATTAGACATGAAGAGGGAATGATCCATCAGACATATATGTGCAGTAAAAGGCTTTGTTCAAGGTACCCCAATATCGAGCCGAGTGACGACGCAAGTTCAAGAGGCACTCGGCAACGAGACCCAGATTATCGAAAACTGTACTAGGACCTCTTTAGAGTATTATAGGGCTATTGCTGCTGCTTCCAGAAGAATGGCCGCTATCATGATCTCCCTAGTCGATACTTTCCTTGTCGCAGGAATGAACGACAAAAGCCTAATAAACACTGATGGCAATATAAAGACAAATTGGAATCATGCCGCGTGTGTGGGAGTCAGTGGTCCCAATCACAAATCGGGCCTTTATGCTAGAGAATTAGCGACAGTGCAGCGATCTATTGTGATCAAGAACGGCTTGGGTGACACCATGACCGTCGGACGTGAAGATTGTCCTACTTCAATAGTTGCCGTGTCCTTTCAGATGCTCTCGTACTTTGGAATGCGCGATGCCAGAGTAGTAGTCATAGCCAAGATGCATTCAACATAGCGTGGCGTGGCCATCAATCTGGAACTTGATGAAAGGCCATGCTTTGTGCAATCATTCTTCAAAAGCAATGCTAGGAAGACGCTTGGATACACCTGACAACGTCTTGCATGATGAATACAAGTGCCCCATTCATGAGAACACTGGAGGGCGCAATGGTTATACCTAGTTTTACTAATGAAAAGGCGGTCTTGTGGCTGCCTCGGTCATAGGTGCCTAGGTAAAGCGCATGGGCTACCAGAAAGTCCCATGATCGCTTCAGACCCAAGATCTCGTGTTCCTCATAGTCATTTTGGGGACCGTGGGAGGGCCGCATCTCTCGTAGTAATAGCATTTAAAATAGCTCGTCGTATGTGTTGAAAGCTAAAATTCTTGAAACACTATTCGGAAGAGATGGAATTGATGGAGTACGGCTTCTATTGGGAGCAAAAATGACCGTGGAGACCTATTCATGGTCGCCAAGCAGCAGCCAGAGTGATCGCGCGAGATTACGACGCGCAGACCGCCAGGAGTGGCCAAGATCAATTGATGACGGTTGCAAAAAGCGCCCGATACCAGCCAACAACCAATCAGCCTAGTCAAATCCAATGGTGTTGGATTGTCAATCGACGGATGTGTTGAGATGGGCATTGCCAGCATGAGGAGATGTGTAAGTATGCGGGTTCTAGAGTGTTGTGATGAAGATTGCTCTTGCCTCGTTCGTTGCCAAACTCCATCACGATCAAGTTCTCTCATCGGCGACAATCGATTGGCATTCGTACCCTTCCGTTGTTCCCTCTAAGCTCACGTGCTCCACATGAGGAACGACCTCCAGCGACACTGTCCCTTAATTGAGGGTGATCAAAACTAGGTATCTTCTGCAAAGCCAACATTGACTACGGTGTACTGGACGCGTTCGACAATCATCCAATACTCTCGTTGAGCAATCCCAACAACCTTCAACCACAAGGTAATGGTCTCAAAGAACCATGTGCGGGGGCGAATGGACGCCATCAGTAACCCACAGTGCGACTCCGAGAGACCTCCATCATGACCTCCATCAAGTCTGGCCTTGCAGCGGTGAAAATCAGGTCAGGCAAAGTTTCAAGCTAATTTTGAGCATCTAAAGCACATCGAGAAGGAAAAAAACTATTCAAGAACAGGGCTCGGCTGTAATCGTGGATGCTCATGCTGAGAGAGATGCTTGCCATGACAACCATCACCCACCCACATTCGCGTCCCCTCTCCATAGATGATGGATCGACCAGCACTGATGTCCTCGCCAGTTGGGTCACTTGAAATCTATCAAGCCGGATTGGAAACTGCTAAAATTGAATACGTTTCTAGGAGATTATGGTCCAAGTTCTACTCCTTACTTACTGCATCTCCTGGAGCTGCGATGAAGGCGGGTCAAAGTGCCAACGCCATGAGTCGAGCATAGTCCAACCTGAGAGGTTGCATAGATTCCGTCTATGAGGACTTTTTATATATCATGTGAGTACCTTGTTTCTAGCATTTCGAGTTTTTTAGTGTCAACATGGATAAGCATTCCGTTACCACTTTCGTCCATTCTCGGTTGTCATGACTAGAACCAGACACACTGCCACCATCAATATCACCCTCAACGACACAGTCGCGGATGCTTTCACGGTTAAATTTCCCAAATTACTACAGGCCAAAGTGTTTCTGGGCTTGGCCTACACTTCAACACCCTAGCCCAACGAGTGTCAACGCCTTGAGGATGTTGCTTTTCTTCCACGTCAGGGATCATTGCATCTTCCACTTTTCCATCCAACCTTGCAGCCTTCACTTGGGCTGCCAGTGCATCTATACTCGAGACCTTATGAAGCCTCGATACTCCATACTTCGGTACACCGACTGTATGTGAAGGCGAACTTTCGCTTTTGGTCCCGGCTGCAGTGCGGAGGCTACGCTGCTGAGGATTGCTAAGTCGAGAGACTTTACCCTCAAGAACAAGCTGTAGGTGGGTGCCAACACCCCAAGTGTATCCCTTATTCAATATTGGTATCGCAACAGTATGAGCTGATGCCTTTGCTGTGCGTTGACCCAGAAGCGTCCAACGCATCTGGGGTCGTACGAGGCTGGTTGCGATTAAGGAAGATGCTCCGGCTCCATTGAAGCAGGCTTTGGACACGGCAATAACAATGCAACATGATGTTTGTCAAGATGGGCTACTAAATACATGCATAACTTTACCGTCCCCAGCATCGAATCCGCCGAATCCGAGAGGGGGTCGATCTCGGGCTTCCATAGGAGGCAACCAGCGTCTCGTAACCTCACTCGATATGAACAGTGGAGTGGTGCTTATACTGGTACTTCATCTGCTTTACCTTGATGACTATACCAAACGCAAATGACTGACTCTGAAAGTGACAGGGGATTTCAATGGCATCTTCCAGACCACCAACGGTTCGCCCAGTCTTGAACTCCACAAAGAATAAAGTCAGCAGCTTCACCAACTGGAGCCAAGGCGCTCTCTCGATGTCCATATTCAACTCGATACAGGGAGCTGGTCCTCAAGGCGGCTCGATATCTTGAGTATTTTGCCTCCTCAGCTGAGGTTGTTCAAACTCTAACCGTGGCTGGCGAATCGGTACCGCTGATTTGACAACCTCTACAAAGGGTGTCTTACATGACAGCCTTGCTTATCCTCAGGCTTCTCGATCCTTGATGCAACGTTGAATACCGAGTTCAGGTCACCATCAAGTGAGTCAATCATAGTCCTCGATGCTTCTGGCGGAAGATGAAAGGCAAATTACGGTGATACGAGGACCTGGGCCAAACCCAACCACTTAACTCTCGATGGAAAAGCATCTTCAACATGTTTGATATTTACACTACTACCATGCCTCGAGGGCACTTTTCAAACCTCAACAAGCATGGTATTTGTCCTATTCTTGCCATTAAACGGCATCGCAAAAGAAATAAACGCCAGCCAAGACCCGGCCCCGGCCCCAGCACCCATGATACAGATTCACCACCACCCAACCCGCTTCAAGCTCTCGACTATCAGTACATTAATATCTCCTGCCTTCCCTTCTCTTGTCGTTCCGCTCCGCCTCCGTCTTCTGCCTCTTGCGACTCTCCTGGGCAATCATCTCGCTCAAGTCGTCGTCGTACGCCCACTTGGCACCGATGCCTTCCTCCTTCTTGCCCTCGTCGAACTTGCGCCGCAGGTCATCCTTGCTGATGCCATCGTTCTGGTGCAGTGAGTCCACATCGAGGGCAACGTCGATATCGCCAGGCTTCTTGCGTTTGCGGGTGTCATCGTCGGCACCCAGAACCGGCACGCCGGATCTTTGAGCCTGCTTGAGGTCATAGACACGGTCGCTACCGAAGAAGCCTTCGGCGCGGACTTGACGCTCGGGCAGGATGGTGTAAGCGGACCGGGGCGCGCTTGACTCCTCCGTGTCGTAGCCGCGGCGTTCCTTGCGGAGATCCATTTCTCCGGCAATAGACGTCTCAACTCCTTGGCCATAGTCAGGCTGTACTGTGCTGGCATAACCACCAGGAGTCTCAAGGCCACTCGGTGTCTCCAAGCCACCAGCTGTGTCCTCTTCTTCCTCTTCCTCCTCTTCTTCGTCTGACTCCTCCTCCTCCTCGGACTCTTCTTCACGGGGTTGGAGCTCACCCCAGAGAGTGCGCTCAACAGGCTCACCGGAAGCAGCAGCTGCTTGAGCCCCTGACTGGCCCTGTCCGCCGCTCTGACCAGTGAGGCCAAACACGTCACCACCGAACAGGGGGCGGTTGAACTCGTCAACTGGTGGTTTGCCCCAGCCGCCGGGGTGGAAGCCCCATGAACCTCCTGAGGGTGGTGGCGCATTCAGACCGGGGATTTTTAGTGTAGGATATGACGGAGGAGGGCCAAATCTTTGTTGGTTGATAAGCCAGGGTGGTGGTGCGCCAGGAGGCATTCCCAGGGCTTCCTTGGTGTTCTCACTCAGGTCGCCGGGGCGGAAATGTTGATAATCAACCTCGGTCTCCTTACCCTCGTAGTACACCTCACCAAATCGCGTCAACTCAGGCTTGGTCTGGAAGCGGAAGAAGGCATCGTAGAGCTTCTGGTAGTCAATGTCGAGCTTCCCCATCTTGGGGGCGACACGTTCGCGCTGCTTCTGCTTCAACGACTGCTCGGCTTGCTTCTCGAGGACGGCGTCTCGCATCTCGGTGATGCCGGTCTCGGCGATGAAGGTGGGGAGGCGGAAGGGCGGCTTCTCGATACCCCTCTTGGAGGAGAGGTATTCTCGCTTCAGAGACCAATGGGTTGGAACCGGTACCACGTTTCGCTGAGCCTTGATCTGGACGAGCAGGCGGGGATCCGATGAGGAAACGTCTTGCCACTCCACCACCTCGGGGATCTTGACCAAAGCCTTGAGCTCGGCGATGGAGAGCTTGTTGAGCTGCTTTCTCTTCTTCTTGGACATCTTGGGCTGAGCGGACTCCTCGTCTTCGTCAGGGATATCGTCGTCGTCGTCGAAAAACACGGTCCCTTGGTTTCCAGCATTGGCCTCCTTGGCAACCTCATCTTCATCCATAGACGCGCCAAACTTGCTGAAGATGTCCTTGTACATTGCAAAGACAGGGTCCTCCTCCAGATCATCGTCAAGAATCAGAGCATCGACAGGGGCGGCTTCTGTCTCGGGCTTGTCCTTGACTTGGAGATCTGACGCGGATTCGGTGGCGGATTCATCTTCTTTCGGCTTGGAGTCATCGGTGGGCTCTTCGGTCTTGGTAGTGGCAGCCTGCGTCGCGTCAGTATACGACCGAGGGAGAGAAAGATTGGGTAATGGTACCTCTGCTTGCGCCTTCTTCTGTTCCTTCTTTTTTGCCCTCCGCATCTGGTTCTTGGTCATCTTTGGGGCCGCCATGGTGAATGTGGATTGGCGACAAAGTCGTCGCGACGAGGAACTGGCTTCGGCCCGCGGCGGGATTGGCGACCTGGGTGGTGAGCTGGAACAGGGCGTAGAAGGCAGCGAGGGTGATGATGTACTGCTTCGGGTCCCTTCCCATTCCCGAATATGAGACGAGGCGCCCGATCGTGTGTCAAGGAGGCGATGGAAGGATTTCGAGGTTGATGCGCCAGAGGTTGATGCTCCAGTTCTGGTGCTGGTGCTTTGAGGTGGAGTCTCGTTTTGCGCGACTCGTTGATGGGCAACTTCCCTCCTGCCCTGCCTAAGAAAAAAAAGTCGGCACGCGCCCGCGCGGCTGTAGCTCGCTATCAGCTTATCGTGATTAGCGCGGCACCGCGGCTAACGGATCAACCGCGGCTAGACTTGACGCGCCACGTAACCCAACCCCTCCCCCCCCTTGTCTAACTTGTCCCCCTGTAGATGACCCCCGTGGCCCCCGAAGTTGCAGTTTATCTGTCTTCGATTCGTATGGAGCTTGGCGCCCCTTTGGTTTAATTATAGCCTTGGTATGCCCGCCCGCTTTGACGTGTGAAAGGCCATCCATCCCAATAATTAATCGCAGTTGGTTGTGGTTGCATCAACAGCTTCCTTCTCTGCCTCTCTTCGTATCCGATCTTGGATCCGGTCACCAGTCAAAAAGTCACGAGCAATTGCGACGTTCCCAGACGTTTTCGGAAACCATCCCGCTTTTTTTTTACTTCTATTTGTCTTGGATTTCGTCTCCAAGGTCTCGGACGGACCCGGCCTCGTCATCTAACAACCAACATCTCACCTGCTTGGTTTCGTTCGATAAGCAATGAGTAAACGGATTCCTTGACGACATTACGTTTCTCCTGCTATCTTCCCTCGTCGCTCGTTATCGAATCACGCTCTCGCCCGTCGGCTGTGTGGCCTCTCTGGTTCACAGCTCCAACCTCCAACTCCTCGACCATCTCTCTCGTTGCGCCTCGTTAGACGTCTCCTGGTGGTCATCACGCGAACCGTCCAATCTCGTCCCTCTCCTCGAGACCCCCCGCGGTCCATACTGTGATGGAAAGGTTCCCCGACTTCATCGACACGCCTGTGGGCAACTCGCGATCGCCCAGTCCTCGAAACCCTCCTGGCTGGTCCAACGGCGCGCCGCCTCGCCCCTCGGATCGATGGCTCCCCGTCTCGACGGGCTCCCACAGGCATAACCGCCAGAAGAGCCTCACTGATGCCATCCGCACAATACGCGCCCGCAATGGCAGCGTAAGCCAGAACGCCCAGGAGATCGCCGATGCCCTGCGCGCCCCCGTCTCCCCAAAGCTCGTCGTACGCCCATCCCCCTCCGTCCTACCTTGATCCCGTCTCGAGTCTCCAAGATCTCGAGGCCAAGACCTCTTCTCAAGTGCTAACCTGCATGTTGCACTACGCAGGTCCTGTGCCTGCTGTGGTACACCTCGTCTGCCCTCACAAACACCTCGTCAAAGTCGATCCTCATCGCCTTTAACAAGCCTGCGACGCTGACCCTCGTCCAATTCGCCTTTGTCTCGTCGCTATGTGTCTTCATGGCATGGCTTGCCATCCTCTTCCCCGTCTTGCGAACCAAGATCACGGCTCTCAAACACCCGATTCGAAAACCCTCGCGTGAGGTCATTACGACTACTCTCCCCCTGTCCGCCTTCATGATCGGCGGTCACCTTCTCAGTTCCACGGCCACCTCCAAGATCCCCGTATCGCTCGTCCACACCATCAAGGGTCTCTCGCCCCTCTTTACCGTTCTCGCTTATAGAATCGTGTACGACATCCGCTACCCCAAGGCGACATATCTGTCTCTCATCCCTCTGACGGTTGGTGTAATGTTGGCATGCTCTGGCAAGGCGAAGTATGGCGGAGAGCTCAGCGGTGTCATTCACGCTCTCCTGGCGACAATGATCTTCGTCACTCAAAATATCTTCTCCAAGTATCTTTTCAACGAGGCTGCCAAGGCCGAGGCTGAGGCTCCAAACAGTCGATCAAAGAAGCTGGACAAACTCAACCTGCTCTGCTATTCTTCTGGTCTGGCTTTCATCATTACCTTGCCCATTTGGTTTTGGTCCGAGGGATTCGCTCTGCTCAAGAACTTTTACAACCAAGGCTCGATCGACTTGTCTGAGAAACCCAATTCCATGGACCACGGACGACTGACGCTCGAGTTTATCTTCAACGGCGTATTTCACTTTGGCCAGAACATCCTCGCCTTCATCCTTCTGTCGATAGTCTCTCCCGTTACGTATTCGGTCGCCAGTCTGATCAAGCGTGTCTTTGTCATCGTCATGGCTATCCTCTGGTTCCGAAGCCCCACGACGCCCATCCAAGCTGTTGGAATCGCCCTCACCTTCCTTGGACTATATCTGTACGACCGAACGAAGGGGGGCAACAAGGCGGACCACAAGGCCCAAAATATGACAGATTCCAACAAGACTTCAATATTGCCCATCTCTAACAAGGGGATACGCCCGATTGTGGCCTCCCCTCTGAGCACTGAGATCAACCCCCACCCTTATCACGAGGGTTACTATGGCCGCGATGCCTCCTCAGACGACTCCAAGAAGACGGACGACAGCGGCAGCCGTAACCGCGGTCGTGTCAACAGCAACGGAGGCTGGCTTCCTCCAGGCACCAAGCAGGAAGATACATGGCGGACTGGGGACAAGATCGCCGGTGTCTCATGATGGAGACAGTAGAAACCTCCCCCTGGGTTTTGAAGTTTTGGGTTCCTCTTCTCCGCCAGTTCTCTCGGCGCTTCTAATTGTTTAAACCTCTTTTTATTTTTCAACAACAAAAAGAATGGAGCTGGGATCTTTGTTTGAAAGAAAGGAATGTTTTTTTTTCTCGTCCGGATATCTAGACTACCTATGGACGTGGACAAGTTTTTGTATGACATATCATGGATTGGCGTTTTTCTTGAGACGCAGGAATGGACGGATGGATGGATGGGATATGCTCTTTCAGCTCCTCTCAGGAGGCGCTTGATGATGCGCTGTATCATTACGTGGATATGGAATGGAATGTGGACGTTTTTTGATAGACGGGATACGGTTCGCAGCTCATGCAATACATGAATGATATGGAATAACCTCAGGGGTAGTAGATGTGACAAGATGATCAGGTATTAGAGATGCTGATGTTGTTTTTACATCAGGCATTAGTAATTAATCTATCAGCCACTCTTCCACCTCGACTCCTATACTCCTCCCTATGCCTCGTATCACTTCCCATGCGACATTGATCCTCCACTTGCCACCACGATCCATTACATCTCCAGCGCCACCCACGCGGGTTAGTAATCGTAGGCTCGCGAGCGTTGAGATGGCCATGCCCACATCACAATCCAGGCCAGCTGTACCCACCGCTGTGCCGTCTGCCCACTCGGTCCTCACAGCCGTAAAGATGGCCATCATGCGTTCCAAAACAAAGGCGTGGGCACCGAGTAGTTTCCGTGCAATTTTGCGGTGCTTAGTACGAGAGGGCCCTCTCGCGACGATGCCACCACGCCGTCGCTTTCGCCCATGATTATATGTAGAGAAGAGTGTAAGATCGTGACGAGTAGCATTGTGAGAGGCGAGGTAGGCGGCGAGGAGAAGGAGACGGGCCGTAGTAGGGAGGAGATTTGTGATTTCCGTAGCCGAAGCTGATGGTCTCGTAGTCGCAATAGCATCGGCAGGCTTGTCCTTTGGCCTAACCGAGACAATGCTTGGGTTCAAGAGAGACTCGTCCTGGAAGTGTACCCTACCCGCGATGAGCAGCTTCGAAAACTCCTTGGGTGTGTGTGTTCCAGCCATGATCGGCGCTATGAACCGTGGCCAGAGAGCATGGCAGCTATGACGGAAGGAAGGGAGCGTTCGGGAGGCGGATTTTGTCAAGGAATCGTGAACGGCAGCGCAGAAGCGTGTCCAGAGATCTGACGTCTCTTTCTGTGAGTGCCCGAGGATGGGACTTGGTGGTGTAAGGGAGAGGATGCGGACGAATTCGTCTTTGACGTAGGGAGGAAAGTTGAGATGTGCTGATGTAGGTGATCGTAGGAAGCCGGCGGGAGGAGATGTGACGATGAAGACGCAGGTAAGTCGAGGGATCTAGATGGGTTAACTTCCACTCCATATGTCCAATGTATAACATGCAGCAACTCACAATCTCTGATAACCGTGCTAGAGCCGGCAGAAGTGTAGGCGGCGCATCCCTCTGCCCATCAATAGCATCCAAAACCAACACGAACCTCCACCTAGGATCCCTCTCAGGATACCCAACCATCTTGACCATCTCAACCGTCAACTGCGCCAGCGTCTCGCACCGCCGCGGCACATCCTCCCATTCGAGCGCCTTAGCCACCTCCCCTACGATGCGCTCAAACAGGTGTCGTCCTGTAATGCACTGCACAGAGTTGACCACTGCGGCCTGGAGACCGCCCGATTCGGCGTCGGCGTTGACGTGTGTGACGAACTGGGAGACGAGTTGGGTTACGATGGCGGATTTGCCTGTTGCTGTTGCGCCGTGGACGACGAGGTTTCGACAGGGAGCTGCATCGGGCTGTAGAAATGGTCAGCTTTGGTAATATCGTGAAGAGGTAGCTTGGTCGACATACATAGAGGAGCGTTGCTAGGGATCGGATCTGTTGTTCGCGACAGGGAAAGGATTGGAATAACGGGGTCAAAATGACCTCGTCAGGAAGACGAAAGAGGGAAGACATGGTTGACTCCCTATTCTGACGATAAATGACTGTGTTTGAATGGAATTGGTTGGTGTTGAAGTTGTCAAGGTCGTCCCCAAGCGCCTCGAGGGTCAAGGGGAGACGCGTTTGGCGCGTCTGTAGCTAGGTACGTCACTCGGGAAATTCTCGGCCGAGACATGGATTTGGAGACTCACCATCACATGAACTCTCACAACTTGTCTCCTTTTGCATAAGTTTATAAAATGAATTTAATTGAATTCATTTTTCAGGTTTGGTCAATTCTTAGATTCTTTTGGGCAAAGCCCTATGTCGTGAGACGCCCCAATCCAAGTGGTATACTTTATACAAAACCACATGCATAGCTTTTGACCCATCGTCTAAAAGCATCATTCCCCAACGCCTAACTATGCCATGCTCTTCAAAACAATAAAACACATGTATACGACTTCGTACTCGTTGACTCTTCCCCAAACACATCATCCCACCAGTGGTTCCATGTTCTCACCCGCTCGTACAAGTCCTTCACCAACACCCAGTCCTGCCAAACCGGTGCAGGTGTCCCCTGCCCGGACTGTGTTGAAGGGAACCCTCGTCCTTTTCCGGGGGCCTGAATAGTGATCTTGGGTCCCGATGTAATCCAGTTCCTCCGCACGTCGTTAACAATGTTGTCGGCGAAACTCTTGACATGTTCATCAACTTGAGGTGCCCTCGTTGTCGGTCTTCGGAAACCTGAAAGAAGGAGCCCTGAGTCGAGCGAGTAGTCCTCGAGCTCCATCGTCTCTGATATGTATGACTCGGCTCTAACGAATCCAGATCTTGCCTCCTTGAGCAACAGAGAGATGTCCTCCCAGGACTCGCAAGTTGCCTGCGATAAAGCTAGGCCTCGAATGGACGGCCAGATGTAGTTCGACATTGATAGCAATTGTGCAATCAAGTGTACCCTCTCAGCTTCCAGTAGCCTGCTGTTCTGTCCAAGTTGATTCAGACAACCGACAAAAGCCTGCAGCGTAACGAGTAGATGAGGCGTGTCAGCTTCAGCCAATACGTGGGGGAGAGCATTCTGAGTCAACAGTACTCGGAGTGCCTCCACATAAACGTCAATCATCGGATAGGCTGAAATCTCAGCAGCCGCGGCATGTATCATGGCTGGCACCATCTTGCCCAAGATAAACGACATGATACCCGGGTTCTCCATCCCCTTTCGCAGCAGCACAACCTCGTCTCGCAGCTTGTCATTGATCAGAGACATCTTGAAGTTGTTGAAGAGGAAGAAGAAGAGCTGGTGAACGACCCTTGTGTCACCCTCGCCCAGCCGAAGCCCATAAGACATCATACCAGCCACCTGAAGGTGGGGGTCTTGAACCGAGGGTGAATACTCCTTGCTGATTTGGTAGAAGAAGTCGTCAACTGTGCAAATCTCGGATCCGTGAGCCCTGATGAGGGGGATGATGTCTCGGATGAAAACCACATAATCATGATGTTCCGATGCATCTTGCGCCATCGTTCGCAAGTCCCCCTTGATTCGCTGCATCACCGACTTGAGCGTCTTGGAGTGTTCCGAAAGGATGATCTTTCTGAGCGCCGGTCCAGCATCTCGCAGAGACTTGCGCATCCAGGATATCATGAACTCGAACAGGTCCCGGTTGGTGTTGTAGTCGGGGTTAATGGCAAGTCCGGTAACTGCTTCTGGAACAAAGTCTTTCTGCTGTCGTCGGAGCTCTTCTGCAAACTGGTTCTCGTATGCCAAGTACCGCCGCGGTTTGACAATCGACAATGCCCAGATATCTGATGGTGTGAAGCCAGCTTCACTGAAATCATCAAAACCATGCTTGAGGAGAGTTGTCATGAACAAGACCAGTGATCGCCGTTGCTCGAGGCTGATGCTGGCCGGCGCATCTTCAAATAGACCATACTTTCCATACTTGAACATGTCTGAAAGCCGAAGGAGGCCGCCGTTGATGAACCGCATTGCAAGTCTTGCTGATAGAGTAGTGACCTGCTCAGTACACTGTGATTTTTCAATGGCTGCATTGTAGGACAATTGGCCCTCTTCGGGAGAAGAGAGAATGCATCTTGCCATTGAAAAGTAGCTGCTTGACAGGTCATGGTCGAGTACCAGGATGGCATCGTCCGCCTGTGCCGAGTTCAGGATCTGACTCTCACTCTGTTGGCTTTCCTCATCATCCTTGAACTCGTCGACACGAGACAGGAAGATCTCCAGAGTGGCAAGTGAGGCTTGAAGAATCGACCAGTCCAGTTGAGGAGGATAGGTGCCAAAGTGTTTGAATACTTGCTGCAGTTGGAGGGTATTCAGGGCAAAGGTGGCAGCCTCCAGATTTGGAGCATGTCTCATGACATCCAAAGAGGCCGTCACAGAGAGATGGAGTACATCCATCACGGCTGCCCTATTTATCGCCACCATGGCATCAAGCATATCACGGCTGACTGCTTTACTCGAATCCTTAGACAAGGCCAAGAATTGCTGCTGCATGTCCGACTGCACTGAATCAAACTGCGCCATCATGGCTTGGAAGAAGGTATTCCGCCACTGAATAAACGGCTTGAATGAGGTCGTTGCTTCACCAGATGAGATGATAAACCTCGCCAGCTGATTCCAGGCCCGTAGGTTGATCAAACACGCCTCTTTGTGAGAGGTTGCGGGGGCCACAAGCCGCTCAATCAAGTGAGCGCCTGGGCGAAGGTCAGGTGGGGAGGCCCAAAACAAGGTGCAAAGGAGGTCGTGATGATTTCGCAGAGCAGCCAGGTCGCGTTCGTGGATTGTCTGTTCCTTGAGGAGTTGGCGATTGTGGTTCGGCATCGTGCGGGCGATCAAGTTGCGGATGTCGTTGAGTGACCGGATTTCACTCAACTTCTTGATGCTCAGAGCAACGAGCTTCAAGAAGATATGGAAGCACTTGTCGGCCTTTTCGACTGCCAACGAGGGCCTGCCTCCTAGCTCTTCCAAGAATTTTGGAGACTGATACACCTCTTCGTTGCGAAGATGGGCGAGATTCTGCGATCCAAAGAAGTCAAAGATGACTCCTATCACCGCCACACACTTGCGCCAGCCCCATTGCTGAACGAGATAGTGGCAGCGTCCAACCAAAGCACGACAGTAGTTGTTGAAGCTGGGCGATTGGCGAGGATTGTCCTTGTAAACTTGGAAAACCTTCTTCAGCAGCTTCTGAGGAAGTGCCCAGCCATCAATAGCGGTATCATGCCTGCTGCCAGCAATGAGGATGCCCTTGTCGTTGAACTCTGTGAGTGGGAGGAGAGCAAACATGTTCTTCCAGAGACGCTCATGATCGCTTGCGTCGATACTCGTAACAGCCTCCGGGGTGGCCATGACAGAATACATGACGTCCCAGAAGGACGACCGAGGAATCCGGGCTTGCTCGAGCGCCTTCAGGACTGTGACCCAGGAATGAACGACCGGCATATCGTCCCTCAAACCTCGATCTCGTACCCGAGAATTCCCAAGATCACTGTATGCTTGCCTGAGCTGGTCCGTACCATTTATGATGAGCGACGTGATGGCGGTTTTGGACAAGTCCTTGAGCAAATCCTCCATTTGAAATTGCTCGCCCACCAAAGATGCGTCGTTCTGGCAAAGTTTCAGAGCCAGGAGGACATACAAGATCAATTGATCATAGACGCTTGCAATTAGAGAATACCGAGGTTGTGTGGTGCCATCATGACGTCCCAGGAGGGCTTTGATGCGGTTGTTGAATCCACCAAACACCTCGAGCGTTCGGCAGCCAAATGATTTGGCACTTGATTGTTCAGTGAGGCTAAGTGACTCCATCATGAATTTCAAGATGAATCTGGCCGCGCCTAGAACGAACGTAGAGTCTGGAGGGTCTCCTTCTATCGTGATACGCTCCAGCTGATCAGCGATCGAGTCAAGAAGAACGCCAAGCTCTGAGGACACTTGGGCATCCCAAGGGCCCCATCGAAGGACCTGGTCGCCAAAGTTGAATGATATCCGTGATCGGAGCTCACTCAGATGTTCGTGATGGTTCAACACTGACTCAAAAACACCGCTTCCAATCAACGTTGACTCATGGAAGTAGACGCGAGAATCCAAGGGAAAGGTCTCAAAGTGATGAGTGTATTGGGTGCCATATGGCCCCAGACCCCGAAGCTTCTCTCCATCTACCTCGACTGGCTGGATAGGGTCGGGGATTGGGATGGGCTCAACAGGAATAGGATCATTCGCACGGCTGAATTGGGGTGCTTCAATATCAATGCGTTGGGGCTTCGTCTTCTTCCGGAAGCGGGACCTGTTGTGGTCAGGGGGTGGTTCCTCCACAACGCGGAGTGGTACTGGATTGTCCTCAGGGGGTGGGCTCGCCGGATAGTAGGTATCAGGGGCATTATCGAATGTCAAGATGCTAGATGCCGAAAGGTCACCACGCTGTTTTCGATACAGTTGGTCAAGACGTCTCTTGGTTGTTCTGAAGGCAAAGCTGCTTGACTGGTCTGTTTCTTCCATTTCCAGTTGAGCCGGCCGTGCAAAGCCAGAACCGCTTCGAGAAAGGTTGGTATTGGTGCGTGGCTGCTGCTTCATTCGAGGTTGTGGTGCAGTGTTGTCAGACTGGTATCTCACCGAGCCGGCCTGGCTGACCTGTTTTACAAGGCGGCGGGCTGGTCCTGCAGAGAGCATAGGCAATCGCCTTGAAGTTGACGAGCCGTTTCCAGAAGTTTCACGTAAGGGTTGTTTCGGTGCCCTCGGTTTTGTCTTCTTGGCTTTTCGGGCCGCAGTGACTGATGGGCGCTGAGGGATAGAGCCTGCCCTCCAATTGTTCAAGACAGACACGGCGTCGACATGATCCTCTCTGGTGGCGAGTTGGATGACTTTCCTGCCTGGACTAGACCTGCCCATATCCTGACGTCGAGTTGCAGACCGAGCGGCGATCTTGAGGAAACGGGGAGCATCTGGCTCAACCACATCGAGAATGCTGAGCCGAGGGGCAGTTGGCCTGCTTCCATGTCTCCCTGTCCGTTTCTTTCCATGCTTCGACGTTTTGCGTGAGGTGGGCTGGCGATACTTCTTCACAAGCTCAGCAGCAGGCAGAGAACTGTCCTGTGATCCAGGAAACATGCTAGTAATTCTAGGTTGATGGGGGCCTCTTGGTGGAACACGCTTTCGTTGCGTTGGTGTTGTCTTGGGTCGTTTTTGCGATGCACCAAAGGATTCCGAGAGCTTCAACTGTCGTTTTCTTCCAGTAAACATGGGGTCGATGTGGTCCTCCTCTACCACCGAGGCCCCATCGTCAGAGAGTTCCTCTGGAACAAGAACCATCGGCTCCTCTTCAAGAACAAGCCGTGTCTGGTTGTGGAACACATCATCGGTGGTTTCTGGTGGTGGAGCAGGGGCTTCGTCATCAGAGTCTTCGAAGAAGATTTGGGGGGCTGTGGAAGTATGCGGGGAGGCGATTCGTCTCTGTGCCACACCACGCCGGATCTCTCGCTCCGGAGAATGGTGGACTGGGCGATTTTGTGTTGGTTTCGGAATTTTATCACGGCCAGCTTGCTGATCCAGACGAAGCCATGATGCTGGAAGGACGCCCCTGATTCGGCGTCCCACGGTGTTCACGAGTTCTGAGCCGCTCTCGGAGCCGCTCTTAGATTCCGTCTCCGATACAGAATCTTCGTCATCTGGCTGAACACTAGTGTCTGGTTGGGCAAGTTCATCTTCAGAGTCGCTTGGAATGAGCAAGGCAGGCCGTCTGAAGAGGCGTGTCGCAGGTTGTTGGGAGGGTTGGTCTGCAGGCAACGATGTGGGGGTTTGAAGATCGTGCTGAGGGTCCTCGCCACTTCGTCTCGAGCTGCGCTGTGCAGCAGGAGAGTCTGTAGTCCCCGGTACCAACCTGAGAGCTGATGCAGGCTCAAGGGGGTCGCTGTCAACAACATCGTATCTCTTACGCTTTCGCGTTGATGATCGGAGAGGAGAGGACTTTCTCTTTGTACGCTGCTTTGTAACTGAGATCGGGGGACGCCTCAGGAGGTCTTTCAGGCTTGGAAGATCGTCACCAGCCAAGCTTGTGTTCTCGGTTTCTCCTGTCGAGCTCGCCTGGCTACTAAGCCCAGCGCGGTCGTTCAGGGGTGATGTCTTGGGAGGTGAGGGTGAGGGTATGTTGAGACTACCCAAGCCATCCAGAAAGTCTTCCAGCCCTTTCAGCTGACTCTCGTCAGATACATCTGGGAGCTGTGACTCCTGGCTGTCATCCTCGAAATCCTTGTCTTGCGAAGCCTCCTCGGCCAGCTGTCGGCGTCGCTTCTCTCCTTCGAGGGCAAGTCTAAGGGGACGAACACCATGTTTCTTGAGAATGTTGGAGTAGTATGACATCTCAATGGCGTAGGGTCGCTCTTGAATCGGTTTCCGGGGCCGCAGAGATCGCTCGTAGCGAACAGCGGTTTGGCGAGCCGTCTCATGTTCAACATCATGGCCCAGTTCCTGGCTTGGCATAACGGGATGGTTGTCGTCCACTTGGGGCAAAGAGGACAAGGGGTGGGCAGGCTCGTGACTGACGACAAGCCGAGGGGGTGGCGATGAACGCTCGACATAGCTTCTCGATATTTGGTCGTCATTCGGGGGGTGAGAATCGGTATCTATCGGTGGGTGTTCAAGGCTGAGAGGGTCGATATCAAGCAGGTCGACATCGGAGTGTATGGACGATAGAGGCGAAGACAGTGGAGATACTGGATCAGAGATCAAGTCGACTGCATCTTCTGGTCTTGGCGTCGTATCGGGGATCCGTGAAGGCGTCTTTGTCGCAGGAGCAGGGTGATTCTGCCCTTGGGAGGAGTCGGGAACATCCCAGATGTCCTGTTCCTGCTCTTTCTGCGTGTTCCCTTCTCTGTGTTCTTCCCTTTCGTCCTCATTTTCTCTGTCGTTGGTCGCATTCGCAGGGGTAGGCTCAGGCAGGGACGGCAATTCCTGGCTCTCGAATCCATCTTCTTCCTCAGAATCTGGGACTTCTCCCAGTTCCTTCCAGTTGGTCATGGTCCGCGTATGGCATTATCCTATCGAAGGCATATTCGGGGTCCGAATTCGGCTCGGTCGTTGAAATTTTATGCGTATATGGGAAATGTTCATGTAGGAAGAATCATGATTTCACCGTGATCGAGGGTGGTTCAAGCTGGCGTAAAGTGGTTTCCCTGTTTGGCGTGGCGGGAACGCGGTTGGGAAACCGGGGAGACGCGTTCGGGGAGGAAGGCGCGCCAAGCCATGGACGTCGATGTGGGGCCAAATTCCGGGGACCTTCAGCGCCGCATCCATCCCGTCCCATTAAGCCGGGTCATTCCGCTCTGAGAGACGAGACTCGCCCCAATTATTCCGAGTTCAAGTCCAACGTCAACTCGGTTTTTATACTCGATTGCTCACTTGACGCTCGTCGAATAAATATCTTTACAATGGCACTACATGTCTTTGAGAGGGCCTTGCCATTGGCATTGACCGTCTTTTGCGGCGTCATTGGAGGTTAGTCTTGGCCATGAACCCCTCAAGCAGAAGCTCACAATGACCAGGATACTACACCTTCCAACCAGTCTTTGCACCCGATGCTCTTAAGCAGGTCGATCCCCCGCAGATGTAGGTATTACATCTATATGAGTGTGGGCATGCGAGAAACCAAGTGCTAACCATTTGCCAAGTACCGAGGCCAAGTCAGAAGCCTCGAAAACTCTGCCACCGGCTTCAAAATAACTGCACCATCTTAGAACTCGGAAGACGTCCAGATAAATTCCATGTAAAATTAGAGCTATTTCATGATAATGATAACCGTGACCTGTCTTAGGGCTAGATTATGAAGTCATTTCTATCATCGTTATGCTCATGTTTTGCGCGAGTGTTCAGTCGTTTAAGACAATGTCAGCCAACCACAACGAAACCAAGACTACAGAGATAGGATAGTAAAGGTTGTTCATATCTTTCATCTAAAACTACACCAAACGCTTAATGACCGTCCCGGGCCACCTTTATTGCACAATGTCTATAGTTTGCCTTATCATGAGGATCAGGTCCTTCTGTCCCAGGTACCCTACACCAAATCTCTAAATCAGAGGGGCATCCAAACCCCAAAGCAGACCTTCCCAGTCCATTCCATCAAGATCAATCATTGATCCAAGCTCGTCCCAGGCTTGAGAAGAAGGACCACCATCATTGGGCGTCGCCCCGGTTGGGATCGGTGCAGCTGAGCTGGGTGTAAGAGGAAGATTCGTCTCCTGCACAGCCGGCCTCACTGGAAGTTGACCTCGCTCTTCGTCCACACATAGCGATACCTTGTGCTTTCTCATAACCTGCTTCAACAAGTCCTGTATTCGGGCCGTCGGCTTGGAGTGCTCCTTTGCAATGTCTAGGATCTTCCATGCCTCCACCAGCTGTTGCCGCCTCGCCTCCTTTTCCTGTGCGGTTGTTCCCAGGCAGAAGTCGAGGATAAGTATAATGGTAGCTAGAAAGACGCTGTGTAATACCAGTGTCGTTCTGAGTCGCGTGGAGGTGAATGCAACGTTCTCCTTATCAAGGAGATGCTCTGCGTGAAGAATGATTTGAGCTGCGTTTAGGCAGACGTTTCGTGAGTGGGCATAACGGGGCTCGATGGAACCACGGGCCAGATATGGAAGATGGAGCCTGCACCGCTGACCCTGAACGAACAACTTCATGATGTGCCGTTGTATGATAATCGCCGGTGACCGTCGAATGTCGTTGGGGGGTAGCTTTGTTAGTTCTTCGCTTTCCATGACCAAGAAAGGAGGGATTTCCCTTATGAATTGATCGATTGCAGCATCCAGCTCGAGAACAAGGTCGTATGTCATGGTTTCCGAGGCAGCTGAAGAGAGTGGCATTCGGTCCGTGAACTTGCGAGTTAATTCGGCCAGCCGAATTCGCTGCAGGAAATAAGACATGCTCGTCGATTCAGTCAAGGGTTTCCCCGGCTCGTCGCCGTCGACAAGGTCCTCATCATTAAGATTACGAGGTTTCCTCACAGCCATGTGCTGTGGGTTTATTAGATAGGTACCCTCGTGGGGGCCTGGGAATCGAGCCAACATGCTAGTTATACGTTAGACTTGTGATCAACAAACGAGACAGACGATGTGGTAAACTTACCAATCTAACCCAACGAGGTACCACCAGACTCGCCGAGCAGCTTCAGCCCTTATCCCAGTAAAGGCCTTTGGGTGACCTGTAGTTGAGGTGAGGGGATGATCGAGGCGATGAAGACCCAGTTCACGGGAGATACATATGGCTTGAAACAGATAGGTTCGAGCCCGAGTGGAGATGCCCTCGATGTTTAGCAAGACAAAGCTCACAATGATGAGACCCTGTGCACTCTCCAATTCGATCTGCATATTTCTCTGAGCCACATCAAAGACATCCATGGTTCCTTTGAGCCAGATGATTGCCTGAGCATTTGCCTCTGCAGCGTCGGTGAATAGCTTTGCCGTCTCATTGTCCGCTTGCGTCCAAGAGTACGTGACGTTGGCGCAAACCGCGAGGAGCAGAACCACAGAGCACAAAGGCACCTGTGTTCCCTGATCCAGGGTGTCGTAAACCTCATCCACGAGGTTGCACAGAGAAGGGTTATGCACAATGTGGTGCATGTAAGTGATACCTGTTGTGTACTTTTCCACCAGCATTCTGGTTTCTTCTCTAGTGGGTAGCCATACACACTTGGTTGGTTCCACGGAAAGGAAACCAGATGGGATGCTTGAATTTTGAAAGATATAACATGATGATTGCGTGATCATGCGTATAGGACAGGTGCGAAAGACGATCTTGTCACCTAATACGGTTTCCTGTTATCGTGTTAGCATTTAGGAAACATGACAAAGACTTGCAGACTAACAGATGTCTTTGGACCAAGACATGTCCTATCCAGCCAGAGAGCATCGTCCGTCAAATTTTGAACATTGAGAGGCAATGCCAGTTGCGAGTCCTGTTGTGGCCGGGGTGGAGCATCTGCCTCTGAAATAGGCGGTAAGACTGAAGACGACTGGGTCTCAGATGCAGGCTGTTTATTCTGCTGTGCAAGCAGCGCCTCCAACTTTTCCAGACGGCTCAGAATATCTGTCTCCTTCTCCTTCTCACCGGCACCGGCCGCCGTCTTCTTGGCAATCGGTCTCTGGGCCGGGGCCGAAGCGCGGGGTGGATCTTGGGGTTCCCGGCAGGGAACTCCGCGGCTGGTGCAATTTGAGCAGGGAAAGTCACGACTGCACCGCAGCTTGCGCACGCGACAAAAGTGGCACGAAACAGGCCGCTGGCGAGGCTGCCGGCCCATGTCTGTGGTGGTCTCTCGGAGGGTACCTTACTGATAGCTGTAACTGGTTGGGTGAGAGAGAGGAAGGAATTGTGTTAATGAACGGGACGGAAGTTGAATGTCCGCGGACTTTCCGCCCGGAGTTTCCGCGGGCCCGACCCCGGATCGGGGATATCAAGATGCACAGGACCAACACGTCCGCGCATGTCTCGCTGATTTCAACCTTGTCTAATCAGAAGGGTTGGCTTCAGATGGGTCTTGTGGAGCAATTGCTTATAGATTTACTCATCGGGCGGCAGGAATCCTCGCTCTTTTGCTGTCAGCATGGTCACAACCTGCTCATCTGCCCCCTTTGATGACTCTGAATCCTGGCAACCAGCATCACATCGGGCTCAGTTTGGCGTTAGCGGATTTAAGAGAATTTCCCGTTGGGTAGGCGAGTGTGACAAGGGTGTCGGGAGCTGCATTGATGTGCTTTTGAGACTCACTAGTTTCTGCGCGGATACATTTAATAAAGCTTACCCCGTCTCTCCAACTCCTGTCTTGGTATGCAGTCTCTTGCTCAGCTACGACAACTTCTCCGGTAATCGGCCGTGAGCATACACGGCTTTTCTTTCACCTTCGTTGGCACGACTCAGAGAAACCACCAATTTGGTCAACCTCCAACTCTTCAACAACATGGGTCACATCGATATCGAAGAGCAACTGGCCGGTGCAGCTACCCCAGCACCGGTACTCAATGACGATGAGAAATATGAGAAGGATCTTGAAGATGGATCAACCTCAGTTGATCTCGAGGAACTTGCTCCTCGTGACCCCAACATTGTTGACTGGGACGGCCCCGATGATCCAGCCAATCCCCAAAACTGGTCGGCAAAGAAGAAGACAATAACTGTTGTGCTTGTCTCGTCCATCACATTTGTCACGTAGGTATCCTCGAGACAAACAACTAAGGGCCACCCCCTCTAACTATCCGTAGACCGTTGGCTTCGTCTATTTTCGCGCCAAGTATTGATCAAGTGATGAGAGAGTTCCACTCAACAAATCAGCAACTGGCGTCGTTTATCGTCTCCGTTTACCTTCTTGGGTACTGTTTCGGTCCATTGGTTGTTGCGCCCTTGTCTGAGATGTATGGTCGCCTTCCGCTTTATAACATTTGCAACGTTCTCTTTGTCGTCTTTAACATTGCTTGCGCCAAGGCTCCCAACTTGGCGGGCCTGATTATTTTCCGACTCCTCGCAGGTCTCGCTGGTTGCTGCCCGCTCACACTTGGAGCTGGAACACTGGCCGATATGATCTCTAAGGAGAAGCGTGGAGCTGCCATGTCCTCGTGGGTTTTGGGACCTCTCCTGGGACCTGTCGTTGGACCGATTGGTGAGTATATCTTGAAGCTATACCAAAGTGACTGTGAAAGCTGACAAGAATAGCTGGCGGATATTTGTCCGAGGCTAAAGGTTGGCGTTGGTCGTTCTGGGTGGTGGCTATGGTGGTAAGTTGACTGTGGGCTCGACCAAACTAAAGCTAACATGTCCAACAGAGCGGCGCGATTGCACTGGCAAGCTTTATCTTCATGCGAGAGACATACGCCTATGCCCTGCTAGAGAAAAAGACTAAGAAGCTTCGAAAGGAGACCGGCAACCCTAAGCTCAGGTCTGCTCTGGACAAGGGAACTACAACCAAGGAGCTGTTCAGCTTGGCCATGGTTCGCCCAACCAAGATGCTGCTCTTCTCGCCCATCGTCTTTCTCCTCTCGCTGTACATGGCCATCATCTACGGATACCTGTATCTCATCTTTACTGCCATGCCCATGATCTTTGAGGGGCAATATGGCTTCTCGAGCGGATCCGTTGGCCTCACCTACTGCGGTATTGGCGTTGGTTCCTTGATAGGTCTTGCTATTGCAGGAGCCACATCTGATCCTCTCGTGAGATATCTCACCAAGAAGAATGGTGGAGAGTCCAAGCCAGAGTACCGACTCCCGGTCATGACTGGAGCATGTGTCCTGATCCCGGCTGGCCTGTTCCTTTTCGGATGGTCTGCTGAGAACAACAACCATTGGATTCTTCCTATCATCGGAACTGGTTTCTTGGGCACTGGCATGGTTGCCGTATTTGTAGGTCTCCCCGAACTAGTTGCGCTTGCAAATGTAACTGACTTCTTCGATAGATGTGCATCTCAGTCTACCTGGTCGATGCGTACCTGGAGTATGCTGCATCCGCCATAGCTGCCAGCACCGTGTTCCGCTCACTGGTGGGAGCACTGCTGCCCTTGGCTGGTCGAAAGATGTACGACACGCTGGGTCTCGGATGGGGTACATCGCTGCTTGCCTTCATCGCAGTGGCGGCGATTCCAGTGCCGCTGATCTTTATCAAGTATGGTGAGAAAATTCGAAGTCGGAATCTGTTTGATGTCGAGTTTTGAGTTAGGATAAAAGTCAAGTGATTTAAGGATGGAACCGGATCTTATCGCATGGATGTTGCAAGGTACGGGACGTATGTAGGACCCAGGTACAAGGATCAAATAGAGGATTGCGGCAGGAGGATAGAATAATCTCCAATCTGGCATATATATATAAAGACATAATAAATGGGTATAGGAACAAAATAGAGGACCCTCCTCCAACTCCCATCACCCAGAGATCGTTATCAATGATGGACTTGTCAATGGCGATGCTGATTGTCTTGTCAGCTCAGATCAGAAGCTCCAGCCAATAACCAAGGCCTTGATTCTTCTTAGCGAGGTTTTCCGGAATGTCGGATCCACATAACGTAAGGCGAGCCAATCAAGCTACCACCCGTCCAGCCGAACCTCTCCCGGACAGCGGGCACGGTCGTACGATTGCAGGATGCTCGAATTCTTTCCTCAATAAACCCATCCTTCTTTGCGAACCTCTCGAACTACCTCTCCTCCCCGACCCGCCCACGACGTCAATTGAGCTCCCTCCGCCTCGTCTCTCCGTCTGTCCTCCGTCCCTCGATCGAATTCGCCCACCATGCTGCGCACCCCGGCCTCCAACCTGCTGCGCAAGAGCCTGGTGCGCAGCTCGCCCGCCCTGGCCTCCCGAGCTGCGTCGACTCACGCCATCTCCAACCCGACCCTCGCCAACATCGAGAAGCGATGGGAGGGCATGCCTCTCCAGGAGCAGGCCGACCTCTGGATGGCTCTGCGTGACCGCATGCAGGTCAACTGGAAGGACCTGACTCTCCAGGAGAAGAAGGCTGGTGCGTACAATTGTCTTGCCTCCTCCACCACGAAAATACCTCCCGCGTAGCCGAGCCGCTGTGGTCATCATCACCACCAACCACAACCACAAGCCAAACCACCACAGTCCATCAATCAGCCTCGTCATTCATCAATTCACACCACAACTCCGTCCATTTCACACTTCAGCCTTGCATCTGATTCTCCGAGAGCCTCAATTGCATCATGTAGACCCAATTTCCTCAATTCGCGGCCCTGATTGGTGGGCCTCGGCTCTGAGCCATGGCTGACAAGCCATCAAACAGCGCATCCCCTGCCTTGATGCTGCGTCACGTTCAGAAAACTAACTCAAACTGTCTCAATAGCCTACTGGATCGCCTTCGGCCCTCACGGTCCCCGCGCCGTTGACCCCCCCGGTACCAACGCCCGTGTCGCTTGGGGTGTCGTCGCTGGTCTCGCCGTCAGCGTCGGTCTGTTTGGCCTCATCCGCCTTGCTGCCAAGCCCGTTCCCTACACCATGTCCCAGGAGTACCAGGAGGAGAGCAACGAGTTCCTCAAGGTGAGCTTGGTTCCCATCCTTCCCTCGCAGAGCACCACTGACAGCTGTCCCCTCGCAGAACCAAAAATCCGACCCCTTCACTGGTATCACCTCTCCTGGCTATGCCGGCAAGGGCATGGTCCAGTCTCCTCCCAAGGGCAGCTCCTAAATTCAATACACACCGTCTTTTCTTTTGTGCTAGAAGTTGGGGTGACTCCATGGAGACGTCATAGTGTGTAAAGCGGCCTCGGGGCAGGGCGTGACTGGGGGTTTCGAGGTCGCTCCAGAGTTGATATCAAATCATCTTGGTGTAAATACTGTACTACAACAACGGAACCCGAGTCGAGTCATTTGTTTGAACATGTTTGCTTGTCTCTCGATCCGCCTGGAGAGCATACACCAGCGTTTCCAAGCCAGTTGTTACCCAAATAATTCCCACCCAAACAATCATGCAGTTGCTCCAATACTCCCTGTGCATTATACATTTGATCAACAGGGATCTTATCCCCCACTCTGCCCAGCTTCCCGGTATCTCTCAAAGGTATCACTTGGCTGCGTCTTGGGGTTCAACTCTTCCTCTTCCATCTTCCTGTCCACTTCAAATCTGCCGTCCTTGCCCCAGTATGCTGGTTTCTCCGTTCCCTTGACGCTCGCCTCGGTGATAAGTACGTAGGGCATAGGGGCGTCAAACATGGGCTCTGCCAAAACCCGTTCCATCTCCATCTTGAGTCCTCGAGCACCCGTTTCTGAAGCAGCAGCCCTTTCAGCAATTGCATACAGGGCCTTCTCTGTAAAGAATAGCCGAGAAGGGTATGTCTCAAAGAGAGCTGTGTACTGGGCAACGAGACTATTCTTGGGCTCAGTCAAGATGCGGAAGAGGTCATCCTTGGACAGAGGACTAAGAGCACAGATGTTGTGTAGTCGTCCAATCAGCTCTGGAATGAAGCCAAAGCTTTGGAGGTCGGCCGGAGTGGTGAGATCGAGTGGGGTAAAAGTAGGAGCCGATTGGGGGTTGTGATGAGGGAGGTGAGTGTATGTCTCAGCCGGGAGAACCTGCTTGCTCCCAGACATGGTTGAGCGGCCACGGAGCTCTCCTCCAAAACCCATGGACGGCCTCGCGACTCTCCTTAAAACAGCCTTGTCCAATCCAACAAAGGCGCCGCAGAATACAAAGAGGATGTTTGTTGTATCAATGGTATACTGGTCGACTTTGCCACCGGGCGGGGCTGCCTGAGGGGCAGAGGAAGAGGGCCCGGATGCATTATAGTTGGTTGTAATGGGTGGTGTTGACCGAGAAGAGCGATTGTCCTTAACATTGATGGTGACCTTGGTTCCTTCAACAAGCTTCAACAGCGCCTGCTGGACTCCTTCGCCCCCAACATCTCGACCGGTTGTAGTCTCGCGTCTCGCTATCTTGTCGAATTCGTCCAGAACAACAATGCCGTGCTCTGTCGCCTTGATGTCATAGTTGGCTTCGATGAGGAGTCGCTCGATACAGGTCTCGACGTCTTGTCCGATATATCCAGCTTGTGTAAAGGAGTTACAGTCGCAGATAGAGAAGGGAACATTGATCTTTTTGCTAAGTGTTCTGGGCATGGTGAGTATGGGCAACGAGACATAGGAACCATGGCAACGTACTCTAGGATATAGGTCTTACCAACACCAGTTGGACCTATCAAGAGAAGATTACTCTTGTCGATCTTGACATGCTCGGGGATGCTGAGGTCCTCGGCAGCATAGAGATGATCCATGGGATCCTCGTCATACTCGTGATTGTCATGAAGACCACGAACCGACTCATTGTGGCCCGGGAACTCATCTTGTAGAGCATCAGTGTCTCTGCGCTCAGGCATAGGACCATGCACACGCTGACCTTCGACGGGGTGCATCTCGCGGCGTTTCTGATGCAGCTCCCTGTCTCTAGCAAACCTCTGACGCATCATCTTGTCACGCCGATTCCTATCCTCATGTTCATGTTGATGTCGCCTTCGTAGGTTCTGGTAATGATTGAATATGGTCGCACAGATTGTCTTCTTCGCTCGGTCCTGGCCAACAACATAGTCGTCCACACGCTTCTTCAGGTCCCGTGGGTAGAACTGCGGGACGCCGAAGCTGGCCTTGTTGAACATGGGGCCACGCCCCGGATCGACTGACGGGTCATAGGTACTGTTGAAACCCGAGTTGAAGTCGGCATTTCGCCTCGATACGGCGAGGGGGATCGATACAGATAGACGTCGACAGCGCGAGGAAGGATTGTAGGATGGCGGTCGGGACACGGCGATGGGCAGCGGTCGCAGGAGAGGAATGGAGACGGAGCGGAGACCACGACGGGTCGCAGGAAGTGCCCTTACGAAGGGCGTCATTGTTGTATATGCCCGAATCACATAATAAGGGCGATTCCAAGCAGAGAGTCAGGAGACAGTCGACCGAGATGACCGTGTGTCTGGGCCGACGATGACGGGATGCGGGGGGTCGGAGACGGCTGGACACGGTCGAGCGGTAGAGCCGAAAGCTGGAAGTTTATCGCATCATCAATTGGCAACAGAGATGAAGCTTTGTACGAGGGCAATCCCGGCAATATACAATAGGTACAGAGTTGACTTGGAGATGACAATGAGTGATGAATTACGCGATGTCTTCTTTGGATGATCCGGAACTGTCCAGCCGGAGGTTCTAGTCAGCCGCAAGCAGCAACTTCCGCTATCGGTGCGACAGTTCAGAGGCCGAGGACGCAGGCATCTGCAGGCGACTCACAGCCACTAAAAGCTCCGAGTTGCAGCTCGTCCCACTAGAGAAGCCGACTGGGGAATCAGATAAGGACGCCCGCCTAAGCACCCCCGACTGTACTACCGGACGACCATCAATCCTTCCCGTGCTGCACAATGATTCCGACAAAACCTCATCATGGCACGGCAAACCCGAGTGGCGGGATGGCGAGAACTTCACCGGGCCCGCTCTCCCACTCCCTCAACCACAACGCGAGCGTCTCAAGGTGCACAGCGGCCACACGCCTTCCACATACGGCACAGCGTACAGGATACGTACCCTGGCCGTTGGGAAACCCACCCCATCCGCGACGTCATCTCAACTTATCGATAAAGCTGCCTGAGGATCAGGTCAGTCAAGCGAAGTGTGCAGCGCCAGGTTAAGGGAGCTAGTAGACGAGGTTGACAAGGTCTGAGATATCGCCATTGTTTTTTTTCTTCGCCACAACCTCGACCTGTTCAGTTCATCTGGACTCGGCGATATTAAAATTCTCATTCCTGAAGTGCAATTGCTCTTTCTCCCTCCGTTGCAGCTGCCCTCTCGAGTCTGGATTGCGACACGTCGACTTTGTCTCACCTGAAGCTCAACAATTGCCTGAAGCTCAGCTCGCAACACCACATCTACCTACTACCCCGCCCACGACTCCCTCCAGCACCTTCATCCTCCCACACGCGTCGTATCCTTCCTTCACTGAGCGTTACAATGGCTGCAATCGTCGAAAATTCGTCCAATTCCCTGGACCCCAACAATACCAATGGTGCTGCGGATGGCATTCCCAATGATGGTACAGGTTAGTAGTTGGTCCTGACATGTGATGATCTGATGGTCAAAGGGGACCCATATTGACGATAGCTTTAGGTGTTGTCAAGCTCGACCCCTGGCTGTCCCCTTTCAGCGACGCTCTGAAGAGACGATTTTCAAAGACCCAAGATTGGATCAAGACCATTAACGACAATGAGGGTGGTCTCGAGAAGTTCAGCAGGGTAAGCTTTGCCTTTCAGCACCCTGGCCCTGGTACTGATGCAAAAGAATCTAGGGCACCGAAAAGTTTGGATTGAACGTCGATGCCAACAACAACATTATCTATCGCGAATGGGCACCCAATGCCACCGAGGCATACCTAATTGGAGACTTCAGTAAGCCTGCCGCTTTCCAGCTTCCCCCTTCAAGCTCTTACACTGGTGTTAGACAACTGGGATCGTACCTCCCATCCCATGAAGAAGGGACCCTTTGGTGTCTTCGAGATCACTATCCCAGCCAAGGATGGTCAGGCTGCCATTCCTCACAACTCCAAGATCAAGGTATGCTGCATTTCTAGTTAATTGTCAATTGGTCTGTCCCATATACTGACACTGCCTCAAGATCTCCCTCACTCTGCCCAATGGCGAGCGTGCCGATCGACTCCCCGCATGGATCAAGTACGTGACACAGGACCTGAATGTGTCGCCCGCCTATGACGCCCGCTTCTGGAACCCCCCCGCCTCCGAGACGTACAAGTTTAAGCATGCGCGACCCAAGAAGCCCGAAAGCGCTCGTGTGTACGAGGCCCATGTTGGTATCTCCAGCCCCGACCAGCGGGTTGCAAGCTACAAGGAGTTTACCCAAAATATGCTACCCAGGATCAAAGATCTTGGCTACAATGTGATCCAATTGATGGCTGTCATGGAGCATGCCTACTACGCCAGTTTTGGGTATCAGGTCAACAACTTCTTCGCGGCGAGCAGTCGATATGGCCCTCCCGAGGACCTCAAGGAGCTCATTGACACTGCGCATAGCATGGGCATCGTCGTACTCCTTGACGTCGTCCACAGCCATGCGTCCAAGAACGTCCTCGATGGCCTCAACGAGTTTGATGGCACTGACCACCAGTACTTCCACGGGGGCGGCAAGGGTCGCCATGATCAATGGGATAGCCGACTCTTCAATTATGGCCACCATGAGGTGATGCGATTCCTTCTGAGCAACTTGCGCTTCTGGATGGACGAGTACCAGTTTGATGGATTCCGATTTGACGGAGTCACTAGCATGCTTTACGTCCACCATGGCATGGGAACGTATGTTGCTTCTACTAATGAACCCTTTTTATGATTGAATACTGACCGAAATAGGGGCTTCTCCGGAGGTTACCACGAGTACTTTGGTGCAGATGTCGATGAGGAGGCTGTCGTCTATCTCATGCTGGCGAATGAGATGCTTCATCTTCTTTACCCAGATGTCATCACCGTTGCCGAGGATGTTTCGGGCATGCCTGCTCTCTGTCTGCCACTATCACTCGGAGGCGTTGGCTTTGACTATCGTCTCGCCATGGCCATTCCTGATATGTGGATCAAGATCCTGAAGGAGCTCAAGGACGATGACTGGGACATTGGCAACATCTGCCACACCTTGACAAACCGACGTCACGGTGAGAAGACGATCGCATATGCCGAGAGTCACGACCAAGCGTAAGCTCATAACCCGGCCCTTCTCAGTGCCAGTTACTAACTGTCGCAGGCTTGTTGGTGACAAGACGCTCATGATGCATCTCTGTGATGCCGAGATGTACACCAACATGTCGACATTGTCGCCTCTGACCCCAGTCATTGATCGGGGTATGGCACTCCACAAGATGATCCGCCTTCTCACACATGGCCTGGGAGGTGAGGGTTACCTCAACTTCGAAGGTAATGAGTTTGGCCATCCTGAGTGGCTTGACTTCCCCCGAGAGGGCAACAACAACTCGTTCTGGTATGCTCGACGACAGCTCAACCTTACGGAGGACCCTCTGTTGCGATATCAGTTCCTCAACAACTTTGACAAGCAGATGAACAACAGCGAGGCCAAGTACGGATGGCTCCACGCACCGCAGGCGTACATCTCACTGAAGAATGAGAATGACAAGGTGATTGTGTTTGAGCGTGCCGGCCTGGTATTCGTCTTCAACTTCCACCCGACCAACAGTTTCAGTGACTACCGGATCGGCATCGATGTTGCTGGAACATATAGAGTAGTTCTCAACACGGACAGCAAGGATGTTGGCGGATTCGGCCGCATCGACGAGGGCACAAGGTTCTTTACAACCGCCATGGAATGGAACAACAGGAAGAACTGGACACACGTGTACATTCCTTGCCGAACTGCTCTGGTAAGAAACCCCGTCCCACATGAGATGTTGAAATCACTAACTCGGGCATAGGTCCTGGCGCTTGAGTCGACGATTTCTCAGAACCCCTAGGGCTCGCCTTGAAAGACAAGAGACGGGAGTGAAGTCGAGGATACCTAGAAACAGTACTGAAGCTACTAGAAACTCTATGGTTTGGTGATTCTCTTCTTTGGCGGAGACATGATGGACCTTGACGAGGTGAACAGTTAATTGCGGTGGGGCACTCACTAATATGACGTCTATTTTCGTTCCTTTCTGCCTTGCAGACATACAATATTTGAGTAATAAAAGAAGGCAATTGATACCTATGAACTAGTGCCGTATTGAAATGAGAATTGGAGTGATTCGAATGAGAACCTCACACCTGGCTGTCGCAATGCTGTTAGATATTGCGGTGGTAGACTTTTGGAGGTTGATGGCGGTGGCGCATCGGGATCTGGCCCATAGCTTCTGCGGGCCTGGCTCTGGGCATTGCTCGGACTTTTCGGCTCGGGCGTTCGGGATAGCAAGGGGAGAAAGACCATCAAGTGAGAGCGACCACAGGAGGAAACAGTCGGATGCGTTTTAATTAAAACAACCATGGGTATCACAGCATTGATATACTGTAACGTCGAGGTAAACGAACTTCAATTGAATATTCACTGCTGTAAAAGGCTCCCACTCGAAGCTCGACGATAACCATATATCGGTCTGAGTGCTCATGAGCCGGGGCAGATTTTTGGCACGGGCATGGGGAAGGGAGAGGGGCCGACGAGGGAAAAAAAGTTGGAACAGAACCTGGCAAATCTCATCAGCAAAAAATAACTGGATCCCAACATCCCCTGGGTGCCCCAGCTTCATTCAATTGCCCCCTATGATTGGGCGTGATGAGGGGTCTTTCGGCGTGGGATGCGAGCTGAGACCAATAGGGGCAAGGGAAGGGGATGCATGGGAGATGGAGATCCCTGATCTGTCTTTGTTGCCCGGGGGCAAACTGGAGAAACAGCTTTGCTTGTCTGCTTGTTGAAAGAGCGCACGCATGCATCTTGGGCAATTGGACGTCAGGGTACTCCGTGCACTCGGAAACTGTGATACACTGTACATCGATAGCCGCAACTCGCTGTAGAGGTTCCGGCTGTAGCCAGGACTGGATGCTGCTTGTGCTTGGGCTTGGCTCAGACACTCTCTCACACCCATCTTCTTCCTTCCCTCCATCTCGCAGCCACAGCCAGGTCAATGCTACTTTCCCCGCTCTATTGCTGTGCTCTCCCGTCCTGGAGAGATGCATAGCATCACCTGGGGGCATTGCTGGCTTCGCTGCGAGATCAATGATGCGGTTGATCTCATCTTTATTAGCCGTTGTGAGGAGGGGTACTTTTGCTTGCCTCAATCCATCCCCAGCTTTTTATCGTCTGTCCCCTGTAATTCGGTCCCGTCGATTGAAATCTTACCCTCTGTAATATACTGCCTGCTGGC